CGCACAATATAAGTAGGTACTTTTTATTGCTGTGAAAGTAAAAAAACACCCATTTTGTGAAATACCCATTATAATGGATGTTAAATTATGCCACTATTTTTTTTTTGTAAAGTATATCGAAAATATTGTTTGGGGTGACAAAAAAAACTATGGTGAAAGTTTGAGTCCATAATAATACTATTATTGCAATTTTAAATTTTTTTTCCTGAGCGAGTTTTTATCTCAGAACTTCCAAATCATTGAGTTTAACAAAATTGACTTAAGAATATTTTTTAAAGAAAATTGAATGCTCTACAGAAAAGGTTTGATTGGAATTTCCCGTCAGATTTCTTACAATCATGCCTTAAAAATTGGTATAGTTTTACAATTTGATCTTTTAACTTTGGAATTTTGTAATTCAAGTAAAAATCAGTACCCTGAAAAAAAAAAACGATAAATATTCATATGGGAAATCAAATGCTCTACAATTTTTTTTTTTATCATTTTTGGCTAAATTCACTTCATCAAAAGTTATTCAAGGTTAAATTTGAAAAAAAAAACGAAATTTTAACCTTGAATAACTTTTGATTGAGTGAATTTAGCCAAAAATGTTAAGAGGCTTTTTTTGTAAAGCATTTGATTTCCCATAAGAATATTTATCGGTTTTTTATGGGTACTGATTTTTACATGAATTACAAAATTCCAATTTAAAAGATCAAAATGTAAAACTATACCAATTTTTAAGCCATGATTTTAAGGAAACGGTTCATTTGACAGAAAATTTCACTTTAACTTTTTTTGTAGAGCATTTTATTTTCTTAAAAAAGTTCTGAGACAAAAACTTGCTGAGGAAAAAAAAATTAAAATTACGAGGATAGACCTCTTAATATTAATATTATGGACGCAAACTTTCACAATAATTTTTTTTGTCACCCCAAACCATATTTTCGATATACTTAAAAAAAAAACAGTTAATTTTTTTGGCCCTGTCTAATATATACCTATATACGATTAAAAAAAATAACGTTGCCTACAAAATTATTCACTGCTCTGGTATGGCCAAAGCAGAAAATTTATACCCCAGGAATTATTTTATAATGTAAAATATTTATACACAATACATTTAACATAAACAAATGCAAAAGTCACTACGGAAAATATCGATAAAAGTTTTGTTACTATAAATGGCATCTGATTTTTTTAAATATTGATTTTAAAAGCTCTATCATCTGCTGAGAAGTGTTTAATTTAAAAACAGAAACTATATTTTTCCTACGGTTTTAACAGTAATTATTTGTTAAAAAATAAAAAGTTTTGTTTATTTTTAAGAAATATTTTTTTAAATATAATATTTTGTTAAATTACAAAAAAAAATTAAACTCAAAAACATACCTATCACAATTTTTTCTCTTAAAGAGCCATCTTATCAAATTGGCCTAAACAATTGAAAAAACTAATAGTACAAACGTCACTGAACTGTAAACTGAGCTAAACCAAAGAAGATGACTACTGTACGGTTGACTAGAGACTGAGTAATACTTGGTGAGTATCCGATTGGGTTTACGCTTTTGGTATCAAATTTTAAAATCAGTGGTATTTGGAATTTCACTGGTGCTGCATTTTAACAATCATATTTATATGGGTGGAATTGGTGTGATTAGATAAGTGGTTGGTACCTACTAAACTAGCGGTTTTATTGAGTTTTAATATTGTCGGAAATTTAGGGGTTTTTTTGGCATATATTATTGATATTAGATATGTATTTATGAGTTAATTTTAAACATTCAAAAAAAAAATTATTCTTTATAGAAAATCATCCTTTATTGCGAAAGAATTTGAATAGTTAATAATTTTAGAAATTCACTAGGACAATGATGATATTTTTAGTAATTTTTAAATGATAACTGAGTTTATGAATAATTTTACTTTTGAACTTCTATTGAACTTTATTAAAACCTTATACCTTGAAAAGTTATAAATCTCAGCAACATTTTTAAAAACCTTAAACATGATATATAATTTTTAAAATACATTTTTATCTATTTTGCGTTCATAATGACTTCATGAAGTATGCATTATAACACCGCTTTCGGTGCTGTAATAAGATACTTTATCCCACCCAAAATTTTGATTTCATAGGTTGGCTATACTTTCAACAGCATAATATTTTGCATATTGGTTATAATATTTTTATGTTTTTTCTAGTACTTACGAGACTTTTCTGGCAATAAATTTTGTTTAGGTAACACCAAAGAAAATCCTTTTTTTCTTCTTTAACATTAACAGCCGCTTATTGTAAATAAGTAAATTAAGGACGGCATGGCGAATCGATTTTGACATTAACTTTCAAACCAATGACTGTGATACCAACTATCTAAAGTAAAATTCGACCAAATTAAATTTAAGGTATATAGAATTTTTGCAAAATAGATAAAATTGCATAAAGAACTCATGTCATAAGACCTTTTGTCGCACTCGTCCGTTTACACGATATTACAAGACATTATTTGATATAAATTGTCCGCGTGCGACAAAATGACGTCTTGTGACATTAGTTCTTTAACATACTATTTTTAATTTTAAATTTGCCGCAGAAGATAAGAATTTAAATAAACAAAACCCTTAAAATTCTTGGGTTTTTTTTGTTTCGTCAAGGAAAAATTTTAATTTGTTCGATTAAAAAATAATATTTTAATATTCCGTAAGCAAGAAGATAAAAATATATATGGGAATTCAGATTATTTGAAAAATGACAAATTAACATTTTTAGGAATTTTTAAATAATTTCTGAGAATTTATAAAAATTGTTTCCTGTTCGCAAATTTAATATGAACAAGGGGTTGAATTTTATTCTCTAAACTTTGACATTTTAAAAATAATTAGGATAATTTTTTTTACCTGTAATTGTACTTTAATGGTACTAAAGTAATTGTACTAAAATAGTTCTATGAATATTTTTTAAATTTAATTCATTTTTATTTAAATTTTTTGGTTTAATAATAAATAATAAAATTTTTCACTCGTAATCAAAAATATATGTATGTAATTTTCCCCGAAGAAATAAATAATGCATTTAATAAGATTACAATTATAATAACTTTTAGTAATTTTTAAATAATTACGAAGAATTTATCTTTTTCGCAAATATAATATAGAGAAAAGTTTTGAATTTTATTATATGAACTTTGAAACATTAAATTTAAATTTTTGGTTCAATAAAATTGTTCTTTGTATACCACTTGTAATCAAAAAATTATGTCAAATATTTTGAGGTGTGATAAAGCGAAAAAAATACTATAAACCGAAAAAGATAAGAATTTAAATAACCCTTTAAATTCTTGGGTTTTTTTTAAGCCAAAATTTAAAATTTTTTCGATTAAATAATGAATTAATAATATTTAAATATTACGTACACCATAAGATAACAAGTTAATAATTTTAGAAATTTAAATGACGAGTTAATATTTTTAGGGATTTTTAAATAATTACGAAGAATTTATAAAAATTCTTTCCTGTTCGCAAAATTTAATATAGGTAGACAAGACTCTTTAATTTTAGTATATGGACTTTGACACATTTAATAAAAAAAAATAAGGACAATTTTTTTCACCTATCATCTGTCAAATCAAATGAACAGCAACGAAGATACAGCGATTCAAAGTCGTCAAAAATGACCACTTTTCAGCAAAATAATCAAAAATTTTACCGACTTTGAAGTGCTGTATCTTCGTTACTGTTCGTTTAATTTGTACAAAATTTTTAGGGTATACTAACAAAAATACGATCGTTAATAGCAAATTTTTTATTTACTTTAAAAAATATTACCCTAAAATTTATTTTTCGAACGTTTTTTCATTATTAAATAAAAGGGCTTTAAAAATATTTTCTCGAAAAACCCTCGAAAACTGAGATATAAATTGAAGTATTTTTATCCAAAATTTCATAAAGAATAAAGGCGTTTTAGAGTTAGATTTTTTTACAGTGGTTGCAAAAAGTATGGCCAACACTGTATAATACTACGAGTAACCAAAAATATGTCGTACACTTTTTCACAAACAATTTTGACATATTGAATACTCGTAGTATTATGAATATTTAGATATTTACTTGTTGCAGAAATGGCGAATGCACAGGGAAATTATTGGCATACAATTTTTTTATTTTTATAATGTTAAGAACTTTACAAAAACCATATTCATCATGTTATCTGAATATTTCTTACTATTATCTACATGAAAAATTTTATAGGAATTTTTTAAACGTTTTGAAATTTGTAAAACACCGTAGAAAATACTTAAAACATAGTATGTATTGGAAAATCATAAAAGTGAATGCTAAAACAGATAATAAAAAGCATACATATTATAATATAAGTAAATCACAGAATATGATTTAATTTTTACAATTGTTTCAGCGCCATCCGTTGCATAAAATTTAAAGCAAAAACAGTTTCACGGAGGATAGAATCAATTTTTGTAACACCTACATAAACGGTTATAAAAATTATTTCTTTTAATTTTTAATAATATTTTATATTTGATTCGATTGCTTTGGATGTGTTTAATTTACTTAGTGAGCTGATATTTTTAGTATGCTGAGTACCTCAGATATTTGAAAACATATAGGTTAACCTAGAAAGAGTTACAGTCACGGAGGGTTTTAGTCTTTTAAAACATTTTAAAAAATAATTAATTGCGGTTAAAAATCTGGAACGTGAGCTGTAATATCTACATACTTAATTATGAAAGATCAAAACAAAATAAAAGTGTAGGTCAAACTAATTTAGTTTTATTAAATATGACGGGGTAACACCATCGGGGGACATTTCGTGAGATTCACCCACATATCAAAGTTTTGGTATTATTAACGTTTTTTAACTTTTTATATTTGAAGCTTCATTAAAAAAATCATTTCTATTTTTATAATTTATCATTTTTATGTTGATTATTCTTAATAAGGTATTTAAAAAATGCAACCACTTCCCTTTTTAATAATTACATCATATTTGAATAAAATTTAGGTCAAGGATTTGAATCAAACAGGGAGTTATACATTTCTTGAAAACACTGTGGTTTTAAAGAAAAATCTACAGTAAAATTCTGATAATTCTGATTTTGATTGATCATGGCATTGGGTAAAGAATTGTTTGTTTGTTCTTTTATAGAAAAACTATTCAATAACTATATGTATAAATAATGCATTTAATGATTAACCTTCTTGTTCTTCTTCTAGTAAAAAAATAAAATGTATTACTAGGATAAGAAATATATTTATTTATTAGTGCTTTTTAATAAATAAATATATGTACTTATTTATTTTATTCATTACAGTTTCTACAATCTTCAGAAGACGATTAGGATTTTTTGTTTGTGCAGTGCTTTATTCAATTTAATGAAAATAAATTCATTTTGTTAGTAATAATTATAAAATATTAGGATGTGGATATATATATATATCTACATATATGGGGCTGGTACTTTTTACTATCGCGTAATTATTACATTTCTAAGAATAATGTTATCGGTGAAAATTTCATTCAGTTAATTAATAATTGTAAAATCCATAGATAAAACTATAATATACAGGGTGTCCGGAAAAAGGAGGTCAATCCTTTAACCATATATTCCTTGAGTTAAAACAATAAGACTTTCATAATACCATTTTTCAATTTAGAGCTTCATGTTCGATATACAGGGCGACAAAGTTTGAAATTTAAAACAGATTTTTTTTAATAATTCGAGTAATTAATAAGGTATTAAGTTCAAATTTGGTACACTATTTCAACATAAATAGTTACATCTTTTGAGATCAACAAAACAAAAAACAAATGTCAAATAATCAAAATAGGGGGGGTCCAGTACTCACTGACCCCCCTATTTTTTAGTACGGGCGCCAGTGACTTCCAAATGGTATTTTTTCAGGTAATCATTTAGTGTTAAACATTTTTTGTCTCCTACAAAAATTTGATGAAATGATTTGTTTTAGAGATAATTTGTAAAGTATTGGTCCTTGATTGATGCCCAGGCGGCTTATGGCAATCTCATAATTTTCAAATGTACTACTGGACCACCCTATTTTGATTATTTGACAATTATTACATCTTTTTAGGACAACAAAACAAAAAACAATTGTCAAATAATCAAAATAGGGTGGTCCAGTACTACATTTGAAAATTATGAGATTGCCATAAGCCGCGTGGGCATCAATCAAGGACCAATACTTTACAAATTATCTCTAAAACAAATCATTTCATCAAAATTTTATAAGAGACAAAAAATGTTCAACACTAAATGATTACCTGAAAAAATACCGTTTGGAAGTCACTGGCGCCCGTACTAAAAAATAGGGGGGGTCAGTGAGTACTGGACCCCCCCTATTTTGATTATTTGACATTTGTTTTTTGTTTTGTTGATCTCAAAATATGTAACTATTTATGTTGAAATAGTGTACCAAATTTGAACTTAATACCTTATTAATTACTCGAATTATTAAAAAAAATCTGTTTTAAATTTCAAACTTTGTCGCCCTGTATATCGAACATGAAGCTCTAAATTGAAAAATGGTATTATGAAAGTCTTATTGTTTTAACTCAAGGAATATATGGTTAAAGGATTGACCTCCTTTTTCCGGACACCCTGTATGTATGTGATGTTCCTAGAATCCTACAATTAATAAATATTAATTGCTAACTTCACCTTTTACTGGCCAATACTTAGATCCAAAAATTACTTAAAATAAAAAGCAGTAGGTATTTTTGAGGGTCTCATCATTTATAGTATTTCATTTTATTTCATTCAATCATTAAAGCATTAGAGCATTTAATTTAAAGAACTAAAAAATTAAAGTGTAGTACACAAATTATTTAGCTTATTTCTAAAAAGGATTAACAAGTATTTTATCCGAAATCGGCAGTAAAGTAGTCAATAATCGACAGTAAAGTAAAAGAAATCGGCAGTAAAGTGGAACTTTACTGCCCATTTTACATTTTAAGATGTGTCTACTGCTCCTCAGTAGCAACTAAATAATATTTAAAAAAAGCACTGTCGCGGAGGTAGATTGGACCCTTTCATAAAATGTTGTTTAATAAAAATAATAAGTTAATTTTATTAATTAGATTAAAAAATTGCCGCGGCGGGCAAATGTATCATAACCGTCGCAACAAACAGTATACGTAGACACTTCCTACATTCAAATGACATTTGATCTGATCATGAAATGACATTTGATTTAATCATATATCACGAGAACTATGAATTTAATCGGTTAAACTAGGCTCAGTAGTTTTTTGTTTGGTTTTTCTTGGAAAATGTTGAAGGCAAAATAATTTAATAAAATCACGAGATCGCGTAGCGGTCGAGGGGTTTTATTTTTAATTATTTTGCATGAAACTATTTTCCAAAAAGAAAAATCAAATAAAAAACTTACTGAGCATAGTTTGACATATTAAATTTATAGGTTGAGTGATATACGTCTAGATTATTTCTCGAATTAAAGGAAACTATTTGACAATTCATAAAATCTGACGTATGTATGTGTCAAAATTTATAAATATTTTTTTAAAGAAAATTCCATTAATTTAAGGTATGTAATAAGTAATAATTGATATTTCGTAAACTAGATAACTTATTTTTTATTGTTTTTAAAAAAATGTTTGTTAAAACTTGTAAATAACACCATAAAATCGTAAACAAAAATCCAATATGGAGGCTAAAATTTAATCGCTGTTAAATAGTTCTAGTGATTTAATCGCTTATTTAATAGTTATTTATGTATTAAGGGCATAATAAGGTTTTTATGGTCCGAGGCGCTAGAAAAGCGTCGTAGGGCCATAAAAACCAGTTATGCCAGCAATGCATACAAAACTTCATGCACGATTAATATATTATTATTTTTAATATATTATTGTTTTTAAAGACGTTTACGTCAAAGAATGTTTGTTATAATTGTCATATTATAATGTCAACTGACATCAGTCAGTTTTAAATTTTAAAGATGAATGAAAATGAGGAAGCAGCTGAAAAGGCGAAAAATTGCGGCCTGCTGCCGGAAAAATTAAAATCTTTATACGAAAAAACTTACTTAAATAGTGTAACATTGTTGTTTTTAATTTTTGACGTTTCATTATAGCCCGCTGGATCATAATAACGCCCGCGGGCTATAAAAAGACGTTTACGTCAAAGAATTTTTGTTATAATTGTCATATTATAATGTCATCGTGCATAAACGAAATTTATTCGAAAATTCAAGGCTTTTGATTGGTTCATATTATAATGAGGGAAATAATCATCAATATTAAATATTAGTATGATTAAATGTGATTTCGGATAAAATTAAATGGTAAACGGAAAAAAGCCCCTGGAAAAAAAACCATGGAAAAAAACCCCCGGAAAAAAAAACCCCTAGGAAAATAAACAGGAAAAAATACCCCCTTACAATTTTTTTCGGAATTATTTAACAATTTTTTTATATTTTTTTTTAACTTTTTTAGAATTTTTTTACAATTTTTTTTACAATTTTTAGCATTTTTGGGCATTGATTTTTGCAATTTTTTTTTATTTTTGCCAATTTCGGGGATTTTTACTCAATGGGGCGGGGGGGTCGGTAGGGTTGTGTTGTTGAGTTTGGGTTGATTTGGGTTGGTTTCGCTCATTTTTGCGGTATTTTTACAATTTTTGCATTTTTTATGTGACACTCGTCAAACCGGGATTTATTTTTTGCCTTTTTTTTCTTGGGTTTTTTTTCCTAGGGGTTTTTTTTTTCTAGGGTTTTTTTTTCCGGGGGTTTTTTTTTCGGGGGTTTTTTTTCCGTGGTTTTTTTTTCCAGGGGTATTATTTCCTAGATTCAAATTAAATATGCACCTCGGCATTAAAGACATTTTTTATCACTCACGTGGTTATTTGCCTCGGCTTTCGCCTCTGCCAATAATTTCCACATTCGTGATAAAAAATACGACCATACTGCCTTGATACATAAATAACTATTTTTTCACTATAACATAGTTATTACTTGCAAAAATGGTGGATGCGCCGGGAAATTCATTAATTGAATCTAGGAAATAATACCCCTGGAAAAAAAACCATGGAAAAAAAACCCCCGGAAAAAAAACCCCCGAAAAAAAAAACCCCTAGGAAAAAAAACCCAAGGAAAAAAAGCCAAAAAATAAATCCCGGTTTGACAAGTGTCACATAAAAAATGCAAAAATTGTAAAAATACCGCAAAAATAAGCGAAACCAACCCAAATCAACCCAAATCAACCCAAACTCAACAACACAACCCTACCGACCCCGCCCCATTGGCCCCCCTGCCCCATTGAGTAAAAATCCCCGAAATTGGCAAAAATAAAAAAAAATTGCAAAAATCAATGCCCAAAAATGCTAAAAATTGTAAAAAAATTCTAAAAAAGTTAAAAAAATTTTTAAAAAAATTGTTAAAAAATTCCGAAAAAAATTGTAAGGGGGTATTTTTTCCTGTAGGTTTATTTTCCTAGGGGTTTTTTTTCCGGGGTTTTTTTTTCGGGGGTTTTTTTCCATGGTTTTTTTTCCAGGGGCTTTTTTTTCCGTTTACCCATTAATTATTGTATCAGTTGCGGCGATTTTTTGTAATTATTACAGATGAAAAATAAATTATTATTTAATTTACTTTGGCACGCCTACATCCAAGGAAATAAGCAGGTGTTGTGGCAACGGAATTTTAGATAAATTATATTTCACACGTGAAGTCAAAACGAAATTTTAACCTTGAATAACTTTTGATTGAGTGAATTTAGCCAAAAATGTTAAGAGGCTTTTTTTGTAAAGCATTTGATTTCCCATAAGAATATTTATCGGTTTTTTTTCTGGGTACTGATTGTTACATTAATTACAAAATTCCAAAGTTAAAAGATCAAAATGTAAAACTATACCAATTTTTAAGGCATGATTTTAAGGAAACGGTTTATCTGACGGAAAATTTCTCTTTAACCTTTTTTGTAGAGCATTTAATTTTCTTAAAAAATATTTTTAGTCAATTTTGTTAAACTCAATGGTTTGGGATTTCTGAGCCTAAAACTTGAGGAAAAAAAAATTGCTATGATAGACCTCTTAATGTTAATATTATGGACTCAAACTTCTACAATCATTTTTTTTTGTCACCCCAAACCATACTTTCGATATACTTTTCCCAGTCTAATGAATAATAAGGGAAAAGTGATAAATTAAATTCGAAAAAAAACCGTTTATTCACTATTTAATAAAAATTATCTATTAGTTGCAAAAATGGTGAATGCACCGGGAAATTCAATTGTCCCAGTGGCGGCGATTTTTTGTAATTATTAGTTGAAAAATAAATTTTTAATTTACTTTATCAAATTTATAACCATTTAAACCCTTAAAAAATTTTAAAACCTTAAAAAAATAATTTAATTTACTTTAGCAAAATTATAATCATTTAAACTCTTAATAGTATATTACACAGTACAACACGATTTCCCTCCCATGAAAAATTTTAGCAGATTTTGAAAATAGAGGTAAAAAAAACGTACCCGTGTCTCACAGTTTCACGAGATCACGTCATAAAAAAATTTTAAGCCGTTATTCCTATTATTTATGCTTATACAGATTGTACATTTTTTACTCGGTTAAAAATATATTTTTTTGTAAATATTGTATGTTTTTACACAATACAAAAAACAAATATAAAAAAGTTTATATTTTGATTTTTTTTAAATAATTTTTTTTTATTTTTTTTTTAATGAAACACATTTTTGTATTTATCTTATATTCAATACATGTTGGAATAAAATCTTGGTCGTTTAGTTTGACGATTATACAGCTTGTTCAGACTAAAACCAAATATATCTATATATATATGGGGCGTGGCCTCGCCTCCCTCCAACACGCGACACAGTAGCTAAGCAAATAGACTGCATCGCTAATGAGATTTTTTGCATTATTATCTTTTAATTTTTTAAGTCCTTACCTGCTCGACCTTTCGTCATGTCGTTTATCACCCAAGCAACTGTGACGCGCCTTGGAGGGAGGCGAGGCCACGCCCCATATATATATATAGATATATTCGGTTTTATTCTGAACAGGCTGTATATTGCTTCAGAATCTCGAACAATTGACCAGCAATATTCACCCAGCAAATGCCTGACGTCTTTTCCCTTGAAGCGTTTTTAAATTGTTAAAATGTCTTGGTGAAAACGTTCGCCATTTTCGTCACTAAAATCGCCCAAATTTGGTGGAAAATAGTCCAAATGAGCATGGAGAAAATGTATTTTCAGTGACATATGTACTTTCATGTCCTGTGCTATAAAATGTACTTTATAACCCGAACTACAGGGAATAAATTCAGATTCCATCTCGGAAAAAATGGTTGTACTGGGTGTTAAAGGTCTTTTACTTTTATCCTCACATATGTTTTCTGAAGGAGCAGTTGGATAATCTTCAGATCGCCCTCTTGCGAGAATGACGGATTCTACATCGGCGTAATCAATTTTCTCTCTAGAATTGTACCGAAATCCAAAAATTTTTAATTTTGACATGCAGAAATAACACTGGTCAGATGCGTGTTCAGTAAGTCGCGACGGGTCGAAGCCAAATTGTTGGTGCAACATATTTCATACTGTGTGTTTTATCTTGCAAGCCATGCAAACAACGGTAACAATAATCGCATAAAACCTCTGGTACATACCATAAGTTTGGTATATACGTCACCAAAAAATAGTCTTCAAAAGCTGTTACTACACTTTTTGTAATATTTCGCATATGGCTTGGAGGTGCAAATAAACCACATACATAACAAAAATTATTTCGATTCGGACACTGCATTTTTACTTTGATTTCAAATGGATGGTTAACTCAACAATCAAAATTAATTTGAAAAATTTATCGATTTATCGCTGCAATAATGTTTTTATTTAACATTAAAAAAAAAGTATTACCCTCGTATAAAGATTGTTTTGAAAACAATGCTTTTTATGTATAAATGCCGCAGATGTATAAATTTTTTGTTTTTTTGCTGTTTCAATTGACTTCGTATACTTAAATACTTTTTTTAAAACTTAAATTAAATATGTTTTAGGTACACTTGCTTTAAGACTTAAATCAATTCATTTAAATATCTTTTAATTTTTTTTAAAAATGTTAATTCAACAAAGCTCAATTTTTACAAAAAATTAAATAAATAAAAATTGTAATCACCCGACTTTAAAGCATTTTGATTGGCTTAAAATTGAAACATTTTGTTACTTGGTTTAAAAATAAACCGTTTGATATATATATAAATGTGCAAAACTCTGTATAAGATTAAAATAATTTTAAAATGCATCTATAATGGTTGCCTATCCATTTAGTAAATATATATATTTTTAACTATGCAGTCCAGCTGTTATCGAGTCTATTAAATTATGTCGCGAATAGTGTGAATAACATTTTATTGGATAGCCCTTAAAAAAAATTATGACGTGATGTGAAAAAACGCCGAGACACGGGTATCATTTTTTTAACTCTATTTTTAGAATCTGTAGAAATTTTTCATGGGAGGGACCAAAAATCAAATTTTGTCGTACTGTGTTATGTATCAAGTTTGATAAACGCCATTTTATACACGAATTTAATTTAGGCACGAGCGAGCTTGCGAGCGAGTGCTTAACTTAATGAGTGTATAGAAGTTTATAAACGAGGTGCATACTATACTTTTTCTACGACAAATACTTATTATAATCTTAAAATGATTTAAATCAAAAATTTGTATAGAGCGCCATATATGAAACAATAGGGAAATCTGTGGGTCACAGATTATAAAGGTTATAAATCGAAATGTATTTCTTGAAAATTGACAGTTTTTCACAGTGAAAGTAAAGAAAATGTTTTATGAGCACTTTACAGTGGAGTCCGTGCCCAAATTTAAGTTACTTAGTGCCATGGAAACATGTACGATAAGGGGCGTTTTAAAGGTGGGAGTAGAAAAAAATATTTTCTATTACATTATAACACAGGTTTTATATATTAAAAGTCTTGATACTATTTTAAATAATAAAGGGAGATTTTTTTACAATTTTTTAGGATTCTGGTTGTCTGTAAATCATCCACCTTCAAGATGGTGCGCGACTTCTAAGACACCCTGTATAATTGCTAATTATGCAAATTTTATAATTTATACAACAAAAAATATCTGTAATAATAATTATTTAGTCCTTGTTTTACATTTCAATGATTATCTCCCATATCGTTTTTGCGGAATATTTCTTTTTCAGGGGCAGGTCCTGGTTTCTGCTTTGCATTAGATTATTTAATAATTGTATGTTGTGGGTTTTTTAAGTTACTGCATTCTGCCACTTATAGTTTTTTTTAACAATTCAGATATAGTAGTTTTAAGTTGTGTTCCATTATTTTTATATGTAAGGGATGTGCAATTTTTGGCTATTGCCATCATCTTGGATGTCTATTCCAAAGTATTTGCAAAGTTTTGCGGCTGAAATAGTTTTTAAAATAATTTAATTTTTAACTTACTTACCTTGTAAAATCGCTGCCAGTAATCCGATAGAATCAAGATTAATACCACAAAAATATTGATAGAGTATCTTTTATTTTTTTTTAAATTTTTGTTGGTTTCCTTTCAACGTCATTTAGGAAGTTTCTAGTTGGACGAAATAATAAAATTAAATAAAAAAACAAACTATGTAACATGTATCTTTATTCACAAGTTTTTTGTACACTAATCTAAAACATAACATTAGATTTACTTTTTTACAATAACATTTAAGTTTTGAATGCTACATTGAAGAAGAAAAAATTCCAAACACCATTTACTTTAATTAAGAAACTAGAATAAAAATACTGAAAGCTGTAGGGGTGTATCGCTTTGTACAACATAAAAATGACAATAATCAATAATGGAATGTTCATGCTTCCACTTTTATATTATTTTTTTAATAAGACTACAATAATTTTCAATATCAACAAACATGATAGGTATATTACGTTTAATTAGGTATATATTACAATATTGTCGCGAATTATACATGAAGAGTTTTGATCTTAAAATCTATCGTTTCAAACCAAAAAACAGTTTTGCTTCTATTTACAAAGGTATGGCTTTACTGTGTGGCGGGGGGAAGGTTCATCTAAAATATAATAAAATCAAGTGGACAGACAATTTGTAACAAATCTACTCAACTAAGTGTTAACGAAAAAATAAAACTGCAATTTTTGGCTATTGCCATCATCCAAAGTATTTGCAAAGTTTTGAGGCTGAAAAAGTTTTTGAAATTATTTAATTTTTAACTTACTTACCCTGTTAAATCGCTGCCAGTATTCCGATAGAATCAAGATTAATACCACAAAAATATTGTTAGAATATCTTTTTTTTTTTTTTAGTTTTTGTTGGTTTCCTTTCAACGTCATTTAGAAAGTTTCTAGTTGGATGAAATAATAAAATTAAACAAAAAAAACAAACTATGTAACATGTATCTTTATTCACAAGTTTTTTGTACACTAATCTAAAACATAACATTAGATTTACTTTTTTACAATAACATTAAGTCTTGAATGCTACATTGAAGAAGAAAAAATTCCAAACACCATTTACTTTAATTAAGAAACTAGAATAAAAATACTGAAAGCTGTAGGGGTGTATCGCTTTGTACAACATAAAAATGACGATAATCAATAATGGAATGTTCATGCTTCCACTTTTATATTATTTTTTAATAAGACTACAATAATTTTCAATATCAACAAACATGATATATTACGTTTAATTAGGTATATATTACAATATTGTCGCGAATTATACATGAAGAGTTTTGATCTTAAAATCTATCGTTTCAAACCAAAAAACTGTTTTGCTTCTATTTACAAAGGTATGGCTTTACTGTGTGGCTGGGGGAAGGTTCTTCTAAAATACAATAAAATCAAGTGGACAGACAATTTGTAACAAATCTACTCAACTAAGTGTTAACGAAAAAATAAAACTGTGCAATTTTTGGCTATTGCCATCATCTTGGATGTCTATTCCAAAGTATTTGCAAAGTTTTGAGGCTGAAATAGTTTTTAAAATAATTTAATTTTTAACTTACTTACCTTGTTAAATCGCTGCCAGTAATCCGATAAATCAAGATTAATACCACAAAAATATTGATAGAATCTATTATTTTTTTAAAAAATTTTTGTTGATTTCCTTTCAACGTCATTAAGGAAGTTTCTAGTTGGATGAAATAATAAAATTAAATAAAAACAACAAACTATGTAACATGTATCTTTATTCACAAGTTTTTTGTACACTAATCTAAAACATAACATTAGATTTATTTTTTTACAATAACATTAAGTCTTGAATGCTACATTGAAGAAGAAAAAATTCCAAACACCATTTACTTTAATTAAGAAACTAGAATAAAAATACTGAAAGCTGTAGGGGTGTATCGCTTTGTACAACATAAAAATGACGATAATCAATAATGGAATGTTCATGCTTCCACTTTTATATTATTTTTTTAATAAGACTACAATAATTTTCAATATCAACAAACATGATATATTACGTTTAATTAGGTATATATTACAATATTGTCGCGAATTATACATGAAGAGTTTTGATCTTAAAATCTATCGTTTCAAACCAAAAAACTGTTTTGCTTCTATTTACAAAGGTATGGCTTTACTGTGTGGCTGGGGGAAGGTTCATCTAAAATACAATAAAATCAAGTGGACAGACATTTGTAACAAATATACTCAACTAAGTGTTAACGAAAAAATAAAACTGTGCAATTTTTGGCTATTGCCATCATCCAAAGTATTTGCAAAGTTTTGAGGCTGAAATAGTTTTTGAAATAATTTAATTTTTAACTTACTTACCTTGTAAAATCGCTGCCAGTAATCCGATAGAATCAAGATTAATTAATACCACAAAAATATTGATAGAATCTATTATTTTTTTTTTAATTTTTGTTGGTTTCCTTTCAACGTCATTTAGGAAGTTTCTAGTTGGACGAAATAATAAAATTAAATAAAAAAACAAACTATGTAACATGTATCTTTATTCACAAGTTTTTTGTACACTAATCTAAAACATAACATTAGATTTACTTTTTTACAATAACATTTAAGTTTTGAATGCTACATTGAAGAAGAAAAAATTCCAAACACCATTTACTTTAATTAAGAAACTAGAATAAAAATACTGAAAGCTGTAGGGGTGTATCGCTTTGTACAACATAAAAATGACGATAATCAATAATGGAATGTTCATGCTTCCACTTTTATATTATTTTTTTAATAAGACTACAATAATTTTCAATATCAACAAACATGATATATTACGTTTAATTAGGTATATATTACAATATTGTCGCGAATTATACATGAAGAGTTTTGATCTTAAAATCTAACGTTTCAAACCAAAAAACTGTTTTGCTTCTATTTACAAAGGTATGGCTTTACTGTGTGGCTGGGGGAAGGTTCATCTAAAATACAATAAAATCAAGTGGACAGACAATTTGTAACAAATCTACTCAACTAAGTGTTAACGAAAAAGTAAAACTAGTGGCGCGAATCCCTGGGGTAGAATTCGGCCAGCGTGGTGGCCGGGATACGCTTGAGCATCTCCTTGGGGAAGATGCGCAGCAGCTGCCAGCCGATGTCCAAGGACTCGAAAACCGTGCGGTTCTCGTAGTTCCCTTGCGTGATGAAGTTCTTCTCGAACTTGGTGAGGAACTCGAGGTAGAGCAGGTCGTCGGGCGTGAGCGCCTCTTCGCCCACGACGGCCTTCATGGCCTGCACGTCCTTACCGATGGCGTAGCAAGCGTACTGAATTCGGAAACATTTTGTTAATTTAAGAAAAATCAATAGTAGTAATAATAATAACAGGGTCAGAATTCTTGAAAAATGGAAAAAACTCGATCAACACATTTTTATTACATACTATGGACTATGTTCTTTGTGGGTCTAATATCCGTATTTTTTTAATTAATTTGACAATACGGCCATTTCAAGCGCGCGAAACGCACGAATTACAAAACTGTTTTTATAAAAAAAATTGTAGAATATTTATTATACTATTATTATAATGTTTTGAAATATGTTGTCAAAATTTTAACTTTCGGACTTGTACTGTAATTTTAAATGTAAAAAAAATATGCGCAAAGGTTAAAATTTTTAGGACATCTTAGGCTCAAAAATGGCATTATTTTTCATTATTTTGTTAGGTACTTTATATTTTATTATTTAAAAATTAACTAAAAAATTAGCTTTTTTCAAATAATGAATAAAAACCTCAAAACCTGTCAAAACCAAAAATCGTTATAACTTCGTTATTGCTGGGAATTTTGAAAAAAGTAAGTTTTACACGTAAACTTATCTACATTTTTATTCAATTTTTTTTGCCTACCTACTTAATTTTCTGAGTTAGCACCACATAGAGGGTCTAATATCCGTATTTTTTTAATTAATTTGACAATACGGCCATTTCAAGCGCGCGAAACGCACGAATTACAAAACTGTTTTTATAAAAAAAATTGTAGAATATTTATTATACTATTATTATAATATTTTGGCATCAAAATTGACAAAAATATTCTTGTTTTATTAGGTTATACGTTAAATAAAAAAAACGCAAGAAATATTTTATAAAAGTAGAGATAATTTAAATAATTGAAAGGTGGACAAAAAGAAGATTTATCTTGTCCCGTCCACACCTATCAAATATTGAAATTATCTCTACTTTTATAAAATATTTTTTGCGATTTTTTATTTAATATATAGCCTAATAAAAGAAGAATATATTTGACAATTTTGATGCAAAAATGATATATAATTAATTCCCCACAATTTTATTTATAAAAATTGGTTTGTGATTTGTCCCGTCCGTCCGCTTGAAATGGTCGAATAGCAAAAATATTAATTTTAAAGGTGTAAAAAAATAAGCACAAAGGTTAACATTTTTAGGACATGTTTCATTATTGTGTTACTTTATATTTTATTATTATTTAAAAATTGACTAAAAAATCAGCGTTTTTCAAATGAAAAAAACTCAAAACCTGTCAAAACAAAAAATCGTTATAACTTATTATTGCTGAAAATTTTGAAAAAAGTCAGTTTTTCATGTAAACTTATCTACATTTTTATTAAATTTGTGATTTTTTTGGCCCACTAAATTTTGACATAGCACCACCATCTTTTGTTTATCCTATGGCCGCCATATTGAGATTTTACATAATACAAAAAAATCAAGGGATCCATAATTTATTACATTATTTACATAACAAAGTTAAAAAAAATTGTGAAAAGATATAAATAATTTTACAGAATGTAAATATTATATTTTATAAAATAGTAAAAATATTGTCACAAAAATTTATTTAGAACTGTAAAACTGATTTTTTGAAATATGTTGTCAAAATTTTAACTTTCGGACTTTTACTGTAATTTTAAATGTAAAAAAAATATGCGCAAAGGTTAAAATTTTTAGGACATCTTAGGCTCAACAATGGCATTATTTTTCATTATTTTGTTAGGTACTTTATATTTTATTATTATTTAAAAATTAACTAAAAAATTAGCTTTTTTCAAATAATGAATAAAAACCTCAAAACCAAAAATCGTTATAACTTCGTTATTGCTGGGAATTTTGAAAAAAGTAAGTTTTACACGTAAACTTATCTACATTTTTATTCAATTTTTTTTGCCTACCTACTTAATTTTCTGAGTTAGCACCACCATCTTTTGTTTTTTCTATGGCCAGGATATTGGAATTTTACATGATAAAAAAAATTAAGGGATCCAAGAATGTACCAAACTACATGATAGGGTGGCCATTATAAAAAAAAGATGGTGATGGTAATTAAGGTTTTAAAATTTCCGGATAAATTAAGCTGGCAAAAAAAATGTTCTTTTTTGGAAAAAACGTAAAAATTTTATTTAAAAAATGTCAAAATTTTTACGGATACACTGATATCGAGAAAAAAGTGAATTTCCAACGCTGAATATAATCATAATATTATGATTATAATAATTATTCCTTCAGTTCAGTTAAAATAATCTACCGGGCCGCAAAAAAACATATTCGATGATATATTAACATAACACTTTGATTTATAAAATTATAACTTTGTAATTTAACTTTATAAATCATTTAATATTTTGTGATTGGATATTTTAAATGGACTTCTTTTTGCAAAAAAGACCCAACCGATTGTATATTTAACGTGTACGTTTATTTTCTTAAATAAATTTAATTTAATTCAATTTTAGTTTTATTTTTTTCATTCTGTAATAAAGGATATTTTTTAAATTAAAATAATCCTAAGTTGTAGATTGCTACTTTTTGCTTGTGCATAAAATTCCCGAAAAAAGCCAATTTTTCCAAGACCTGGGGAAAAACAGGTTTTTTCCCAATTTTTCCGGTTTTTTTTTCGACACTTTAAAACCCCAATGGTAACACAAAACATAGTAGCGAAGAAATTAGATGAAAATGTCGAATAATGTGTATGTTTACATGTAATACTTACTTTGTTTTAAATTTCCCAGAAATAACAAAGGATTTTTGGTTTTGAAAGGCTTTTAGTTTTTTTCAAATATAATAAATTTCATGTCAATAGGCTTGTAATAAAAAAGATAACCATAGAAGTATACGCATAGTAAAATACTTGGTGCACCCTGTATAATATGTTATATTATATTATTCTTAAAATTAGAACAAAATTACTATGTTGAATGATGCAAACCGGATTGTTTTATTTGTTAAGTATATTGTTTTCTTGTAATTGATAATGTGAATTAAGTATAAATCAAATTTAAATTCTTAAAATTACTTAAGTGGTTAAAAACTATCTTTTTAAAACCACAAAATAATGGGAGTACATGTTTAACAATAGCTTTGCAGCAACAATACCTTGAGTAAATTAGGAAATTTTGATGATGAAATACTAATTATTAAAAATAGATTTAACAATAACAGGAATCTAAAAACTGAATTTAAAAATATATTTAAAAAACCAGATTATTAAATGAATCATTAAAGCAAACAATTTGTTTTTAAAAAAAGTAAAAAATAAACAAAATATAATATGGTTTTAAAAGTTTAATAAAGATAAAAGTTTAGCACTTAAATTATGTTTTAACAGAAATTTATAAAGTTAAATTTTTTTTAACTCAAAACAATTGATAATATTTAAAAAATAAAATGCAACAGTAAAAATTTATGTTTAAAAATATTGATTTTTAAAAGTTTTGGTTGTAATATTTTATTCTACAAAATTATTGTTTGCAATTTTTAAAAAGTCATTTAAATGATAGTTGATAAATTTTTAATACAAAAATTCTCACATTACATTAAATGTAAGTTTTAAATTTTAAAGTAGTAATTTTTAGATTAAAAATTGATCGACTATATCATTTAAATGACTCTTTACAAATTTAAACCATTTTTTTTTATTTTTAACAATTTTAAAGTGATATATTTTTAAGACAAAATTTATAACTTTACATTTAAATGTAAGTCGATAATTTTTAAATTACAAAGTGTAAACGTAGCTTTAGTAGAAGGCACAAGAGTCTGGGATCGGAGCCACGATGCAGCCACTTTGATCCGTTGATGTTTTTTAATTGTCGAATTAACTTAGTACAATAGGCACTAAAAATGTTGTTCTATTATTAAATGTATGTAATAAAGAAACATTTCATTGCGATAATTTGTAAAACGCGTCAAATATTTATGGAGCAAGCACGATTTGGCAACACTGCATCGTGGCTCGGATCCTAGACTCTTGTGCCTTCTACTAAAGCTACGTTTACACTTTGTAATTTAATAATTATCGACTTACATTTAAATGTAAAGTTAAAAATTTTGTCTTAAAAATGTATCAATTTAAAATTGTTAAAAATAAAAGTTATTGGTTTAAATTTGTAAAGAGTCATTTAAATGATAGTCGAAAAATTTTTAATGCAAAAATTACCACTTTAAAATTTAAAACTAACATTTAAATGTAATGTTCAAATTTTTGTATTGAAAATTTATCGACTATCATTTAAATTCAAACCAATAATATTGAAGAATAAAATATTAAAATTCCATTTTTTAAAAATTAATATTTTTAAACTTAAACTTTTACAGTTGCATTTTATATTAAAAATATTTTTTGATTATCAATAGTTTTGAGTTTACAAAAATTTAATTTTTTAAACTATTTTGGTAGAAAATGTTTTATATGTGTTTTTATTTTAAATGGCTTAATACTATTTTTAAATACTATAAAATTTAACTTTACCAAATAAATCTCAATAATTTTATAAAATATTTATTTAAGTTCACAAAATTTTTATTAAAAAATGATAGTTAGAAATTTTTGCAAAATTTGATAGAAAATAATATTGTTTACTACAGAAGTGAACTGTTGGTTAGTAAATTTTGCATTTCAATACATGATAGTTGAAAATATTATAGATTTATAAATGTAAACCTAAAATTTTTAGTTAAAAAAAATTTTAAACCAATAAAATTTTAAATTGAAAAATTATTTAATAAATGTTATAACGGCATGCCATAGTAAATTGTTTCGATGGAAAAAGTGATTTAAAAGGAAATTATTAATCAAAATGTGTTACCAAGGTAAAAAAAACTGCTAAATAAATTTTTAAAGTTTATATAACAAAATGGGCTTTGCTTTCTTTTATTAGATGTCCCGAAAATAGCGCACTAATTCCATACCACATGATAGTATAAAATAAAATAAATAATTTTTTGATAAAGTTTTAAGACAGCAATTCCACAAGTCAAATTTATTAATAATAGCCAAGTTATAGGATTTAAAATGTTGACACAAATTGTCAACAAAACGAATATCTAAAAACGAGTTCCCACTTACCAGCTGGTTGGAGACGTCGGAGTGGTCCTTACGGGTCATTCCCTCGCCGATGGCGGACTTCATGAGACGCGACAGAGACGGCAGCACGTTGATCGGCGGGTAGATCTGCCTGTTGTGCAGCTGACGGTCGACGTAGATCTGCCCTTCGGTGATGTACCCGGTCAGATCGGGAATCGGATGGGTGATGTCGTCGTTGGGCATCGTCAGGATGGGGATCTGCGTGATCGAGCCGTTGCGACCTTCGACGCGACCGGCGCGCTCGTAGATGGTGGCCAGATCGGTGTACATGTAACCGGGGAAACCCCTACGACCGGGCACCTCTTCACGAGCGGCAGATACCTACGAATGACGATGATTTTTTTGAATTTTTTGATGTGTCAGATTACACTGCACGGTGCTGTTCTGAGAGGTGATTTTTGGACTTTCTGTGAAACCTAATTTTTTTTTATATTCTCGTTAATTAGGTCATAACTAAAATTTTAAGAGCAAAATAAAAAAAATTGGACGGTTAATTTTGTTTTAATTGGATGTTTATTAAAAATATGTATGCACTCTTTCATTTATCCAATTAAAACTAGCGATTTAATTTAAATATTTAATATTTGCATAACTAAAAAAAGGGAGTAGGGAGAAAAAAGGGCTGAATCATAAAAAAAAGTTATCCAACCAATATTTAATGAATTTACTGCCATTTTTATAACTGAAAACGTAAGAAATTGATAAATACCAACCCATAATGTTATTTAGATTGATTTTTTCTATTTATTATCATTATATTTCCCTACACTAAGAAGTTTTTTAGAATTATTATGATTTCTCACTCATAATGAATATGAAAACAACACATAAATTCATAAAAAAACAATAAGAAAATTGTAACGTGGATTTTGCAATTTTTCAACATTTCTGTCATATAGCAAAAAAATATAAATGAAGATTATTTAATTTTTTTAAGCGAAATTTGAAATATGTTACATAACCTTCTGTATATTCCGATTAAAGTTTTGTTGTTTTTTTATGAATTTATGTGTTGTTTTCATATTCATTATGAGTGAGAAATCATAATAATTTTAAAAAAGTTCTTAGTGTAGGGAAATATAATGATAATAAATAGAAAAAATCAATCTAAATAACATTATGGGTTGGTAATTATCAATTTCTTACGTTTTCAGTTATAAAAATGGCAGTAAATTTATTAAATATTGGTTGGATAACTTTTTTTTTATGAATCAGCCCTTTTTTCTCACTACTTTTGGCGATTTGCTCGAAAAAAATAAAAATAAACGATTTTTTTCAAAAACTGTCGTTTGACGACTCCTTCTGGTGAACCAATGCGAGTTACAAAAAAAAACTCAAAAGCAATTTTAAAAAGCGTGAAATTCCCCATAAGGTGTATTAAACCGATTTGCAATATTGTCAAAGGTGGGTAAGCATTAGAAATTTGAAAAAAAATAAATATTTTTTACATGCATTTTAAACGGTAAAACTTTAAATTTAAATAGTAAGTGCTTAAAATTAATATTAAGAGCTCAAACTTGGTGAGAATGTTTTTTCCTATATGCAGATTAATATTTTCCTTGAGCACCGAAAAAAAACAAAAACTTTGCGGAAATGAATCACCCTATTATATATATCCTTTGTGAGTACAATATCTTTTTTAAATGCTTTACAAACTAGGTGCGATGGAGAATGCCTTTCTACGAAATGTAAATCTTACCTCACGCAGAGCCTCGGCGTAGGACGACATGTCGGTGAGGATGACCAGGACGTGCTTCTCGCACTGGTAGGCCAGAAACTCGGCCGCAGTGAGCGCCAGACGCGGCGTGATGATCCTCTCGATGGTGGGATCGTTGGCCAGGTTCAGGAACAGGCACACGTTCTCCATGGAGCCGTTCTCCTCGAAGTCCTGCTTGAAGAAGCGCGCCGTCTCCATGTTGACTCCCATGGCGGCGAAAACGATGGCGAAGTTGTCCTCGTGGTCGTCGAGCACCGATTTGCCGGGCACCTTGACGAGCCCCGCTTGACGGCAGATCTGCGCGGCGATCTCGTTGTGCGGTAAGCCGGCGGCGGAGAAGATGGGGATCTTTTGGCCGCGAGCGATCGAGTTCATCACGTCGATGGCCGTGATGCCGGTCTGGATCATCTCCTCGGGGTAGATACGCGACCACGGGTTGATGGGCTGACCTTGGATGTCCAAGAAGTCCTCCGCCAAGATTGGGGGTCCTAACGCGACAAATAACATTTAAGCCTGATTTAATCCTTCCTTCCTACCGTAAAAGATAAACAATACGAAACCGTAGTGTTGTTATAGATTATCGTACGGGGATCTATAAATGGCACTACGATTTTCGTACGGGAGGAAGGAAGGCATTCTATAAATATAAATTTTTATTATTTGCAGACGATCTAATATTATATAAAGAAATTAGGTCTTTTAAGGATTGCTGTCATATTCAGTTAGATCTTAATTAAATACAATTGTGGTGTGAAAAAATTTTTATGAACCTAAATGTTAATAAGTGCAGCGCTGGATTTACACTACGGGCAGTCGGGGCTGGTGCCCAGGGCGGCAAATTTTTTAGGGAGGCAAAAAAATTTATCTTCCGATATTTTGAAACTTTTGCATGCAAACGACCTTTACACTGAGTTTCCGAACGTGGAAATCGCATATCGAATATTCATTTCATTAGCTGTAATAAACTTTAGCGTAGAACGATCGTTTTCATGTTTGAAAAGAATTAAAAACTACTTACGTTCAACAATGAGTGCAAAAAGACTCAATAGCTTAGCTATAGCTATATATTCCATATATATATAGCTATGTATCGAATCAGACGTACTTCAACGTTTAGATTGTGAAGATTTATTTAATCGACCAATTTGCAATTCAAAAAGTAAGGCGTGTTTGCCTGTGAAAAAAATTAACGAAATACAATTATGAGTCGCCCTTATAATATACATATATATAATATACTATAGTGCAAAATTTATAATTCTTAGAACAGAAAGAATATTTTTTATGTTATTAAAGTATGTATAATAAATTTTAAACTATAACTTTATATAAAATTTTACTGTTGAGGCGGCATTTTCAACAGTGCCCAGGGGCGGCACTAAGTTTAAATCCGGCCCTGAATAAGTGTAAATATATTAGTTTTTATAGAATTCAAAAAAATATTTCCTTTCCGTACTCTTTAACTAATATTTTTTTAGAAAGAGTCACTAATATAAAAGATTTAGGTGTTTATTTTGATAGTAAACTAACATCTCCTATCTCTATCTCCCTATCACATTAATTTTATTGTTAATAAATCATTAAAGATGTTGGTATTTGTCAAACAAAGTCTTAAAGATTTTAATAATGTTCAATGCTTAAAAAATGTTTATATGTCCTTCGTGCGCAGTATTGTTGTATTGTTTGGTCACCTTTTTATGTTAACCATAATATTAAACTAGAAAGAGTACAAAATAAATTTTTGCAATATTGCGCATACAAACTAAACATTGAATGTACTTATTCTTTAGATTTAGTTAGAAGTGTTGCCAATTTAGATAAACTAAGTAAGAGAAGAACTGAATTTGGAATTGTATTTTTATAAAAACTATTGAATAATAGAAGAATGTTAGAGCAAATAAATTTTAATGTTTCTTTAAAAAATACAAGGCAACATCATTTATTTTATATGTATAAAGACCCATAGGACCACTTATAGTAAATTTATGCCTTTAAGTAGAATCTGTTCTGAAGCAAATTATTTAAATTTAGATTTTTTCGATTGTTCCCTAACTGTCTTTAAAAGAAATTTAAAAGTATTATTATTGTAAAAAATTGTAATTTGTACCTGGTTGATCCGTTAATAAAGTTATTATTATTATTATTATAAATCAGGCTTTATACAATGGCGCGGGCGAAAAATAAACCGGTTTTTTTATTCAGTAAAAACTGAAAAATTGAGAAATTTCCATTTAATTTTGCATTTGTTTCACTTTATTCAAATGCAAAAGTCAATTTTTCTGAAAATTTACAAATTTTTACGGGTAATTATTATTAATATTATTATTACGCTAATTAATAATATGATTATAATAATTATTTCTTTTATTTTAATTCAAGGTTTTTCCATTGTAACGGGTGCGACACTAAAACTGCGTTTTTTCATGATAATCATGTGTTTGTTCATATATGTATATAATAATACGTAAATATAAAAAATAGTATAAAAAATTAGGTATTTAACTCAAACAAAATGTCAATAAAAACGTCATGAATAGCGTAACGAGCGCTACCTTGGAAAATCGACAAATGCAACCAAGTTGGCTTCTAAAGTTGATACTGTAAAATTTTGGATGAAAGCATACCTATAGTAATAATTTTTTGTGTAAAACTTGAATAGTAACCTTAAACAAGCACGTATTTTAAATGCACAAATATTGTATACTTTATTTTCTAAAATTTTCTCAAAATGTAACGGGTGCGACATTTGAACATTTTATCAAGTATTGAAACTCTTCCGTGTTTATTCTTAATTTTAGCTTCTTACCGTCACAATGTACGAAAATGCTAAGGTTATAAATTACGTCGCAATTGAACTATTTGACTTCAGATATAGTTGTTATTTTGTTAAATAACGCATCTGATTTTTTGTCAAGGTAGGGTAAGGTTTCGCAGAAATTCCCTTCGGTAAGAATATTCTACCGGGCCGAAAAAAAAAACATATTCGGTGCTGTATTAACATAACTTTTGAATAATTTGACATTTCGAGTTATAAAATTATAATTTTGTAATTTAACTTCATAAATCATTTATTATTTTGTAATTGGATATTTTAAATGGACTCATTTTTGCAAAAAAATTAACGATTATGTTTATTTTCTTAAATCAATTTATTTGAATTCAATATTAAGGTTTTTTTCTGTAATAAAGAATATTTTTTTTAAATTAAAATAATGTTAAGTTGTTGATTGCTACATTTTTTAAATGTGTATTATTTCCAAAAAAAGTTCAATTTTTTCCAAAAAAGACAATTTTTCCACATCCCAGGGGAAAAACAGGCTTTTTCCTCAATTTTCCCGACACTTTTAAAATAATAAAAAATTCGGTCGATAGCCTTTTGGTTTTTCCAATAAATATATTTACTACTAAAAAATTACACGTCGGACCCTAACATATTAGTTATGGACTAAATAAGCTTTGACATTCTAAAATGTATACAGGGGACATTTTTGAGATATATGGTTTTTAAAATTGAATTTAATTTTAATTTTTGTTTGTAAAATACTTTGGACAGGAAAAAAACTGTTCAAAAATCCTTAAAAAACTGTATAAATTTGAAATTAAATTAAAAAAATCTTTTTCAACTCCCAGAAACCTATTATAAGATGTTGGTTATATTACCTTTGTCAATGGGTTTTCCAGATCCATTGAAAACACGTCCCAACATGTCTTCTGACACGGAGGTACGCAAAATATCTCCGGTAAACTCGCATACCGTGTGCTTGGCATCAATTCCAGATGTACCTTCAAACACTTGTACTACGGCTTTGGAACCGCTTACTTCTAAAACTTGTCCCGAACGAATGCTGCCATCAGCCAACTTCAGTTGCACGATTTCGTAGAATTTAGGGAATTTTACGTCTTCCAAAATTACCAAAGGCCCGTTTACCCCAGAAACTGTCTTGTAAGCTGAAATATAAAAATGTTGTGTTTACAGTTATATCTCAATTAAATTAACACCCTTAAGATAGTTAGATATAACTGCTATATCTAGCTTAAATTGACATTTTTAAGCAACTGGATATAAAGCAGATATATCCAGCTTAAGTTGATTCTTATTGGATAATCTTTACAATAAAAATTCCTAATTTATATTCATCAATATATTTGATTTTTAGTATTAAATTATATAGTAGTAGTTTCTTTTACTACGGTGTTTTTTCTGAGGAGTGGCTGTCATGGGATTGAATCACATGACATCTAAGAACAGCTGATTAGTTTCACTTTCAACGAAATAAATCCTCCTAAACCTCCCAAAACCCTAATTCAATAGCATTACATTAAAGAATAAACCACAATTCATTAATAAAACATACAATTTCATTATTTTTCGGTCATATGACCTAGTTGTAGCCACCATTAGATATCAAGACCCACCCAAAATTAAATCATTTTTTACCGAGAAAAACGGCTCCAAACCATTAAAAAATACTCACTTAATCTGGGCTGGGACACGAAGTCACGGGATACCGCCAAAACATGTTCCCTTTGAGCCTGTCTGGGTGATAAAGTCGTCATTTTAACCAAAACGCACGTCTAGCACAGGCCGAATAAAATCAGCAACTGCAAAATTATCGGATTCACGTGTAATCACATGACACCGCAGTTTGAAACGTCATCACATAGATGGCAGCACCACAACGCAAATAAATCACTATTTAAGACTAAAAACTCCACGCACAACTAATATTTCTGCAAAATTTAACGATTTTTCTGCACAAGAAATCGACAGTTTGACAGAAATTGGCAATTTTGACGTTTTTTATTTTAATATTACAGGAATCATCTTTACCGACATTTTATATTTTAAAATCGCTTAATGATGGCGTTAAAATACTAATAATTCTATACAAAACCCTATTTGGTAATAATTTATAAATTAGTTCTACAAATACTTAAAAATAAGCGTAAAAATCGTTCATTTGGCAATCTAAATTTGGGTTGGTAGTAATTGTTGATAAAACAATTTCACCCTTTGACTGACAGATGTCATGCGTTTTGTTATGACAGAGACCACGTTTCCTTGTAACAAGTTAAAGCAAGACGGAGATAAAAGTTTTTAAGTCGAAAAAACCGTCTGAATTTTTGTTCAGTCTAGTAAACGGGTTGTAAAAGTGTGGTTAAAATTTTCCGGTCAAAAATGGCAGCGTCTGTGAGAGGGGTAACCAGCAAAATAAACGGGGTTTTTAGCTCGTTGAAGGCGATTTCGAGCCCGAGAAATTTTTATACTTATTCTAACGAGCCCGCACAGCCCATTAAGGGCAAGGATCCCAAATGGGTTGAGGCTGCTGATGCCTTTGCGTGCATGAAATCAGGTAGGTAAACAATTTCCTGTTTATTTTTGTAATATTTTTGTTATTAACCTTTAAATTGGGTACATAATAACATGAAGTGGACTTTGCCCTATAGAATTATGACTTGGTGGCATTCATACAAAATTATGATTATAGCAATACATTTTCTATTTGTATGTTATCAACTTTAATTTATTTTAGTCTAGTCTAGTTTTAAATTATTATTAAATATTTATACCGGAATGTTTTTTTACCATTTAAATACTTAATTACATAATCTGTTTTTTTTTTTACTTTAAATTGAGTCAAATAAAACATGTTCTATTTGTAACTTTTAATTTTAAAATTATCAAAGAAGTTATTAAAATCTCAATTATATTCATAAATAACATTCTATATTTTTTATTGCATAATTTTACTTATTTTGACCTAAACTGATCAATGTTCATAAAAGTTAAAACCTCGGTTAAAACCGAATGTACCTACCTATCACCACAACTAAATTATAAAATTGTTACATTTTTAAAAATTTAAAATAAATACCTATGTACATAATTATATATAGTCTACAATATTAATATAGACCAGGCAGATAAAGAAATTAATTTTTTAGTATATCTGTGTTAACAATGTCTTATATTTATTTAAATATTTATTAATTTGTTTATTTTCTTTCTTAAAACAATAATATTGACCTCGAACAATTAAATTTTTAATTGACAACTTGTATATGCATTGTTTGATATGTACCTACTTTTTATTTATTTTATTTTTGTTTTGAATTTCTTAAATTTAAAATTTTAATTGGTAATAAATTTTTTTGGTGGTAAATTTTTAGGACATTTTTGTTGACAAACAATATTTTCTTACTTATATTTATATACATAAGTATATATTTTTAAATTTTTACACAAGTCTTATTTAAAATCATCATAAATTGTTATATTAAATGTGTCAAAAATCCGATTAAAAAACTGACTTAAAAAATAGAGTTAGGTACCTATAGAAAGTAAAATGTTATTTTTGTATTTGTATATTTTGGGTGTTTCTGTCTATTTTGATATTGTTTTGGAATCTCTTTGACGTAACTCGCTGACAAAATGCAATATTTTACGTGAAATTATGACAGTGAACCCAATTACTGTGCCAAATTTATAAATAAATAACACTTTTATTTCGAAATTTTATTTGCAAATATTTATTTTTTAACTTTAACTTTATACTTCATGAAGACTGCAGACAGTGGCTTATCTTTTCAAAAAACAACAAAGAAGTATTTTTAGGTTTATTTTTACCCTAATGTTGATATTTAAATAATAATAATAATTATTAAGTTATAATGATGTTTTTAAAAAATATTGAAAAATTATAAAATACAAAAGCTTGTTTTTTATAGAAAAAAACTTTTTGTACTTTTTCAGACAGAACAACTGGACGCCTTTACTAATTTGATAGGCGCCACTTTTTGTTTGCCAAAGGTTTATTTTCGTTTCTACTGTGAAAAATCAATTTAATTTTCTTTCATTACATATCGACATGCTTCTTAAACGTGTCCTGACTTTTACCTACCTATTTATTTATAGGGTAGTGTCTATGAAATTTTTATGACAATAATCCTTTTTTAAAGAGTTGCGTGTTTTTAAAATAATAGAAAATATTTATTAAATAACATTGCAACAAATTTTCGTCAAAAAAAAACAATAATGGAATAACATAAGTGGTTTTGCACTAATGCATTTTAAGAAATCATCATTTTGAATATTAGAGCTTCACGGAAGATAGGTTGACGGAGGTTAGGATTTCGTATGTTTTTTTAAACATCCCTTTGTATATTTGAAAATAGTTATTGTACCGATTGCTTTGGATGTGTTTAATTTACTAAGTGAACTGATATTTGAAAACATATAGGTTAACCTAGAAAGACAATCACGGAGGATAGGTTTTAGACTTTTAAAACATTGTGAAAAATAATTAATTGCGGTTAAAAATGTGGAACCTGAGGTGTAATATCTACTTAATTATGAAAGATCAAAACACAATAAAAGTGTAGGTCAAACACTTGTTACATACTATTATGGAAACGGCAGTTATATTTTTTAAAAGTAAAAAACAAAATTAGACCAAAATAACTAAATAGCTTTTTTGCAAGATTTATAATTCAGTAAACGAAAAACATCTATTTTTAACTAGTATTTGGTCAGCATATTTATTGAATCTATTTTTAGGACTTTGAAATACCTAATAAAACGATAAATATTAATACCTATACATTATATGCATTTACACATGATATTTTTGTAAATTTTTGTTATTTAAATATGTTTGTTACGTTTATTTATAATAGCCTATAATGTTATCATGACATTATTTATCAGATATTAATTAAAGCTTTGAGTGGTAAATAAAAGATAAGCAAATAAAATTAATTTTCTTAATTATTTTTTATTACATTAACAAAACTGCAAACTTTGTCATTTGGAACCTTTTTGTAGAAAATTAACATTTTAAACCCGTATATTGAAAAGAATGAATTTTTCCCATTCAATAATTTTTTCCTTTTTCAGGTGATACTGTTTTCTCACAAGGGGCTGCCGCCACCCCTGTGGCTTTACTAAACGCCATGACCGAAGTGGGCAAAGAAAAGAATCTCAAGGACATCAGGGTGTGCCATATGCACACCGAAGGTCCCGCAGCCTACACTGACCCATCGTGCGAGGGAATTTTCAGATCCTTTTCGTTTTTCATGGGCGGTAACGTGAGAAAAGCGGTGGCAGAAGGTCGCGGTGATGCTCTACCAATTTTCCTCTCCGAAATCCCGCTGCTGTTCACAAAAAAAATCATCCAACCCGACATTGCCGTTATTATGGTTATTTTTCTCGATAACAAATATTTTAATTTTATTTATTTAATATTTGTTTTCTTCAGGTTTCTCCCCCTGATGCGCACGGTTACTGCTCACTTGGTACCAGCGTCGACTGTGTAAGAGCGGCAATGCAGCATTCGAAAGTAATCATAGGTAAACAATTTAGAAAACTATACGGAGAGAAATGTATAGTAAATTTTAGATAGTAAAAAAAATATAGTAAAATTTACTTTAACAAATTTTTAGGGTAACAATATTATATATTCGTCAATACAATATTAAGATTGTAATACAAAATACTATTTTTTATTATACAATTTTAGTAACGATTACAACACCAATATTACTAAATCATAAATGTATAATATATATTTTAATTTTTAATATATTCGTATAGAAAATTGATTTTACTATCTACAAATAGTAATATTTACTATATGATTTAATCAAATGTAAGGTGTACATGTAATATTATAATATATTACACATTAATAAAAAATATAGTAAAAATAAAGATACTTTTATGTTTAAGGTAAATAAACAATATATTTAAATATAATATACAATATAGTAACTCATGACATTTTAAACATTCAATTTTCTTAGTTTCTTCAATAAACTTTCTTGACCCATTACTGGTAATACTTATAAGAAAGAATTGAACCAACTTGGTTGCATAGTATGTACCGATTGCGGCAAAGGCCACGTCGCGACGCGTCGTTAGACGGTGTTCTTACATCTCGCCTCTGTTGGCTTACCAACCATGTTATATAAGCTCAGGTATTTCTTTGTTTTGAGTGTGTTCCACTACTACAAGTTGCTCGACAGTGTCGTGTCGACACTGATGATACCCAATATAGGTCAAAACACCTGTCTGTCGGTATTTGAAGTTGATGGAACGCACTCAAAACAAAAAACTTTGGCGAGGTGTAGGTTCAATTCTTTCTCATAACATTTTTGTGTATTAAAAAGTGCAATAAATATTTTACAATTTTTTAATTGTTAACATATAAAAATATTCGATTTTAAAATATTTTATATTTAAAATGGCAACATAATATTTTAAAATTTACTATACTTATTAGTAATGGAAAAAATCTAATTTTACTTAATAAGAATTAAAAACAAAATTGGTTGAGAATAATAATATTTTACCTTAAGGTTTAACATACCTACATGGATATTGAAAAATTACTAAATATGCATAGTATCTGGCAATATACAAGATAGTTGTCCCAAATAGTAATATAAATTATAGTAAAGGGTAACCAGCATTATACTTTTTTCTCCGTGTATGTTAAGCGTCCAGTTTAATTGTTTTTTTCAGCCCAAGTTAACTGTCACTTACCGAGGACTTTCGGCGACGGTATCATCCACATAAGTCACGTGGATTACGCCGTCAAAATGGACGCCCCCCTCCCCCAACACGGCGGTAAACCCCCCACCCCGGTGGAGACCAAAATCGGACAGAACATCGCTCGTAATTTGGTCGAAGATGGCGCCACCCTCCAAATGGGTAAGATAGTTTTTCGAAGTATAATTTTGTCTAGTTTTTAAATTTTCGATGATTTGTGGTTTAAAAAATAAATGCTCATTTGTCATTTGGTGGTCCAAAAGTGTATTTTCCGTTTTTGGGTGAAAGATTTTTGTGCGATTATTTTAAAAGTATTCTTTTAATGTACAAATTTTTCTTGTTTTAGCAAAATCAATTTGGTATGGAATGCCCCATATGTATGTGTGTAAAAAGTATAATTTTTAGTGCAAAATTTTTAAACCAAATGTTACAGTGTACATTATTATTTTGTAGTACAAACGTAAAATTGTTTTTTGAAAGTCAAAATATGGTTTTTCCCTTTTTAAATTCGAATTAAAAAAAAATAATTGACCAATTTTGACCATTTTTTCAAGGAGTTTTTTTTCTTCAAATAATATTGTTTATATTTTGGCCATACATATATTATATTTTATGAACGTCATAACACTACTTTTTTCCTTTTATGTCTCCCCAAATATATAATTTTGTACTAAATTTTTAATTATTTAATATAATTATGCCAAAATAAATGCTCATTTGTCATCTGGTGGTCCAAAAATTTATTTTCCGATTTTGGGTGAAAAGTTTTTGTGTAATTATTTTAAAAGTATTCTAGTTTCAAAATTTTATGACTACAGTATCTGATAACAGTTTTAGCGTCTCTTTGATATAAGATTTTGTTTTTAAATATTTTGAAAGTTTGTTTTTTTTTTGTAAAAATGTTCATAGTTTTTAAATTTTCAAACAAAATTATCCCATCTCTAACCGTTTATTTAATACAGTGTGTTTTATGAATAAGTTTAATTTTTTATTGTCCAACTTGGTTATCTCTCCACACAGATAATTGAAAAGTGCTTAATGTACTATTTTGTATCTATTTTGCGTTCATAATGACTTCATTATAACACCGCTTTCGGTGCTGTAATGAGATACTTTATCACACCCAAAATTTTGATTTTATAGGTTGGCTATACTTTAAACAGCATAATATTTTGCTTATTGGTTATAATATTTTTATGACTTTTCTGGCAATAAATTTTGTTTAACACCAAAGAAAATCATTTTTTTCTTCTTTAACATTAACAGCCGCTTATAAATATCGACAACTGGCCCCGTTTGTGAATTCGTAGTAGGCCAAGTTTAAAGTTCAGATTTCAGTTGAGTATCTTAAAAAATGTGACCCACCAACATGTATGAATGTGAAAAAATTCAAATCTCTATTCCTTGAAATAGCGAAAATATGGGGGTGTCTTCATCTTAAATGCGACACACTGTACAATAGCTATCGATAAAATAAACAAAATTATTTAGTAAAAAACTAACATTTTCTACAAACAAAAGCGTTTTTTTTTAATTTTTTTGTAATTAAACATTTTTAAATTTATTTTGCTTATTTAGCTTATTCTCATAATGAGAGGAGATTTTTGAGAAAAAATAGAAGTATGAATAATTTTTTTATATATTTTTTGGAAAACTATAGTTTGTATACATTTAAAAAAAAAAATTAAAATAATTTTATATACAATAGCTATAAATAAAATGAATAAAATTATTTAGTAAAAAAATAACATTTTCTGCAAATTCTCTAGAAATAATTTTAATTTATATACTATTTACATATTTATAGTTTTTTTATTAGAAACAAAATTAAAAAAAAAAAAAAATTTCAGTTGTCATTTATATTTTATTTTTTTATTAGAAACTGGCATTTTCTGCAAATTCTCTAAAATTTTCAGAGAAGCGTTTTTTTTAAATTTTTTTTTGTAATTAAACATTTTTTAACTTATTTTTTATTTAATTTATATACTATTTACATATTTATAGTTTTTTTTATTAGGAACTGACATTTTCTGCAAATTCTCTAAAATTTTCTGAAAATCGTTTTTTCAACTTCTATTTTTTTTTCAATATTTTTCTTTAACCTTTCTGGAGATTTTTGAGGATGAAAAGTTGGGGAATATTTCCAATATTTGTTTATCTCTCCGCACAACTAATTACGATATAAACTTTCGTAAAATCCTGCATTTTCTCCTTGCAGGCATCGGTAGCATTCCAGACGCAGTATTAGCCGAACTGGGCGACCACAAAGATCTCGGCATCCATTCCGAGATGTTTGCCGGCGGGGTGGTGGATCTGGTGGCGAAAGGCGCCGTAACTAACAACAAAAAATCCATGCACAAGGGCCGCATCGTCGGCTCTTTCCTGATAGGAACGCAAAAGCTCTACGACTTCGTCGACAACAATCCCTTCATCGAAATGCTGGCCGTCGACTACGTCAACAACACAGGTGAGTTTGCTGCATCAATTCTTAACAAAATAGTTATTTATGTCATTAGGTTAAGAAGTAAGGCTTTTTGTGCTAAGCTCAAGGTTTGAAGCGAAGCACAAAAAGGCACTTCTTGGCCGAATGGCATACAACATTTTATCTTCAAAGCACTTTATATAGGTCAATTTAATTCAACATCAAAGCGGCCTAACCTCACTTTTTTAGAATCTCATTTATTTATTAGCTAAAGATTACATTAAATGTACAATAATTATTATTGCTTTTAGAAGCAGTAATAGTTTGACAATACCTAGCTGCATGATTTAAGTAGAAATGGATTTTTGCTATTACATTGAATTCAATTAATTGTTTAATAAATAGGTAGGTATTCAATTTGTTTGGATTTTTATTTAAAAAAATAGGTAGTTTGGAATGTTTAAGCTGTGTTTAACATTTAATTTCACTGAAAACTTAAAGCAAATTAAAACTTAAAGATTTTAAAATCGTAGAAAAAGAATCGTGCGTTTTCTTGGTTGCTTAACCTCACTTTTTGTTTTATTATTCATATTTAATTTTACAATAATTTAATGAAAAATATTAAACATTAACAGTAAAACAAACAAATTAGTGCTTATTATAAATAAATTAAACCAGTTTAGTACGTTAATTTCTTAGAAAAGTATTAATTTGTCAAAACAATACCCCTAGCGAGAAAAAATCGAACTAATTACTTGCCTCATAAAAATTTTTATCGGCCTAGGCCATAACAAGGTATTTCTTTATCGAATGTTGACAACAATAAAGTTTAAATTATAGACCGCGTGGAGATAAAAACATTTTTTTATATCTTAGGTGTGATCGCGAGGCAACCGAAAATGACCGCGATAAACTCGTGCATCGAAGTGGATTTGACCGGTCAGATCGTGTCGGACTCCATCGGTACCCGCATGTACTCGGGCTTCGGCGGGCAAGTCGATTTTATCCGAGGCGCCGCGGAAGGCACCGACGGCTTGGGAAAGCCAATCATCGCCCTTCCCTCCACCACGAACAAGGGCGAGTCCAAAATCGCTCCCATCACCAAACCTGGTAAGTGCACTAAAATCATTTTTAGTAAAATGTAGCAGTTTGGTTTGCAGGCTAAGAAACTTTGTATAATGTATAATTTTGTCTAGTTTCTAAATTTTTAAACCACACCGTTCTATGATTCATAGTTAAATAGATACAGTGTGATTTGTAAGAAGATGTTATTTGTTCAACAGTTGAATTATTTTTTTTGTTAATAAAAGATATTTTTTAAGTATGTTTTGGAATATAAAATATTTATAACTTTTTCAAAATTGACTTATTGAGTAGTTTTTTTTAATTTTTGAAAAAAAAACATAAATTTTCCTATGATTGTCATTTATAATTTTTCCTTTTTTTATTAGAAAGTGACATTTTCTGCAAATTCTCTAAATCTTTCAGAGAAGCGTTTTTTTCGTTTTCTATTTTTTTAATACATTTTTTTGTAACTTGGCTTATTTCCCATAATACCAAATAATTTTATATGTATACAATAGCTATAAATAAAATAGATAAAATTATTTAGTAAAAATCAGACATTTTCTGCAAATTTTCAAAAAAAAATATTTTAATTTTTAAAAACACAAACATTTTTCGATTGTTATTTATATATATATTTTTTTTATTTTTTATTACACCTTTTCTGCACATTCTCTAAAATATTCAAAGAAGTGTTTTTTCAATTTCTATTATTTTTCAATTATTTTTTTTTAATTTGACTTTTTTCTCATAATACTTCTTTGAAGATTTATGAGTATGTAAAGTTTGAAAAAAAATAGAAGGTAGTTCTGAATAATTTTTTTGAAAACTATAGTTTGGATACATTTAAAAACAAAGAAAATTAACAAAATTATTTAGTAAAAAACTAACATTTTCTACAAAAAAAAATTTTAATTAAAAAAAAAATTCCAATTGTCATTTATATTTTATTTTTTTATTAGAAATTGACATTCTCTGCAAGTTCTCTAAAATTTTCAGAGAAGCGTTTTTTTTAATTTTTTTTTTGTAATTTAACATTTTTTAACTTATTTTGCTTATTTAGCTTATTTCTCATAATGAGAGTAGATTTTTGAGGACGTAGAGAGAAAAAAATAGAAGTATGAATAATTTTTTTATATATTTTTTGGAAAACTATAGTTTGTATACATTTAAAAAAAAAATTAAAAATAATTTTATATACAATAGCTGTAAATAAAATGAATAAAATTATTTAGTAAAAAAATGACATTTTCTGCAAATTCTCTAGAAATATTTTTTTTAATTTTAAAAGAAACGAAAATTTTCTGGTGATTTATATACTATTTACATATATATAGATTTTTTTATTAGGAACTGACATTTTCTGCAAATTCTCTAAATTTTTCAGAAAATCGTTTTTTTCAATTTCTATTTTTTTTCAATTATAAAAATGGTATTTTTATGATTTTCGGAAAGTATACTAAAAATATGACGATATTTCCAGTGGTGGGTTTTGATTAACGTTATTTTAGGTTTTTAACAAATTGGCGCCTCACGTCAAAAATTTAAAATGTGCGAACTTTTACAAACTTTATGTTATTTTTATGATTTTTGAAATGTGTACTAAAAATATGACGATCTTTCCAATGATGTGCTTAAATTAACCTAAAAATTGATATTTTAGATTTTTGACAAATTGGCGCCCAACGTCAAAAATTTAAAATGTCTGTAACTTCTACAAATTTCATGTTATTTTTATGATTTTTGAAAAGTATACTAAAAATATGACATTATTTCCAGTGGTGAGTTTAGATTCAGGTTAAAATGGATATTTTAGATTTTTGAGAAATTGGCGCCCAACGTCAAAAATTTAAAATTTTTACAAATTTTAGGTTATTTTTATGATTTTTTAAATTTATACCAAAAATATGTCGATCTTTCCAATGATGTGCTTAAATTAACGTAAAAATTGATATTTTAGGTTTTTAACAAGTTGGCGCCCAACGTCAAGAATTTAAAATGTCTGTAACTTCTACAAATTTTATGTTATTTTTATGATTTTTGGAAAGTATACTAAAAATATGACGATATTTCCAGTGGTGGAATTAACTTTAAAATTAATATTTTAGGTTTTTGACAAATTGGCGCCCCCGTCAAAAATTTAAAATGGGTGTAAATTTTACAAATTTTATGTTATTTTTATGATTTTTGAAATGTGTGCTAAAAATATGACCAACCAACCAATTTTGACTATTTTTTTCAAGAACTTGGGATATTTATTTTTTTTCAAATAATATTGTTTAAATTTTTTACACATTCACCAGCAAAATGGTTATTCTGGTGAAATGGTAAAATGAATATACTAGGTATAAATACTCACTACAACTCTGCCAAATAACTATCTATAAAAACATAAAATTGATAAAATTTATTTGCAGTTCTTTTTTATTTAATATTTTTTATGTTAAAAATGTTTTTACTGTAAAATTTCATCTACTTTTTAAATTTTTAAACCAATTTATCCTAACTTTAACGATATGTTTTCTACAGGGTATTTTATTGAACAATGTCAGATATTATTCTCTAATTTTGAATTTACATTAAATGTTAAATAACTTCTGTATTTTGAGATTTCGGAAAATTGCAAAATTACAGGTGTTATTTACCTTTTAAATATTGATTTTTGATCCTGGTTGTTGGGAAAATTCGCCTTGAGTTTTAAAAGGACTCTTTAGGTAATTTAGGTAATATGCATCTAAAAAATATTTAATTTAAGGTGCTGGTGTCGTCACAACGAGAGCGCATGCGCACTACGTGGTAACGGAACACGGCATCGCCTACTTGTTCGGAAAGTCTCTGAGACAGAGGGCGCACGCTCTGATCAACGTCGCACACCCCGATCACAGGGAAAGTTTGGAAAAAGCCGCCTTCGACCGCCTTAAAGTGATGCCATCTGCCGACTAATATTTTAAATAACGCCGTGCTTTATTATTCAATAATATATTCCACCTCTAGGTTTTAATCTAATAATTTGTTATATGAAAAACGTTTTAGAGTAATATTTTATCTTTTTTATGTTATGTTTTAAAACACCGTCACCTCAAGTTTGTATATTTACAAATTAATAAAGAAAATAGAAAAAAAAACATATTTTATTTTACTCCTAACAATATTTAAAAAATGGCGTTCTTGAAGTATTATTAAAAGTTGATTTTAAAGTTAACATAGTAAAATCAATTTTTATAAACTTTTTATTTTCTTCCATATCTTTGGGATTTGCTTTATTTTTGCTTATGAGACAGTGTTGCCAAGTTTTTGAAACTTAAATGCTTAAAACCTCTAGTGCGCAATTTTTGACAATCCTTAATATACAGGGTGTATATTAAGTAAAGTCAAATTTTAAAATGTCAAAACTAAAGAATTGGAATATGTCTATACGCTAAAGAAGTATGGGGTTTTCGCAACGCGCGCGCCGTCTAGTGGACTTCAAAAGCATTGCGTGAATTCAGAATTGTCAACAATACATTTAAAGCATACGAACTGTACATCATTTTTTAATAAATAGGTACTTTTTTCACAAACAAAAAGGAAGGCAGAAGTCTTACTCTAGAAATTTTGTTCAATTGCACAGTTAAATCGCGCTCGTTATTTGTGTTTTACGTTGCAAGGAAAAAATTAAAAAAATTTTTTTAGTACTCGATTTCGATTGATTATTCCTTATATCATTGATTAAGAAACTCAACGCTTAAATGCTTATATAGTTACGTTAGTGTGTGTATTTTATCTAAGGGATCATGGTGAATTATTGTGTTTTTAATTGTAAATAAAATTCAAGAACTAAATCGTTGCATTTTCATGTTTTGCCAAAGGATCCAATTCGGTATGTAAATTTGTTGGTGCAGAATTAACAAATGATAACTTTACCTAATATAATTTAAATTTAAGTTTGGACATTTTTAAGAAATTAGTAAAAAATAATTTTTGCACAAACAACCTTAAAATCAACCATTTTCATATTTGAGTTCTCTAAAAAACGCCGACAACTGCATTTTAAACAACAAAATATACCTACGAATTCATGGCAACATAATATTATATATTATACGTAATATAATGGTATTTTACCGTTGAGTGGAGACTTTAAAGAATTCTTAATCAACGCTTTTAATAATGCTAAATGCGGTTTAAATTTAGACGACTTATTTGTTTGACAATTTTTACTGAATTGAAATGTTAACACTTTTCATGTTAATCATTACCAAAATGTGTATTTATTGTATCTAATAGGTAAAATTTATATTTACGGAGACTGTATGCAATTTATTTCTTCATTCAGATTAACACTGTTTATTGGAAAACCGGTAAAAACTCAACCCAGGATTTCCTCTCGAAATACACCCAACAACACAACAAATCATGCCACGGTTTTTTTTCGATATTTTTTAACATTTTCCGGCTTTATTCTCAAAAACACTGATTATTAAAAGTTGTACTTTTGTTACGATGATAACAGCCGAGTGGTGGCGCTACTAGCGATACTTCTTTAGCGTATTATTAAAAAAATATATATAATAAAACATAATAAGTAATTCTTTATTAAAAATGTAGAAACACATCTACAAGACTCATTCCCATTCGATTCCTTGAGGAAGAGTCCCGCTATCTTTGGCAATCTTAAAATTATTATAAAACTCTGAAAAATCCACGTAGGGGGCAATTTTTAAATCAGCGCCAATCCCATCATCGATAAGATTTTCCTCCGAACTACTCGTAGTATTAGTTATAGTACTATTAGCAGTCAGTGTATTTTTGTACACCTCGTTTGACATCACAATCGGATTATACGATTTGGAAGGCGATGTTATGGCATTCGGCAGCGGGTAATTGAAATTCCTCAGCACCAAAGTCATATCTTCCCTTTTCGTGTACACCGCATTTGCCGTACTCGACATAAACCAGTCTCGGTGCATATGAACTACTTTGTCCACCACCGCCTGCGCCACCCCAGCCAACGTCGACTGCTCGCGGAACTAAAAAGAAGCTGATTGTCACTTTGACAGTTGTCAAAAGTGAGCACAGCAAACGGAAAATTATAGAAGTGTATAGGATGACTCCGCGTTTGAATATCAAATCTTAAAGTTTTATCAGAACTGTATTATATTTTTCGGCTCTATACCTATGCACGACTATATTTAAAGTCAAACTCAATGGTGTCTTACAAGATACATTGTTTTGATTTTCTATATTCAACAGAGAGGTAGAAACTCGACCCTGTCGAATGGTGCAGTCATTTATGTCTCTAGAAATTATTAAAAAAGGGTTCAGTCCAATGGTGCAGCAACTTCGGATTCCTATTCTCTTCAGAGACATAGAAACTCAAGCTTTTCGAATTTTACTGGCAATGATTTTCGTTAATGTCCCCGAGAATTATACAAAAACAGCGCAATGCAATATCGCAACGGTTTCGACTTCTCTTTACTCTACCAAGTTATAGAAACTGGAGTCTCACTAATACTGTTCTAGTCAATATTTCTGAGAGTATAAAAAGAGGGTGTAATATTGCAAGAAGTTTTGATCTTTTGATGGATGCAAGTAGTTTGAATTTTCTCATTTCTGCATATGATTTTGTTGAAAATAGTTTCCTTCTTTGGTTCCTTTGTCTTATTTTTATTTACCGTAACAACTCAGGTATGTAAAGCACAGAGGATATGATGTTAAGTATATTTATGTATTATATAAAGTATACCTATATTTGTATTAAAAATTTCAGAGGTTATGTTGAAAAAATGATCGATATATCGATCATATGAGTACCTTAGATGCAAAACTCGGTTTTTGCAAATTAAAAAATAAAATAAAATTGGCTTTAAATTCTGTTTAGTGTTCGTCCTAGATAAATGGCGTTCATAAAACTTGATACATAATAATATTATTATTATATATATTATTATGTATCAAGTTTTATAAACGCCATTTATCTAGGACGAACACCAAACAGAATTTAAAGCCAATTTTTTTTTTTTTTAAATTTGCAAAAACCGAGTTTTGCATCTAAGGTACTCATATATGCTAAGTATTAAACTTTAATAATTTAGTAATGAGGTAGACCCTGCACTATCTCCACTGGTATATGTTAGTACAGCAATATTTAAATCTGGTTGATGAAAAAGTACACACCAGTGCAGGTTATTGTAGCATCTACGAACAAATGAATTAATGGCCCATTGGCAATTATTCCTTTAGGAAAAATATTCAACACAGCTTAATTAATTAATAAAATGAAAAAAATCACAATCATGTCGTATATAGTTTTTTTTAAGCATAAAATAATTTTTATATTAATACTAGTTCAAAAGTGAAATTACGACCTCTATACTGTGGAGAGTATTGAAACGCTCGACTGACGAATACAAATCTATACCATGGGGAGATTTAGAAAACAATATTAAAACGTGGCGTCATCCTATACACTTCTATAATTTTCCGTTTGCTGTGAGGTTACCTACCTGTTCCACCACACATTGCGCAATAAATTTGTTGACTTGGTCGGTCCTCGTGGCCTCTTCTATGGACTTGTACAGGCCCGAGGACATTAACAAAAGGAATCTGCAAGATTCGTCCAGCAGAATTCCGCCGTGAATGTCGGGTTCGGAGGTTACGGGTTCTTGGGTTGCGGTGCTGAGTTCGTCGCACTCCGTGTAGGCCAATTTAACGGAATAGTTGCCCAGGCATCGGGTGCTCTCCTGATTGCCCAGATGAGAACCTGGGGAGAAATGTAAGAATTTGGAAAAAAGGATATTCTTTTGTAATGTAATACGCGGGTTTTCGCAACGCGGGCGCCATCTGGTGGACATCATTTTTAAATAAATAGGTAGTTTTTTCACAAAAGAGAGGAAGGCAGAAGTCTTACTCGATAAATTTTGTTCAATTTCTCAGCTAAATCGCGCACGTTATTTGTGTTTTACGTTGCAAGGAAAAAACTAAAAAACTGGTTTAGTACTCGATTTCGATTGATTATTCTTTATATCATTGATTAAGAAACTCAACGCTTAAATGCTTATATAGTTACGCTAGTGTGTGTATTTTATCTAAGGGATCATGGTGAATTATTGCGTTTTTAATTGTAAATAAAATTCAAGAACTAAATCGTTGCATTTTTATGTTTTGCCAAAGGATCCAATTCGGTAAGTACATTTGTTGGTGCAGAGTTAACTAATGATAACTTTACCTAATATAATTCATATTTAAGTTTGGACATTTTTAAGAAATTAGTAAAAAATAATTTTTGCACAAACATAACCTTAAAATCAACCATGATGATTTTTACTGAATTGAAATGTTTACACTTTTCACGTTAATCACTAATAAAATGTGTATTTATTGTATCTAATAGGTACAATTTATATTTACAGACTGTATGCAATTTATTTCTTCATTCAAATTAACAATGTTTATTGGAAAACCAATGAAAACTCAACCCAGGATTTCCTCTCGAAATACACCCAACAACACAACAAATAAAGCCACGGTTTTTTTTCGATATTTTTTAACATTTACTGGCTTTATTCCCAAAAGCACTCGTTTGTAAACACGCGTTTGACAGCTGATTATAAAAAGTTGTACTTTTGTTACGATGATAACAGCAGAGTGGTGGCGCTACTAGCGATACTTCTTTAGCGTATAACACAAAATTAATTTTGTCATCGCTTTTTTCTTTCTGTTTACTCAGATGAAATTAGGACAAAATCACAGGTTTAATTTTAATCATTCAATTTGCGTAAATAAATCCAAAAGCACTCTAGTTAAGAATCAATTTGAGCACATAACCTAAAATTTGAAAGAAATGCATTAGATTCTGTCATAAAAGTTGACAGATTTTGTTTGAATTTACCTTCATTACAAAAATGACATAATCAACAATTAATAAAACGCCAAATTAACGATTTGCATTTTTGATTTTGTCATTTTGGTAATTAAGCTAAATTTAAACAAAACTTGGCAACTTTTTTGACAGAATCTGAAAACGCTGGTTGTTACCAACATAACATAATAAATTAAATTAGGCAACCAGATTAGCTTAAAGTTCCTAGTCGATCAGTGGCGTACTTTTTGGTAGGATAAAGGTTATTATAAATTATTTTTATTTTTTTGGAATTTAGAAATAAAGGTTTCAGTTTTTGGTTTTTCGAAAACATTTAAAATTAAAAAAATACTTTACCTTTTCTTAGTTTGTTAATATTCACTCCAATCTGCGATAATCTCAACAGTTCGTCTTCATTCTTCAAATCGTGGTCAACACTTAACTGTACAACTTTCAAAACGTTGTTTTGATCAGTTTGAAAGAGTAATACTCTGCAATTTCCCACATTAGCAACAAATAATTTGTCGTTGCAAATTAATGCCACTGCGGCTGTTGTACCACATTCTAACTCATTGTTTAGGTATTTAAGTCTTTCCAGTTTTTCGGGTTTTCTTCTGTAGAACTCAAAAGGAGTACAACCTTAAAAATAAATTGGCATAGCAAAAACCAAATAAGAATATTAAAATATAACTTTTAATTACCTTCAGGTATATCACATATCAAATCGGTTTTCTCCGCCAAAATCTCGCCCATAGTATCCAAGTATGCTTTTTCTACGGTAACAAAACACTGCCTCAAAAACTCCTTGATCTCCTCGTCGCTCCTTTTCTCATTCCATGGCGAAAAACATATATCGGCCAACATACGTTGAGAGCAATATTCAGCGGCTTTCCTGCCTTCGTGGCCATCGAAAACCGCGTACCAATGGCAGTTTTCGAATTTGTAGTTCGAGGTGTAGTCCTCGTAGCAATGGGCTTCCTGAGGATGCCCGTCCTCGCGGTACTTTTGATTTATCGAAAAACCTATACCAGTGTTTTTGCACACGGGCAAATCGTCCGTCCAGCTTTGCGAATCGTTTTTTTGAGAACACATCGTGCAACAATCGTATTTAATTGCTTTGTAGTTTGTCAAAAGGGGCCATAGTTGCGAAAAAAGTTGTTTTGGTAATCAAACATAACCTCACTTCAGTTTGCGTTAACCTAGCTTTCGAAGTGTCAAGATTGTGGATTTTTCGAGGTTTTTTACTTTTTAAGGTGAGTTTTGATTTTTTTAATTGCTAGATCTCTGCATTAAATTAAAATTGCATTTGAAAGGTTTCAAAATCCGACATATCCAAAAATACTTTATTCATGTGGTTACTAATTATACCTAATTACAATAATTGCAAAATCTAATGATGTTTTACCTTATGTGAGTGTTTTTAAGATTAAAGTTTATGTTAACCAGTGGCGTGCATAAAGGGCCAAGGCCAGAATATTCAAACTAAAAAGTGAAGAAAAATATTTTATCCGAAATCGGCAGTAAAGTGGTCAACAATCGGCAGTAAAGTAAAAGAAATCGGCATTAAAGTAGAACTTTACTGCCGATTTAATTCGAGTATTGTATGCAACCCATTATACATTTTAAGATGTGTCTACTGCTTCTCAACAGCAACTAAATAATATGTAAAGGAGGTCGATTGGACCCTTTCATAAAATGTTGTTTACTAAAAATAATAAGTTAATTTTATTAATTAAATTTAAAAATCGCCGCGGCGGACAAATATATCATAACCGTCGCAACAAACAGTATACGTAGACACATCCTACATTCAAATGACATTTAATTTGATCATCAATATATAGTATTATTAAATGTGATTTCGGATAAAATTTAATATGCACCTCGGCATTAAAGTCATTTTTTATCACTCGTGATAAAAAATACGATTTTACTGCCTTGATACCTATGCGTAGGTATTTTTCGGCAAATAAAATATTGTTTAAATTGTAATAAATCATAATTTGGTCCAATTTCAGCCGACGCCCAAGTAAATTATTTTTATCCAGCTGTACCTAAAGGTACTATTAAAAAACGGTGATGAAACCTTTTTACAAAGTTATTTACCTGATTGACAAAAGAAATGCCTTTCTCAAAATAACAGGTAGTTATATCTGCTATAGCAATTGTTGCACATTTTGCCGCCAAAAACGCATCAATTTGTTTAATAAATATATGGCATTTATTTGCTTAACAAATTTGTCCTTTACGATTAGTTTATTTATATTCCCATCCAAGGTTATTGCGCCCAATATTTCGCCAGACTCGCTTTTGAATAATCCCGACCTTCCCTAAAAAGCATATCAATTGTACGCGGTTCCTTCAAGGGTCCGATTTACCTGTAGGGTGAAAACATACCTTTCGGACAGACGGTTAGCTCGGTTTCCCGCGCTATCTAGTGGGCAGGGCGCGTGCGCGCACCAATCAGAGTAGCGGCACTTCCCGCCATTCGCCATGTCGTTTTTCATTTGCCGACCGTAGATTGTTCGCGTAGCACGCCGCATGGTAAGTCTCTTATTTTTTATCGTTTATCGCTTTATTTTTAGAGCTTTATCGTTGAGTTTTATGTTTTTGTTTGTTTTATCGTTACGCAGTGAGATAATAAGGTTGTGGATTGTTTTAATGGTACATGCAGTGGGGTTTGAGAAGATAACCTAGCTTTTTTGCGCGATCACCTGGTGTAGGCTTGTGTTCTTTCTATTGTTGCACTTTATTTTAACAATTTGTGACTAGATCGAACACTCGCCTATAACTTGTGTGCTAATCTACGTTTTAGCCAGGAAAATGGACGTTTTTTGTGTATTTTTTTGTATTCAACAGGTATTTTTTAAGGTCGGATATATTCTTCTTTGGTGATCTAGTTGTATGAGTGTTAATTACTTCATAAAGCTGGTTCAGCAAAGCAGAAAGTATTCGACTGTCCATCGTGGGAATGTGCAATATTTTTTGTTTTATTTTTTATGGGAATCTGGCTTGAAGGAACTTCTGGTGTGATATGTAGATTTGAAATATATCACAGCCAGTAGTTACCTACGATATGGGTTCCCAAAATCATCAAGTTACCGTAATATAATATTTTAGGCCAGCGTTTTTTATTTGGAAGAAATTTTACTGTTTAATTTTTGGGTAGGTCAGGTATAAACTCAGGTAAAATATTTCGGGTTCAAGATACTAATTTCTTGAAAATTCACGGAATTGTACGAGGTATCAAAAGACTACATTCCTTTGAAATACACTCACAAACAAAAGTAACACTATTGCTCGCGAGTTTATTACTTTAATATTTTCTTAAATTCGTCACAGGTATTAGCGATAATAAAAATTCCAAGGTATTAATCACATAATTATTATTATTATTGTCGGAGAGAATTATTCATATAATTTCTGATAATGAGTTACTCATACATATTTAATTTTTATACAATCAAACTTAATATCGATTTTCTGTTGTGTTATTGTTTTTTCTTTTGTTTATTTTTTTTTCTTGTGACTGCAATCTGTCAGAAATTCTTGACAAAGGGTGCAAAAATACATTGCACTATCTTTTCTGAAAAATGGTGTATATTTTAGAGTACAAATAAATATTTCTATTCTTACTCTGATAAAGTTAAAATAGTCGTGGCACTGCTCAAACTGCTCTCAGGCTTTTTAAATTGCTTCTTCTTTAAAACTTCTTCATCAAAATCGTGCTTTTTGTAAAAATCTGAGTAAAAACTGTTTGTTTTGGATTTTGATATCTGCGTGTTTGTTGCTCTTAACGGGGTAGTTTTTTGCGCCAAAAGTGACTTGGCTGTTTTTTTACCCATTTCCATTTTTATAGTTTTATTGGTTTTGACGCTGCAAAATATGGCATTTTTATTTGGAACAGGACATTTTATTAGAGATAAGGTAAATGTTTGAAACTTAGCACAAACTTCAGTTAAATTAAACAATGTTTCACATCATTTGACATTTGAATAAGAAATGCAAGTAATTGAGGTTATGTAGTTAAACGCTTAAAAAATGGCATTCCCTTAACTGTTAAAAATGAAGAATTTTTTTTTTAAATAACTTTTTTATTTCAAAACGTATCGATTTGAAATTTAGACAAAATGTAGATCTTACTAATGACAATTAATCCATGAAAAATTTTGTTTAGATTTTAATGTACAGGGGGCGCTGGTGATAATTTAGTTTAAAATTTAACAATTTTTAAAGGGTAAATAATCGAAGAAGCAACTTTGTTTTATAAATTTGAGTATAACACGTTAAAGTATTAATATTTGAATATTAACTTTTTTATGCAAATGATGTTTCTGTGGCCAGGATCAGTTTTGAATTAGCAGTAGCAGTATTCATAAATGTTTAGTACATTTTGTCCTTTTTATACAAATATTGTTGTATCTTTTATTAATAATTAAGTATAGCATTTTTGCTATGTTATAACACATAAATGAAGTTTAATATACAGGGTGTTTCGCGTACGTAGTCTGTTAGAAGTTTGTAGGGAATCGCGAAAGACATCGATTTAAAATTTTAATAGCGAAAATTATTCGATTTAGACTTTTTATGAACAAAATAATACTTCCTGTTTTACCGGAAATGTCTTTAACTTTGTTATTTTAAAAAGGACACCTCATATATTTTTACATTTTTTAATTCTACATAAAATTCTAAGTAAAATGGCTATACCATATCCTATACCTAAATCAATATATTTTGAGCAAAATTTTAACAAAAAAAAATAATATTAAAACTATCGACTCTAGGTATAGTTTAAATCACATTGTATATGCTATTAAAATTTCAAATCCATATCGTTTGAGTTTTTTAAGAAACACCCTGTATAGCATTATATTAAATATAAAAAAATGCAAAATAACTAATTGCAAAAAATCGAAAAACAAATGAATAAAAAATATAGATATATCTAAATAGCCGATTGCAACATAAAAAATAAAGTTTAAAAAAAAATTATTTATTGGGTAAATATTACTTTCCTCAGTATGGAATTAAAATTGAAGCTTGCTTATCGAGTAAAAAATAAATTGAAGCTTGGTTGTGGACCAAAAAATAAAATTAAAGTAGGTTATAATTTCTAACTTGCTGACACTGTCTATAATTATTATTTAGTTTATTCATTTTAATATAGTAATGTTTTGAGTTTATAGTAGTACACTTATAAATCAGTCATTTGCATCTTATAAACTGAACTGTCAAATTATCTTTCATGCTTCCAATGGTAGGTTACCATAGAGAAAAGTCTATGATGCCTACTATGATCAAAATTAGTTAATTTGAAAAAAAGTAATTTTAGCTCCATCTATGGCGATTTTTTAAAATAAATATGTAAGAATTGTATGTTTTATATAATATATTATATGTAATATATAATGTATAATATGTAATATATAATACATTATCCTATAAAACTAGATAAAAGAATATATACTTTGTAAAAAAAAATGATGTCTCTCGTAGAAACATAATTTGCATGTAGAAGTTTAAATATCAAATACTATTTAATTATCAGTACTTTAACGTGATATACTCAAAATTATAAAACAACGTTGCTTTTTCGACTTTTTAATCCTTCAAAAATGGTAAAATTTTAAATTAAATTGTCCCCAGCGCCCCCTGTATGTTAAAAGACCCACCCAACTCTAAAAGAATCCAAATTTTTTTTCGCCCTTTCAGCAATAATTTTTGCCATTTGCTGTTTTTCTTCCTCTTGCTTCACATGACTATATTTGCTTGAAACAATCCCGAGGTTCGTGAAAAGCCCCGAGGCTATTTTAGGTGTATGACTTTTTTGGTCAAGTTCATCGTAAAGTGGGTCGCTTCTTTCGATACTTATTTCGTAAGATTGAGAGCCCTTTTCTTGGTTCGAAATGACCCTTTCCAACTTGGTTTCACTCTGACTGTAAACGGATTTTTCAGACTTAACGGACTGCTTTCTTTGCGCTTGCGCAAGGTTCTTTTCGTAGCTCTCGAACGTGCTAATTTTTCCCGACTTCAGTTGTTTTTTCAAGAGCTCTTCTGACCGGGTGCACTTGCAGTCGACATGTCCGCAAAAACATACAATTTTTTTCGGCTCTTCGGCCGGCTTTTCCACCTGTCTTATCACAGATTTGACGGCTGGTGGTGGTGGAATTTCTCTTTTCTTAAAACACGTACAGTCGACGTATCCGCAAATGCACTTTTTGGCGCCCGCTTCATCGAAAGTTACTTTGGGGTTTTTCAGAATGAACTCTGATGATTGTTTTTTTATGTCAACTTCGGATCTGTACACTATTTTTGTGTCCCTTAAATTGTCATGTTTGGGAAACTTTTTATCCAATGGAGGGTCTTGCTTTTGGATTATTTTCTTTAAACTATGCGGTAGTTTATCCGGCATCATATTCGATTTGAATGTTTCAACATTCGCAACAGTCAATTTCGCTTCGCTATTGTTTTCTGTGTTGTACTTCATATCAGAAACTTTCTCTTTGGGGTTAACAAAATCTGCCAAAACATCGTTGGGGTCGTTTTCTTTCTGTAAACTGGTTTGTGATGGAATGGTTCTTAAAAATTGATACCTAAAAATTTTTTTTTAATATAATTCAGATAACAACGCTTTTACATTTACCAGTCCCTGTATATATTTTGTTTTGTTTGCATTAATTTATAAATACGCGATTGTCTTGCCCGCAAACTTAAAAAAAACTAATTTTAAAAGTTTAGCTTAAGTGGATAAAGGGGTTAACATAAATAAGTAAATTAAGGACGGCATGGCGAATCGATTTTGACATTAACTGTCAAACCAATGACAGTGATGAACTATCTTAAGTAAATTTAAGGTATAAAATTAATTTTTTTATAGAATTTTTGCAAAATAGATAAAATTGCATAAGAGAAAACATTACAAAATATACTGGGACTTGTCCATAAAGCGTTACATCATTATACTCTGTTTAAACATTGTCTAGTTACTTTATTAGATGCGTAGAGGGCGTGTGTGTTAAAAGGGAGCCTTTTGCAGATATGTTGTTGGGTAATCCGGGCATATCATGGTTGTCAAATACTTGTTTTTCGATGAAAATTCTTTCATTGGTTATGGGGTTGTAGAATGACGTGTTACGATGGTCAAGCTTTAAATTGGCCTTCTCTTTGTCCGTAAGTTCCCCTACAAACAAAAGACCATATCGTGACTTTAATTAAGTTCACCGTACACTAGTGATTTATAGAGCAAAAAACGTTTTTTAACATGTTTTTTTTAGAAAAAAAGGGTTTTTTTTAGAAACATTGTTTTTCCTTAATTACAGGAGAAAATCAGAACAATTTTGAAACCTTTTAAAATAATCGTTATTTGTAATAGAGGTTTATAAATAAAAAAACAATTTTATTGAAAATCTATTATTTCCCACATTTTTTATTGTAAATTGCAACACTGTTGTTGGTGTTTATTAAACGGGTAATCCCCTGCTCGTTTTAAAATCGTGACGAGTCATGCGTATTTTGTTTTGTTCTGACAAATTGTTTTAATACTATAAAAATTGGTTTTGTTTCACGGTTATCAATATTTCTTATTAAACTACTACTACTAAGTTCAATAAATACGTACACTCAGCACAACTTATTTTATTTAGTTCGGTGGTACTCGATTAATCCACATTGCACACTGTGGTCAAAACTTAAGTATAGGACGAACAAAAATGCCAACCAAAACTGATAGCATATTTTGATTATAGACCCTTTTGGTAACACAACATGTATTTATCAAAATCCCAGCTGATCCTATTTTAAAGTTTTGCAAACTTTTTTGTTTTTCTATTTCTATATATTATTTTGCAATTATTGTACTAAAACTACCTGTACAATTTTAATAAAATTAAGCAAAATAATAAACTTTGTATCATTTAAATTACTTTACTCCCCAGTATTAATTTTATTATTATTATTTTTTACCACTCAAAACATAACAAAAAAAAACGAAGATTTATATCTTAAATACTTTTTATAACAAAAAATACTGGAAGTTTGTCTATGAAATAATTACAACTTGCAAATTTTGTAAAACAATAATTAAGGTGGTTATGAAAAAAATTGCTATACGTTATAACGCAAGTGACATTTTGCTTTAGTTGTTTATTTAATGTATACTTTATAAAGTTAAAAATAGTATTTTAAAGTGAAAATTAAACCGAAATTCAAGTTAAGCCATGAAGAAAACCGAAAGAAGGTATGTGCTGGCTGTGGAGACAAAAAGAAAATTTCAGAGTTTAGGGTTTCTGAGAAAATATAAAAATTACTGCAGACTTTTTCAAACGAACACTTTAACTTAAATGATTCAAAATTACCTACTTCAATATGGTAAAAACGGTATTTTTCCATAGCCACAATTGCCAAATTTTCAAAATTTAGAAATTGCTAGAGAATTTCGCGGCAGCCAAGAATGTATGTGCTTTATCTGCAAAATGGCAAGATATAAAGGGCATACAAAATTATTAAGGGAAGAGGACGGACGAACGAACTAAAGTTTTGATATGCTCTTCCTTTCTAGGGGATATCGCTAGATGTAAGAAGCATGTTTGTACAGAGACTGAAGAATTTAAAAATACTGTTTCCATGTTAAAAACAATTCCATGTAAAACTCAAGAAACAGTTTTACTGAAAATTTAAGGCAAGCAGTAACCGATTTTGCTTCAAAGAATCTTTAGTTATTTATTAGTTTTGTATTAGATACCTTAAAACAATAAATAAGATATTGCAAACTGTATTTTACATTATTTTGTATTTATAATGTAATTTATCCAAATTTCAGTCATGTATCTGCCAAATTTTTAAAAACATTTGATAATGGTACTAGAGTATTTTATCGAAATTGCATACACAATTTTAAAATACTAAGAAATATGCAAAACTTTAATAAAGGATCAGCTGGGATTTTGATAAATACATTTTTGTGTTACCAAAAGAGTCTATAATCAGATTATGCCATCAGTTTTGGTTGGCATTTTTGGTAGTTTTTTATGATTATAGAAACAATGTTTTGTTTTTTTTTTCAGAAAAACCACTGTACACTATACAGATTTAATTTGACATACTTTGGAAGAAAAAAGGCAAACTAAAAACAACTATAAAATTTATTAAGCTTCTATACTAAAACAAGTGTTCCAAGCCTTCTGATTGACTTGTTTCAAAATGGCCTTCAATGAGGTTCCAGGTCCGCATTCGAAGGTTCTGGGAAAAAAGTCGTCGGGCCTTCTCTCGTAAATCGTGTGCAATAATTGCTCCCACTTAACTGGTTTGACTATTTGCTTGGGCAGCTGGTGTCTTATGTGGTTTGCGTCCTTGTACGTTTTACCGTCCACATTCGAATAGACGTTTATCACAGGATCCTGGATTTCGGATTTTTTCAGGGCTTTCTGGAAAGGCTCCACTGCGGGGCGCATCAACTCCGAATGAAACGCACCCGACACAGGCAATCTCTTAACCTTCTTCAAGTTGAATTCCTTGTAGTTCTTCTCGAGATAATCTATAGCGTTCACACTACCCGAAATAACTTTGCAATGGGGGAATAAGTAGTTCGCAATTCTGCATTCAGGGACCTCATCGCCTTTATCTTTGGCCCACTCTTTGGCTCTGAGACATGCGAAATTCACTTTACTATCCGGGGCGTAAAACACAGTCACCATATGACCTTGGTTCATCTCGCTGGCAATCTGCATGGCTTCGCCTCTAATCTGCACCAGCTTCAAAGCCCTTTCAAAATTCAGAGCCCCAGCGAAAACTAACGACGTTATTTCGCCCAAGCTGAACCCTGCGGTCCCCACGCAATTTTCTATAGCTTGCGGACGTTCTTCCTTAAGTCTTTCTATAGCTGCCAGCGATGTAACCATCACAGCAGGTTGGCAATACTTGGTTTGGTCTAGTTTGTCTTTTGGCCCTTCCAGGCACAGTTTCAATAAATCGTACCCTAAAAAATGTTTAGCTTTATTTCATAGTTTAGTATGTCCATAATTTTTTAAAATAAACATATATGCGCTAAAAATTTGTTGTAAAAAATACCAAGGTAGTATCTTCATTTAAAGAGTTTGATAAATAATAAATAAACTATAGCCTATAACAGTAGGCTGTGATAACAAATTCAGCGGTGCCAATGTAGTAAAAATAAAACGTTGTATTTTAATTAACAAATTAATACTTTATTTCAAATTAGAGTATTATTAAAAACTAATTAGAGTATTATTAAAAACTAAAAACAATAAAAACAATAAAACTAAACCAGCAACAATATAAATTGTTGATTTTTTGTTATTTTGGCAAAATTAATATTTAAAACTGTCAAATTTTTGTGTTTTTAAGTTGGCAGCACGAAATTTGAAATGACAATTTAAAAAAGTGCTAAAAAAATTGTTTTTCGAGATTTACATAAAAAATACAACTCTTTTTTTTAAAATTAAGTTGGTAGCTTATGCCAGTTTGATTAAGTATTTTTGGTATTTAAAAAATGGTACTTCTGCTAAACACCTTAATTAAATACAATACAAATACAAATTGACAGTAATATTTAGGTACTGTTAATAATTATATAATACCGATTTAAAAAGATAACTAACTCAAAAATAATATCAGATTTTAAAGTAAAAGTACTTCATTTCGATGAAGTTATGCCAAATGCCCCAATGGCAGAAAAAGTACATCTCCTTATGGACATTTTTGGAGTAAAAAAGTAACGTTTTTGGTTTTACAAATATTAAATCACACATAATTTTCAGCTAAGCAGATCAAAAATTTTTGAAATTTTAAAAAATAAGGGGAAATAAAAAAACAAAAAATAAAAATTTGTGAAAAATCTAGTGGTTAAATTTCCTGTATTTAAAAATAGCATCAATTTGGTTTGAAAAAGATAAGCAATAATCACGAAACTTTTTCTTCTTTTAATTTGCAACTTACTGATCATTAATAGTCCTGAACAATATATACATTATAATTATTATTAAGCCACTACAAGTATTAACTTCCAGAGATACAAAATAAAAAAATGGAGTATAAAAACCAAATTTGCACATACATAATGTAAGTACCTAACTTTAAAAATTATTTTTTTGGAATCTGCTGTAAAAAAATTTAAAATTATTTGTGTATGTTTGATGCAATCTTGCCGGATGAATTTCATAAAAGTTCCAGACCAAAAACTACAAAATACCCGATTTTACGCGTAGTTTACTTCATAAATTTTCTAGTGCAATCGATTTATTTTGAAAAAAAGGAATTATTCAAAAAGAATGGTAACAGAATTTATTTAGGTACCTAAATCTAGCAAATATACAATATTATAGGTAGGTATACTGAAAATTTCTTGTTTAGTATATTAAATTTTAAAGAAATTTTATGGAAACTTTTTAAATCAAGACACTACCTTAACAGCTGGTATTTCAACAAAATGTGTTATGTTATAAAGTTCTTTTTTTTATCTGGACTGTGGCAACGTTGCAAATTTAGGGTTTTGGTTGGTAAATACAGTTGTCAAGTTGGTCGCATTGATTAAAACAAACTAAGCTAGTTATAAATCTAATTGTGGTTATGTATAAATTATTGTAGGTTACATTGTGCAGTTGTCAAGTTGAGTTGTCGAAATTCGTAGTTAAAAATGCAATTAATTTGGCTTTGGTGATGCTTGGATGAGTAAGAGAAAGTATTCATAGCGGGTAATAATCTTCGCTTTGAAAAGAATTTATATAAAAGAAATTAAAATTGTTTGTGAACGTAAATGTTGTCCAATGGTGAATAATGTGTGATGTAATATTTATAAAACCAAATTCGTTACTTTTTTACTCCAAAAATGTCGATAAGGTGATGTAGGTACTTTTTCTTCCATTGTGGCATTTGGCATAATTTCATCAAAATGAAGTTTTGCCCTCTCAAAAGGGCTTTTACATTCGATTTCGTTGCCATTATTTTTGGCATAATTATCTTTTTATTTATAATTGACAAGTACATTATCAATAATAAATATTATTGTCAATTTGACAGTGTCGAAAGTATTTTATTAAATTTTTTAGCAGAAGTACCACCATTTTTAAATACTAAAAATACCAAGTCAAACTGGCATAAGCCACCAACCTAATAAAAAAACACAAGTCCAGATAAAAAAAGGAACTGTAGTTATCTATTAAAAAACTGTTGCTTACCTAAGATATAATTTGCCAATTCGAACAAATCTTTTGCCATTGGAAATTTCATTAAACCTTTAGCCATTCCAACAAACTGACTTCCTTGACCAGGAAATATAATGATAGAAGTGTCTCTGGGGTCATGCTTTGGCTTGAAAAAATACTCCCCCTGTTTCCTTATTCGTGTACCCCTTGGATAAGGCAGCGTAACCCATTGCTGCTCTGGATTTGGCTGATTTAAATCTTGAAACGTCGCAGAATCGTCGAGAAGCTTTTTCAAAGGCGACGACTTGATTTTGTCGTCTTTTGAGGAACAAAACCGACAGGCTTTGAGAATGTTGGCCTTCTTTATTACACAGGATTTGACAGTACGACTACTTAAAACACTGGAATAATTCATTTCTGTGCGTGATATAATCACTTTTGCTGTTAAAAACAACTAAAATAAAGCATTTGTCGGAAACATTGAGGTTATTTATTTTGAGGTTAAACGTCAAACCACGAACGGTAGTTCAAATGTCGCGGCGTTGCCGGATCCCCGATTTATTCTAGAACCTAGGTACTACTTACTTATGTTACCCGAAGATCCTATCCCGACTATTTTAAGGTGGCTATATAGCTCTATCGAAGATACCGCAGCCGCTATAGATACTGTCTGTATGTTGGGCGCTGTAGGGATGTCGGTGTTTGATAATATTGGGTGTTCTATTTGTAGATATCTAATAATGAAAAATTAACAAAATGATGTTTTCACAAGTTTGTGTTTTTTACCTTTTGGGGCAGTTGCACGGTTTTGGCGAGCAAGTGCATTGTTCTTCCAGTAGAATGGCCGTGTCTTGTTGAAAGGTTTTTTCAGGTGGGATATCTGGAGCTTTTTCTGTGTCGTCGATAGGTATTTGGACCGAATCCAAGTCATTACTGGCTATAAACTAAAAAAATTAATATTTAATAACCTTTTTGAAAGGTCATTGGAAAAAAGTTGAATATTGATGATCTTTTCATTTTAATAGTTTAATTAAAAAAATTACGTCAAGAAATAGTAGATGTCAAAATTTGGCTGACATCTGACACCTGTCAATTTTGACATTTTCGACGTCATTTTTTTACAGATGTTATCTGTCACCGATCAATTTTGCAGATATTATTAGTATTAGTATTATGGAAACAAAGCGGTTACGGACAGGGCCGGATTTAGCACGGGGCCAGAGGGGCCACGGCCCCAGGGCCCCCACCATTTAGGGGCCCCCACCAATGCAATATGTAGCTTTTTATGAAACAAATATGAAAAAAATGGCGAAAAAACAAAAAATTGGGTCGGTTATACCGCGCGAATCCTGTAATTTTCAATTAATTTTTCGTAGATCTAACTCTAATTTATCGCGGATTTGTTATCGCTTATCCGCTTGCAAATCATGTAAATTATCACACTCAAAGTTTTGGCCCGCGAAGACGTTTTTATATAGTCTATAGTCATAAGTTATGGCAGTTTCTCCTTTAGTGCTTGTCGTAACGTTTTTGTAAATACAGGCAAACAGTCAATTTTCTTATAATCTAATATTAACGTTAATTTTTGTCCCAGATTTGTATTGGTACATTGGAGTGTTTAGTGCTTTTCTTTGGACAAAATATTGTTTTATTGTTTGAATTTGTATGAAAAACAGACAAATAATACGACTTTTGATGCACTTTTTTCAGTTTGCGGTAAGTATTAAAAATACAAGCAAAACATATGTTTTATATAGATCAATTTATATTTTACTTGAGTAAAATATATGTATAAGGTTATATTTGTATTATTCAAGATATATAAAATATAAAGTATTTAAAAACACTTTCATTCACAATTCTTTTCTACTATCTACGTTTTTATAGTTTTGCATACGAAATTATAATTTTTCAGACTTGGGTAAAATGTATATATATATATATATAAGGTTATGTTCGTATTAATATTAATCAAAATATACAGGGTGATTTAGACTTGTGGTGACAAAAGCTCAGGGGAAATTCCTCTTATCAAAATATGAAATAAAGTTCCTATAAACACGTGTCCGAAAATGCTTCAATACCGAGATACAGGGTGTTTCGTTTAAAAAAAATGAGTTTTTTTATTTATAGCTTAAAAACGCTTTGGCCAATTTTATTAAAATTTATATGGTTTATTAAATTATAAATAGGGATGCACCGAGTAGTGGTTTTTAAAAAAGCCGGGTACCGGGTTTGCCTAAAATTTAAACACCGGGTACCGGGTACCGGGTATTCACCGAAACGAATGCACATAACCCAACTTTATTAGATCAGATTAATCAGTAGTGCGCTTGCGAGTGCAAGTATTTGATGTTAAATGTTAATTATTATTTAGACAATGAGTGTTCATGAGCGAAGTGCGGTGTGGGAATTTTATGAGGTATGCGAAGAAGACAGCAAAATGGCAATATGTCTAATATACCTAAACTGTCCCAAATGTGTCAAAAATATTTGTGCTCTCCACCATCCAGTGTCTATTCCGAGAAAATATTTTCAGAAGCTGGGAATGTGTTGAGGAGATCTGCAAATACCCCCCCTAATAAACAATCCGTGGGTTATTACGATCCTAATTGTTTAAAATAAATGTATTCAAAAAGCCATGTAAATAAAACTAACATTTAAATTTAGCGCAACGGAAATACAAGTGACATATAAAAGGTAGCGTGCCATTGGTTAGAAAAACTCTCCTGATTAAGTGGGAAAAGGTAGGGGAAAAGAATGCTAGACGCAAGTGACGGGCAGGGGAGAACATTAATTCGAGCATTGGAGCAGAGCCGAGCAGCAACAAGGGTTTTAGAAATTGTGTGTGCAGGAAAGTGGTTAAAAATGTAGGTTTGTACGTTTTAAATAACTAAATTATTGTAGTATAAATATTCCCGAGCATTTTGGTATAATTAGTTTACACAAACACCTTGTGTAAAGATAAATAATCGATCAATTGACTTGGCGTCATCGTTCGATCTATTACGCTGTAATGGCTGTCGTTTTAGAAACCACGCTGTAAAATTTACGTTTAAAACTAGGTATTTCGTATTATAATTTATATTCTAAGTTATAAACAATTGTTACGTGTAATTTATCTAATAAAATGCAGGGATTTTTAACGAGTATTTATCAAATTAAAAGAGCAAGAATTTATGGGGATTTTATCCAATTAAAATAGGCAGGACCGTATTCGATTTAATTAGGCTAAATGTCAGGGCAGTACTTAAGATTATTAAATTAATTTTAAATAAATATTTCAAAAAGGGAATTTACCATAAAAGCTGTGTAAATTAAGTGTATTTAATATCGATTTTCTTAAATACGGGATTTGTTAAATTGTACTCGCAGATTCACATTTATGTCCCGTAATTAGTAATTTTACCAGTCATATTTAAATATTTGGTATTAGATTTGGAGTGAGTGGCAACAGTAATTGTGTGATAACGACATTTAATTTATCCACTGCCCGTGGAGTCCATGATGCAACAAGCCCATCTTGAATTACTATCCTGTAAATTTTACCAGGGGCCGGTCGGTTGGATTTATCTGGTTGGGTCACGGTTACATTGTTTTTGATATTTGTGTCATTTTGATTACCTATAGGTAATAGTTGCCATGGAATGGTATATTTTTACCATAAAATGATATATTGTTTTATGGTATTTGTTAATCTATTAACGTTTGCCGACAAATGAGGCATAATAGACAATGGCGGACCTGCAGTTGAAGCGATCTCGGGCCTTGATAATTATTTACTCCTTTTCCAACAGTTTATTGAGCCTGAACTCTAATAAATATTACATGAAAAATTATGTAATGGTAAACTTAAATTCAACAGTAAATAATATTATAAAAACTTTATTTGGATGATGGAGGCATATTGCAGACGGAATGCTTGATGAATAAAGTTAAATTTAAAATACAAAATTAGAGACTAAGACTCAATCTACTTTCACCAAACAAACAAACAAATAAACAAACAAATCAGCAAAAAGCGAAGATAAAAATTAAAAATGAAAATAAACAAACAAATCAGCAAAAAGCAAAGATAAAAATTAAAAATGAAAAACGAGAGCTAAGCTCTAGTATGATGTATTATTTATCTAATGTTATTTATATATTTATTTATATTTGGGTTGTAGTCGCAGTAAGGAGATATTGTGTGGTTTTTAAACGGTTGTAGGAGGTCCTTTTCTTTCAGAGTTCACTAAGTTAAATGTCGTTTGGGTTGCGGTTATTTTTGTTGCTCTATCCAAATAAATATCATTATTGTTTGTTATAAATTGTAAATATTTTATACGTGAAACTCACTCCCATAATCCCTCATTTTGGAAGGTTTTATGAGCGATATTAAATAAAAAAATAAACGGGAGCCTTCCGGGTTTTTGACCTGAGTTCAAACGTAACTTATTGCCTTTTATTTACTGTATTTATTATTTCCCTTTTTAATACTTTCCCCATGAATACAACACCTCACAAGTACCTTGGGTTACTAAATTAATGAGCTTTATTACCGTAAGTATTTATTTTATTTATTTGTTGTAATTTAATATAACATTTGCCGTGGTGTTATATTTCATTTATCACTTGGGGTGTAACTTTTTACAGATTCTTTGCTGGGGGGGGGGTGTGAACGCTTACAGTGTTTGATACAAAAAGAAATCGTCTTTTACCAGAAAATGGAGAAAAACTTATTTTTTTGCACCACAATGCCCCCCTGCTTAATTATGAATATTAAATAAATAATGTGTCAGTGTCAGAGGGAAGTTTCATTAATAAAAATTAATTATTAAATGAAAGCAAATAATTTATCTTATTTTTTAATTTGGTATTACATGTTGATTTTTAATTTTTTTTATAATCAATGTTAATTTTTTTAATATGTTTATTTTAAGAGTTAATGTTGTTTTTGAATTTTAATTTATAAATTAAAAATAAAACTTAAAAAATTCTATTTTTTTGTTTTGTCAATGTACCCGGTTTACTCGGCCGGGTACTGACTAGTACCCGGTGAAACCGGGTTACCCGGTTACTTCGTTATTTGGCCGGGTACTCGGCCATACCGGGTACCGACCGGGTACCCGGTGCATCCCTAATTATAAATGATTCAAAAATAATAAAAAATCACGTAAAGTTCCTCTAGCTTAAAAATTTACCATGAGTTTTAATTTCCCAAGTGTCAAAAATTTTATAAATATTGAGGGCCCCCACCAAATGTCGGCCCCAGGGCCTCAAAACTCTTAATCCGGCCCTGGTTACGGAAACTAGAGAAGAATTTTTTTTATTTTATATTTCATTCTGATTTTCGCAAAAGTAATATGTATGTATATACATATATATGGGTGCATCTCACGAAATGTCCCCCGTGATATTTAATAAAACTAAATAAGTTTGACCTATCCTCCGTGACTGTTACTCTTTCTAGGTTAACCTATATGTTTTCAAATATCTGAGGTAGTAAAAGCATACTAAAAACTTCAGTTCACTAAGTAAATTAAACACATCCAAAGCAATCGAATCAAATATAAAATATTATTAAAAATTAAAAGAAATAATTTTTATAATCATTTATGTAGGTGTTACAAAAATTGATTATATCCTCCGTGAATCTGTTTTTGCTTTAAATTTTATGCAACGGATGGCGCTTTAATCATTTTAAATAGGCAAAAATCTCTGTTTACGACATTATAGATGCATGTGATTCCTGAAGGTCAGTTAGAATTTATATGCGGATGAGAGTGTTGCTGTTTTATAATTCAAAAGTTTAAGTTCATTAATTTGCTATTTAAAAACCTATCCACCGTGAAGTGTAATATCTCAGTAAGTAGATTTTTTTATAAATATTTTATGTATTTTTTAAAAATATTAAGTTGTTAAAAGATACAATAACTTATTTCAAATATACAAAGGGATGTTTTAAAAAAAACATACGAAATCCTAACCTCCGTGAAGCTTTAATATTCAAAATGTATGATTTCTTAAAATTCTTGCATTAGTGGCTTCCCAAAAACCCCATTCTAGACTAAAAGTGAAAAAACCTAAAATAAAAAATAATTATATACCATTTCTTTTTCCGCTAAATCATTATCATCATCTATTTTTGGAGGAACATCACGATTTGAAAGTTTCTTTTCTTCATAATTTTGATAAAAATCGCCGTCATTGTCATTAACTTGAAAAGCTAAACTATCTGTTTCTTTGTGCTTTTCCTCTTTAATTTCCCTCAAGAGGTTATCAGATGGCTCTTTTTCGGATTTGAACAAGAGATTATCAGACGGTTCTTTTTTGGATCTGAATCAAAAAATGTTATTAATATTAAAACTTGTCTCGCTATTTAACACATCCTGGGATAAAAATGCACCTTCTAGATTCTCCGACTTCTTCATCTCGAGTTCTTCTTCTATTCTCGGCCTCTATCAAATTTGGATCCTCGTCGAAATCGTAATCTGCAACTCCCAAAACTTTGTCCAAAATAAAATCTGGCAGATGTTCTGCATCTTCAGTTCCCACTTCAGCTGCAGATTTTTTTTCTGCCAAGGATTCTTGTTTTGCAACGACCCCCTACAAATAACTAACAATAAGTTTTTGAAACCAGGTTACTTGCAGTGGTGGCCCGTCAGGGGAGGCAGGTGAGGCAGTGCCTCATCATAGAGAATTAATAAATTAAGTATAATTTAAATATTTTACTTTCTATAATATACTATAAATTTTTAATATTTGGATTTGTGAAATAGTCTATAAAATTGATTGATTTTATACGTGGAATACCCAGCAACATTTAAATTATTTGAATTTGAAACGACCGCAATTTAAACCAATATTTATAGCTAGATGATTGGCTCAGAAGCATGCCTGAACTAATTTAGACTCACGATTGGCGTTAGCCTTGTTGTCTCGTTCTATTACAATGCGATATCATAGTTGTCTCCTTCTCTCGTATTAGAATACGCGAGGCAGGCACGCCTACATCCAAGGAAATAAGCAGGTTGTGGCAACACTGTTGCGGAATTTAAGATAAATTATACTTTACACGTTTTTCAAAATTCAATAATAAATGGCATTATTTTTCTTATAATAAATCGATTTAATCGAAATTATATTTCTATTCTAAAATAAACATATTTTAACACTATCGCCATCTTGTGGCCATCACAGTAACCAATAAAATAAATACAGATTCCTTCTTTAGGTTTGTTTTGGTTATAAAATTCTGAACTGTTTAAAGAACAAATCTGTGGTTATTTACGCAATATTTTGTTTATTCTTTTTCTATGAGTTTGTCTATTTTATGATTCTGTTGTAAGTGGTTTATTCTGTGGGTTTAGTTAATTGAACTTGGTGATTTATGTGAATTTAGTCATTATGGATATTACGGTGAGAAATTGTACCGATATTGTTGACCTTTACTTGGTTCTTGCTGCTGAACAATGAAATATTAATTAGACAAAAATGAGGTTTATTTAAAATAAACGTCATTTTTACGATAAAATATATTTCATTGACAAAGAAGAGGATTCGTTCCCCACCACAGTCCAAGTTTTTTACTTAGTTTTAAGTATAGGTTGTGAACTGCAACGTCAGTTTTTTTAAGTTGGGTTTACAAAAATTTCTTCGCCTTTAAATGAGGGCGAAACCCTGCCTCTGCCTCACCAAAATGAAATGTCACGGGCCGCCACTGGTTACTTGATATCAATAATATTATTTCTCGTACAGTAACATCGTGCTTGGTTTCAAAATATTCGTAGTCCAAACCTTGGACTTTAGCCAATTCCAACTCAGACTTCTGATCCTCCTCCTCAACGTCTTGTTTTTCCTTCTCTGAATCTATACCTTTATTTGACCCAAAAAGTAATCAATAAATTCAAAATATTGATAAAATTTGTTCTTTCACATACATATACTTTCTTTCGAAATGACCTTGTAGGTGTTACAAATACAATCAGGCAGATAGTTGCATTCGCAAGTAGGTCTATCAGTTTCCCTCCACTTTCTGTAGGCGCCTCCTTTTTCTTTCTCTGCGACAATGTCGTCAACATTTAGTGTTTTTCTTTCAGCAAATTCTAAAATCAGATACTAGATATCTATAGGTATACCTACATCATTTTTAAATAAATAGGTAGTTTTTAAACAGAAGAGAGGAATAGCAGAAGTCTTACTCGACAAATTTTGTTCATTTGCACAGCTAAATCGCGCACGTTATTTGTGTTTTACGTTGCAAGGAAAAAACTAAAAAACTGGTTTAGTACTCGATTTCGATTGATTATTCCTTATATCATTGATTATAATCAATTATATATATATCTTATAAGAAACTCAACGCTTAAATGCTTATATAGTTACGTTAGTGTGTGTATTTTATCAAAGGGATCATGGTGAATTATTGTGTTTTTAATTGCAAATAAAATTCAAGAACTAAATCGTTGCATTTTCATGTTTTGCCAAAGGATCCAATTCGGTAAGTACATTTGTTGGTGCAGAATTAACCAATGATAACTTTATCTAACATAATTTATATTTAAGTTTGGACATTTTTAAGAAATTAGTAAAAATAATTTTTGCACAAACATAACCTTAAAATCAACCATTTTTATATTTGAGTTCTCTAAAAAACGCCGACAACTGCATTTTAAACAACAAAATATACCAACGAATTCATGGCAACATAATATTATACATAATACATAAAATAATGGTATTTTACCGTTGAGTGGACTTTCTTAATCAAAGCTTTTAATAATGCTAAATGCTGTTTAAATTTAGACGACTTATTTGTTAGACGATTTTTACTGAATTGAAATGTTTACACTTTTATTTATTGTATCTAATAGGTACAATTTATATTTACAGATCGAGCCACGGTTTTTTTTCGATATTTTTTAACATTTTCCGGCTTTATTCTCAAAAACACTCGTTTGTAACGTAAGCATCTGACAGCTGATTATTGAAGTTTTACTTTTGTTACGATGATAACAGCCGAGTGGTGGCGCTACTATCGATACTTCTTTAGCGTATAGAACACAAGATCACCTTTTTCTTGTTCAGCATTAACGGGTTTTTCATCGTTTAAAATATCTGGAAATTTGCTTTTTGCGGGTGATATCCAATCACTGAGACCTGTAATATCGCCCAGATTAAAATCTACGCAAGATTTTCCTCTCTCTACGTCTAAACTTGATAGTATTTTGCATTGGGGGCATTTTTTCTTGGCTTGAACCTATTTATGATTTCGGTCTGTTAGTTTAGATGCTGCAGTAACCTACTTTTAACTTACTTTTAATTTATCAAGCTTATGCTTCTGTACTTCAGATACAGCCTTAATAAATATATTTTTTAGTTTATCTTCAGTTTCCTTCACGCTTTTAACAGCTTCTCTTAATTCTAACACCTCCTTTCTTTCAATCGCCTCTTCTTTTTCCTTGTCTCTTTGTTTTTTACCTTTGATTAATGTGCACTTTATAGGCTCCAAATTCTCCTGCATAATTTTTTCCCAAAAAGCTACACATTTCTCGATGTCCTCTTGAGGACCAGGATGCAGAGACAAAATTTGACTCTAAAAAAAAAAATTATTTAAAATATTTTTTTTAATACTCACCTCTACGTTAGATGATGAACAGCTCTCCTCGGAGCACTCCTCCTCGCTCCTAATCTTCGTCTGAAAAATCTTCTTCAATTTTCCTGGAACCTTGTAGTCCGTAAAACACACAGCCGAATTTTTTCGTATGCATTTTTTTAAAGGCCTTGCCGGTTCCGAGTTTTCCTCGTAAAAATCCATCTCCTCGCCCACATTCTCCCCGATTGACCTCCGATAATCGTAATTCAACTCTTCCTCGTCCATTTTCATGTAAAAATATGTCAAATATGACGTTTTGTAAATATGCAATAAAAAGGCAAACGTGGCAACACGGTGGATGTTTGAACTAATCGTGACAGGTAAGAAGAAGAAGAAGACTAACCTTTATCTATGATTTAACGAAAATGGCTTTAATTACGCGAATTCTTTCCACAGCCAGTAAAAGTAAGCCAATTTACAACAAAATAATCTTTTTTATTTTATGTATTGTAATTTTAGTCTCATTTTCTAACAACATAAGACTTTTATCAACACAAAAGTTTGCAAATATAACCCCATCTTTTTCACAAATTACCTTCAATAGCAACAACTGGATATACAGGGAAAATGATAGGATACAGGCGCCGATAAACAAGACCAAAATCGATATACCCAAAGGATTTAATTATATACAGCCATTAATTGAACCATTGCAAAATTTAGTGATCGAAGCGCCTTCAACAGTAAATTCTGATGTAACAATTGAAGCGGCGAGGTTGATTGTTATTAGAAGGAAGAAAATGAAGAAACATAAGTTGAGGAAGCTGAGGAAACGCATGAAGTTTGAATGGGCAAAGGTAAAAATCAAAATCGACAAAACGTGAGATCTTTTCAATTTTATTTTAGGTGAGGCAAAGAAGGGAAATGAAGAAAGAGAAGTTGTTCCAAGCAGAGTTAATACAGCAATGTAAAGAAGCTGAAGCTTTTTCTGCTGAACAATATGTCGAAGATAAGCTAAATAAACTTAATGAAATTGTTATACCACGGTACTGGAAAGGTAAACGATTGCCTGAGTTTATTATAAGAGAAAAAATGGGTTTGCCGCCGAAATAGTAAGTAATTGTTGATATTTGTGTAAAGGATAATAAAAAGTTGTTTTTATTTGGTTTATTTTGTTACTGATGTGAACATTCTTATAAGGTTTGGGTTATCTTTTATGAGATTTATTAATGAATGTATTCTTTCTGAAGTGAATTCTTGCGGTTCTTGAATGTGTTCTTTCGCTCTTCTATCGCCTAGAACCTTACATTTATCCACTGGTTTGGGTGGGCAAGGTTTTTTCTTTTTGGGAGCTTAAATAAATCACTTTTAATATTTTTTTTTGAAATTGATTAATTATTTGTACCTTTTTTTGGAGGTACCACTTTATCTTCTTTATACAAGAACTCTAGGTTATCTGGGGGTATTAGGGTGTCTTTTTTCAAAAAGGAAACACTTGAAAATCTTCCTTTTGATAATTTAATGCTGCTTGTGCATTTGCATTTAAGGCAAGTGTCTTTGATGTATGGTTCTCTGTACAATTCCGCAGAATTTCTTACATCCAATAATTTTGAACTAAAAATGTTAATAATTTAGTTTTTTTGAAACAATATCTTAAGAAAGATGTCCGAAAAAATGTAAATCAATCCGTTTGAGAAATTTTTACTCTGAATATTTACCGGCTTAATGTTAAGGTCCTATATACAGCATTGTCTATAGAATCTTTTTTCATATCAACCTCTTTACCACCTTTAACTAAAGTTGAAACTTTTTCCATTATTATTGAGTCCTTTGTGGTCACAGCCAACTTGGATGTAGGCTTTGTAGCTATAGACACTAAATATAAGTACATTTAATTAAGTTATTACATTATTTCAAAATTAAAATAGCAAACCTTTGTCTTGTACAGGTTTTTGAACTGGTTCTTTACATATTTTTGGAGTTTCAACTGTTGATATGCTTTCTGAACTCGTCTTCCAAATACCTAAAACCCATACAGTTAATTTTTTTTTAATCTGGACTCGTGTTTTTTTGTTAGGTTGGTACCACGTGGCTTATGCCAGTTTGACTTAGTATTTTTAGTATTTAAAAATGGTACTTCTGCTAAAGAATTTAATTAAATACTTTGACACTGTCAAATTGACAATAATATTTATCATTGATAATTTACTTATCAATTATAAATAAAAAGATAATTATGCCAAAAATAATAGCAACGAATTCGAATGTAAAAGCCCTTTCTTTTGAGGGCAAAACTTCATTTTGATGAAATTATGCCAAATGCCACAATGGAAGAAAAAGTACATCGCCTTATGGACATTTTTGAAGTAAAAAAGTAACGAACTTGGTTTTATAAATATTACATCACACATTATTTTCACATTATTCACCATTGGACAACATTTACGTTCACAAAAAATTTTAATTTCTTTTATATAAATTCTTTTCAAAGCGAAGATTATTATCCGTAAAGCAACCTATATTTAACTACTTTTTTATATGATTTTACTCATCCAAGCACCACCAAAGCCAAATTAATTGCATTTTTAACTACGAATTTCGACAACTCAACTTGACAACTGCACAATGTAACCTACAATAATTTATACATAACCACAATTAGATTTATAACTAGCTTAGATTGTTTTAATCAATGCGACCAACTTGGCAACTGTATTTACCAACCAAAACCCTAAATTTGCAACGTTGCCGCAGTCCAGATAAAAAAAATGAACTTTAAGCATCAAAAAATATAATCAAACCTAGTTTCTTTTTGTGTTTAATCATAGGCATTGGTCTTTTGTTTTCCCCGTCATCGCCTTCCTGTAGCCATCTTAAATAATCCGTCATACTAAATTGGTCATCAGATTCTATGGTGATGTCGCATATTTCAGATTCCTCTGTTAAGTCTTGCATAGGTCCAGTGTAAATATGTTCCAGGGTAGTTTTGTAGATGTCTTTTGAATCTTTTGTTGATATCAAAGTTTTCTTTTCGTCTTGTTCGCCGATTTTAGCGTAATCGACAAAATTCGTAACCTTAAAGTCAAATCACTTTAATTTTTGCTTGACTTAACTGGGGTAAAGTAGACAGTTATTGGACACTTTATAGTTATTGGACAATTAATATTAATACTGTAAAAACAAGAGTTCTATAAATAGTTACCTTAAAGTCAAATCATTGATGACGCTTTATACAATTATAACTATCTCAGTCGGTAATAATATAAAACTACTTTATTTTGGGTTTTGTTAAGAGCAGGGCTGTGTTTAAATTACAATAGAAAATATTTCTAAAAAGTGTACAGATCAGTGTGTGGTATAAATGTGTTCCTCATGGTTTAAACATTGTCACTTTAATGCGTTTTAATTTTAATTTTGAAAACAAACAGTAAAATGGCCAGTGTCCAATTACTGGTTGGTAAAAAATGTAAATTTCTATTGTTGCCCATATGTCCAATATCATACTCTATTTATATCCCGGACATTTACCAGTCAACTCTTATGTAAAATTGTCCCCTGAATCCGAAAAGACCGTCAAAAACTATAAAAAGTTAAGCAGTTTTTGAGATATAGTCAATTCCATATTAAATGTAAAATTGATTATATTTCAAAAACTGTTCTACATTTATAACTTTTGACGACATTTTCGGATTCAGCGAATAATATTTCATAGGAATTGACTGCTAAATGTCCTGGATACAAATTGCTGTTGACGAGAATTATTAGTTGCTGCTTTTTCGCTATGACATTTTTGACTAATTCTTTTTAGAGAGTAAGTAGTATACGGCCATTCCAAGCCCATGGACAGGACACATCAGAAACATGTCTAAATATATTCTTGTTACTTCCTTAAGTTTACTTATTTTTTCTACGAGTATTTATGAGAAGTATTAGCCAAATTTGGCTAATACTTCTCATAAATACTCGTAGAAAAAATAAGTAAACTTAAGGAAGTAACAAGAATATATTTAGACATGTTTCTGATGTGTCCTGTCCATGGGCTTGGAATGGCCGTATAGTGATTTCTTCGTCACAGGACATCTTGCTGAATAACAGTGATTTAAATACAATACATGATAGAGAACATAAAGAACTAATGGCAACAAAATTAATAAATTCTGAAAATACTTTTAACATACCACCCGAAAAAATATTAGATATATATAAATCATCCTGTTCTGGCCTAAACATTATAAATGCTACCACACTTAATGATATTTGCTATAAACTATTTCAGAAGTCAGACCATGGAATTAGTAGTTACCTTCAGAATAAAGAAAAGGGATGAGGAATCCGAGAAAGAAATATTTGAATTATATGATATTTACAAAAAAGAAATAAAAAAAATTACCTAAAACAGCAATTTATCTTTAAAAAATATTTAACAATTTATGTTATTTGATGTAAAGTTGTTATGTTTATATAAAAATTGTATGTCCAATAACTATGGTCCATGTGTCCAATTACTAAATAAAATGCCCAATTACTATACTTTTTTGCATGTTTTTATAAAACTATTATTAAAAATTCAAATATTCTTATTTTAAAGAAAACTTAAATAAAGTTTAACTAACAAACAAACTACTTTTTATATATTTATAAGAATAAAACTAAAATCTTTAAAACAACAGCATATATAAATTTTAAATATATAATATTGCTTAAGTTTCCAATAACTATGTGGTTTAGTGTGTATTAACGTAACTACCTTTCTCATATCACTTATTTTAGAAATTCCCATTGGTCTACAAGGTTGCGCGATTTTGTATTTTCTCTCGCACTCTGTTACATCTGTCGTTGATTCATCCATTTGCACCGAATCTTCTTCACCCAACGGTATTTCTTTATCGGATAAATCGAAGTTCACATTTAGTGGTTCGGTTCTTTTGAAGGTTTTCAGTGCCGATTTTTTTGGTTTGGTTTCTTTTTCCGATTCTTCTTCATCTGCAGGTGGTTCCTCGTAGGCGAACTCTTTCATTTTTTTGACAACTATTTCTACATCTTGGCTCCATAGTTCATTGTGTTTGGAAATTTTAACGCCCTGAAATAAATTGCTTCATAATTTTGTTAAAAAAATTTAGTTTTCTTGAATTTTTACCCAAGCAATAATTTTTCTTAAAATCGTAAAATATTTAGAGGGCATATAATTTTTAAGATGTATTGTACCAATTTTTATCAATAAAATAATGTGCGTTTGAGTTTTAATGCAAAATATTATTAGTTTTGACAATTTAAGTTATATTTTTTACTCTATGGTGGCCTTTATTACTTTTGTAAAATATAAATTAAAAGAACAAAGAAATTACGAATGTCACTGTTTTAGAAAGAGAGTGCAAACAGTTAGTAATTATAGCGTTATTTTTACGTAAATTTGTGGTATTTATTTTGTTTTTATTACGGTATTCTCTTAGTAGATCAAAAAGGTATTATGTAGGTAAAATAACGAAATAAACCATTCCCCAAATTTGGTAATTTTTCCTATCTATACCGTTATAAAACCGTTTTGGTTAACCGTAAAAAATACTTTAAATTTGACTTAGTAGTAAATTTGTAGTAAGTTAAACTTAAAATGCTGATTGGGAAACTTTAAATATTTAATTTGTGTAAATAAATCCAAAAGCACTTCCCTTAGTTAAGGTATTTACAATTTTAGCACATAACCTAAAATAAGAAAGCCTAGTCAGTGTCGTACTTTTTGGTAGGATAAAGGTTATTATAAATTATTTTTAGTCTTTAGAATTTGGAAAAAAGTTTCAGGTGCACCCTGTATATATTAGACTGGGCCAAAAAAATTGACTATTTTTTTTTTGAAAAATATATCGATAATGTCATTAAAAAAAAAATTTCGTGAAAATATTAATTTTAAGAGGATTTTTAGTCATAATTTGATGTTTTACGTTAGAACTGTCAAAACATTAAAGTGAAAAAAATTCCTTTTCACTTGTTTTTATATAAAATTAAATTCTCTACAAAAAAGGTCTGATTGAAAATTTTCGTCAGACGAGCCGTTTCCGAGTAATTGAGCTTAATAAATCGATGTGTTTTTTCGATTTGCCCTTTTTACTTTGAAATTTTGTAACGAATGAATCAATGAATATTTAAAAAAGCTCACGTCGGATTCTTAAAGGAAATTTAATGTTCTACAAAAAAGGTCTCTTAACATTTTTGCCTAAATTTAATTCTTCAAAAGTTATTCACGATTAAAATCGAAGAAAAACTTAAAATTTCAATAATTTGAAAAATACAAACATACCGCAGCAATCATGTCTCTAAAATCCTCCCTAACATACAAATGTTTATTCAAGTACATAGCTGGTAAGGGGGTGTCTGCATCCATCTCCTTAAACTTCAAAGGTGGGTCAACTTCGTTGAAGCAATCGTGGAAATCTTTGACAGTTAAGCTTCGAATTTCCGACTCGTCGTCTTTTCCTTTCTTCCATCTTTGCAACGGCGGTTCTGGCTTGGGTTTGGGTACTTTGGTTTTTTCTATCGACTGCGCCAGTTCAAACACCATCAACTTTTCCAGCGAAAGTAAAAATTCCGCCTGCGTAGGCGAAGCTTTCAGAGCGAAGTTGATGAATTTTTGGAACTGCGCCAAGATCTCCACGATGCATTTTTCTCTCAGCTGAACTTCCTGAGTTTTAAAATGCCGCTCGGTCTTCAATCGTTTTATGTCATTGGTTTGTTTATCAACGACCTCTTCAAGTCTGTTTATCTCTTTCTTGTAGCAATCTTCTATCTCGCATTTTTCCTTGACGCATTTTCTCCTTTCCATACAAAGAATGTACATCATGTTTGCCATATTTCTGCACTCCAAATGGTGCTTTATATTCTTAAATATCTGCACCATTTTGTTGTGCTTCATTTGCAGCTCAAAATTCTTCTGTATCTCAAAACGCCTAAAAATAAGAAAATGTCATATCTACACAGCAAACGGAAAATTATAGAGGTGTATAGGATGACGCCACATTTGAATATGGTTTTCTAAATCTCCCTACGGTATAGAGTTGTATTCGTCAGTCGAGCGTTTCAATACTCTTCACAGTATAGAGGTCGTAATTTCACTTTTGAACTAGTATTAATATAAAAATTATTTTATGCTTAAAAAAAAACTATATATGACATGAATGTGATTTTTTTCATTTTATTAATTAATTAAGCTCTGTTGAATATTTTTCCTAAAGGAATAATTGCCAATGGGCCATTAATTCATTTGTTTGTAGATGCTACAATAACCTGCACTGGTGTGTACTTTTTCATCAACCAGATTTAAATATTACAAAACTAACATATACCAGTGGAGATAGTGCAGGGTCTACCAACAGACCTAATTACTAAATTATTAAAGTTTAATAGCATATCGATCATTTTTTCAACATAACCTCTGAAATTTTTAATACAAATATAGGTACTTTATATAATACATAAATATACTTAACATCATATCATCTGTGCTTTACATACCTGAGTTGTTAAGGTAAATAAAAATCAGACAAAGGAACCAAAGAAAGGAACTATTTTCAACAAAATCATATGCAGGAGAAAATTCAAACTACTTGCATCCATCAAAAGATCAAAACTTCTTGCAATATTACACCCTCTTTTTATACTCTCAGAAATATTGACTTGAACAGTATTAGAGAGACTCCAGTTTCTATAACTTGGTAGAGTAAAGAGAAGTCGAAACCGTTGCGATATTGCATTGCGCTGTTTTTGTATAATTCTCGGAGACATTAACGAAAATCATTGCCAGTAAAATTCGAAAAGCTTGAGTTTCTATGTCTCTGAGGAGAATAGGAATCCGAAGTTGCTGCACCATTGGACTGAACCCTTTTTTAATAATTTCTAGAGACATAAATGACTGCACCATTCGACAGGGTCGAGTTTCTACCTCTCTGTTGAATATAGAAAATCAAAATAATGTATCTTGTAAGACACCATTGAGTTTGACTTTAAATATAGTCGTGCATAGGTATAGAGCCGAAAAATATAAAAACAAAGCACGATTCAATACAGTTATGATAAAACTTTAAGATTTGATATTCAAACGCGGGGTCATCCTATACACTTCTATAATTTTCCGTTTGCTGTGTATCTTCTTAAATCTTCAATCCAAGGTCATACTTTATTTCCGCGCCAAAATATTCGCATAGTATTTCATGCTGTTTATCCAAATCGTTCAAAAACAGTTTGGTAGCTTCCTTAACAGCTCTATCAACAGCCTCTTGAATAGCTTTATTGCATTTTTCTTCCTGTTTCTTCAACTCATCCTCTAGCTCACTCAATTGGGCATTAAATTGGGCTCTAAGCATTTCTTCTTGAAGCCTCAACATTTCAGCTAGTTGTATCTCAAATTGCAGAGTTAAAGCAGCTATCTTCATGTTGCACTCTTCATGAAGTCTGACTCCCAGACATACCAGAGCTTTTTTGAGTTCTTTCTCAAAGTTGTATAATAAATCCGCCTTTTGTTGGCCAAGAGCGCAATCTTTAACCAACTCCATTTGGTTCCAGTATTTCTTTTCGATTTCGTGGCCGATTTCTGATAAAAAAGATTATTACCAAAAAGTTTAAAGCATAAAAAAATCAAACCCAATATTCCTTGATGTGTCAACGCCCTCATGTATTTCGATGTTAAGGGCGGTTTAAGGCAAACCTTTCCAATCAATAAATCGCTTGGGGAGCTCCATAAGGTATCCCCAGGCCCCTCCAAGGGGGGAATCAACCCCAATAATACCTTTTGTTCAGATGGGCATTGTAAAAATATAATTCGCGCTATATCAGGCCCCAATATATCCTTCACCTCGGAAATTGTAGGTATTTTTAACTTTTTCAGGTATTCTTTACGTTTCTTAACGTACTCGCTACGTTCCAAATCTTAATTTTAAAGAATCATCAAAAACGGTAAGTATACTTTATTCCATTTAAATACTTACCTATAATAATCTCATCCTTCTTGATCACGTTTAATTTGCTCCACGAACAAATAATTTCAGCCTCCATCCCTACAAAATTATTTTAAAATCGAGAAAAACCCTTTAATTGAAGTAATAATCAAATTTGACAAACCCCCTGCAATCTGGACTGCCTACCTTCAAACGCCGCACTTTTATCCAACGAAATTACATTGTTTTATCCAGTGAGAATTTTGACGTTTTAAACGTCAATTTTTAATGACAGCTGTAAATTGATTTTAATTAAGCGTAAAATGTCGGTCACTAATAAGAGTAAAACTAGTCAAACGGTCGCTTACAGCGAATCGGCGATAAGAAATAATTTCACGGTGGTGGAATACTGCAGGACTTCTATGGGAGCTCTGTCTGGGTGTACGGCAGGTATAAAATTAGGTTATGTTTACGATATTTTTTCCAATTTGGTTGATTTTCAGGACTGTTGGGTTTGACTGGGTTATACGGAGCAGTATTCTTCGTTTTTTCTTTGTTTGGACTGTGGTTTATGTTACTGGGAAAGGCGGGTTTCGGAACATGGCAAAAATTCTTTATATCTAGGAAACCTTTGCTAACGAACAGTGTGTATGGGCAATTATTTACATATGTATTATTCTGGACATTTTTCTATGGTATGGTTCACGTTTACTAGTAGTTTGTAATAAATATTTATTAAAAAAATGGTTTTAATGATAAAGTGCATCCTCTTTTTTTTCTATGGGTTTATTGGCATTTCAAGCATACAGACGGGACAAATCACAAAACTGCTTTTATAAAAAAATTTATTATATATTATTTTTGCATTAAATATATTCTTATTTTATTAGGCTATACATTAAATAAAAAAAAACGCAAGAAATATTTTATAAAAGTAGAAATAATTTTAATAATTGACAGGTGTGGATGGGACAAGATGAATCTTTTTTTGTCTCATCCACACCTTGAAATTATCTCAAATTTTATAAAATATTTCTTGCGTTTTTTTTTATTGAATGTATAGCCTAATAAAAGAAAAATATATTTGACAATTTTGATGCCAAAATATTATAATAAATTATCTACAATTTTTTTATAAAAACAGTTTTGTTGTTGAAATGGCCAATATTGGATTTTAAATAAATTACACATTTTTGTTACTTTATAATATATTTAATGTTTAAAAAGGTTTTCAAATAATTTAAAGAGTTAAATAAAACTTAACATATAATTTAGTTTCCTGAGTTAATTTACATTTTTTTACATAACATTAAACATAAATACCTATATATCAAAATAATTTAAAAAACTATTTTACAATAATTTTGTCTTTAAACCAATCAGATCCTAACATGTAATATGTCATCCAAATTATCACAACACTTATTTAATAAAATTAAGTAAATTTGTAAGTTTAATTATAAATCCATATGAATAATTTCTGATTATTTAATTAATATTATTACAATACACAATGCAGGCATATGTATTTTTTTATAAAAGTACAAAAGATTGAACCTTTTTTCAGTCTTATTTTAATTGAAATGCCCAATATTAACTTCAACTTATTTCAACAAAAATAAACGTATTTTTTAAAGCTGTTAGCAGGCGTACATTTTTTAATTTGCAACGATAAGGTAACTAGAGAAATCAACAGACAAATATAAAAAATTAATGCCGCCCAAAACAAAATTTTGTTGCGACGCTTGGACAGTGGTTCGTTGCTCCTTTTAAAAATCACGAGACCCACGAGAAAGCCAGTAGCGCCACCTACGATATGGGCGCCCCAGGATATTAAAGGTTCGTCCCTCGAACAGAAATGCACCACGTTGTAGATGATGTCGGAGAGGACTATGATCCCTATGCACGCTATTCGAGACATTTTGTATTTGATAACCTCAAAGTTCTGCAAAAGAGAAATGTATGTTTTTATTTGCATACACGGAGAGAAATGTATAGTAAATTTTAGATAGTAAAGAAATATAGTAAAATTTACTTTAACAAATTTTTAGGGTAACAATATTATATATTCGTCAATACAATATTAAGATTGTAATACAAAATACTATTTTTTATTATACAATTTTAGTAAAGATTACAACAACAATATTACTAAATCATAAATTTATAATATATTTTTTAATTTTTAATATGTTTGTATAGTAAATTGATTTTACTATCTACAAATAGTAATATTTACTATATGATTTAATCAAATGTAACGTGTACTTCTAATATTATAACATAGGTATTACACATTAATAAAAAATATAGTAAAAATAAAGATACTTTTATGTTTAAGGTAAATGAACAATATATTTAAATATAATATACAATATAGTAACTCATGACATTTTAAACATTCAATTTTCTTAGTTTCTTCAATAAACTTTCTTGACCCATTACTGGTAATACTTATAAGAAAGAATTGAACCTACTTGGTTGCATAGTATGTACCGATTGCGGCGAAGGCCACGTCGCGACGCGTCGTTGGACGGTGTGGATCACGTGATGTTCTTACATCTCGCCTCTGTTGGCTTACCAACCATGTTATATAAGCTCAGGTATTTCTTTGTTTTGGGTGTGTTCCGCTACTACAAGTTGCTCGACAGTGTCGGGTCGACACTGATGATACCCAATATAGGTCAAAACACCTGTCTGTCGGTATTTGAAGTTGATGGAACGCACTCAAAACAAAAAACTTTGGCGAGGTGTAGGTTTAATTATTTCTCATAACATTTTTGTATATTAAAAAAGCACAATAAATATCACAGAACATAAATATGTTACAATTTTTAATTGTTGACATATAAAAATATTCGATTTTAAAATATTTTATATTTAAAATGGAAACATAATATTTTAAAATTTACTATATAGTATATACTACGAAGGCGTAGAAGGGCCAACAAAAATTTTACAAATTTTAGCCAAAACTAACTTTGATTTTTGCAATTTCTATTCTATAATTGTAACTTGAACCTACAATTGTAACTTGAACCTACAATTGTAACTTGAACTTACAATTGTAACTTGAACCTACAATTGTAACTTGAACCTACAATTGTAACTTGAACTTACAATTTTATCTTGAACCTTAGACTGGGCCAAAAAAATCAACTATTTTTTTTTAAGTATATCGAAAATATGGTAGGTATATTAAGAGGTCTATCATCGCAATTTTAATTTTTTTTTCCTCAGCAAGTTTTTGTCTCAGAACTCCCAAACCATTGAGTTTAACAAAATTGGCTCGAAAATATTATTTTAAGAAAATTAAATGCTCTAAATTATAGTAGATAATAAATTGCACCACTTTAATTTGAATTATCTTAAATAGGGGGGCCTGGAGGCGGGTGAGGCGACAGGAAAAACTAACTTTTTTTCTCAAACTTCAATTTAAATTCTGTTTGAACCGAACTTGTCTATTTAATGTCATTATAAACTATTATAAATTTGGTGTGGTTCCCATGTCTAATAACTGAAATATTGGTATACCCAAAATCCACCAGCCGCCACTGCAATATTCCAAAGTTAAAAGAAATTGTAAAACTAAACCAATTTTTAAGGCATGATTGTAAGAAAACTGTTCATCTGACGGGAAATTCCAATAAAACCTTTTTTGTAGAACATTCAATTTTCTTCAAAAAATATTCTTAAGTCAATGATTTGGGAGTTCTGAGACAAAAACTCGCTCAGGAAAAAAAATCTTAATATTAATATTATGGACTCAAACTTTCACAATATTTTTTTTGTCACCCCAAACCATATTTTCGATATACTTAAAAAAAAAATAGTTGATTTTTTTGGCCCAGTCTATTGAACCTACAATTGTAACTTGAACTTACAATTGTAACTTGAACTTACAATTGTAACTTGAACTTACAATTGTAGGTTCAAGTTACAATTGTAGGTTCAAGTTACAATTGTAAGTTCAAGTTACAATTGTAAGTTCAAGTTACAATTGTAGGTTCAAGTTACAATTATAGAATAGAAATTGCAAAAATCAAAGTTAGTTTTGGCTAAAATTTGTAAAATTTTTGTTGGCCCTTCTACGCCTTCGTAATATACTTATTAGTAATGGAAAAAATCTAATTATAATAAGAATTAAAAACAAAATTGGTTGAGAATAATAATATTTTACCTTAAGGTTTAACATTCATGGATATTTAAAAATTACTAAATATGCAAGGTATCTGGCAATATACAAGATAGTTGTCCCAAATACTAATATAAATTATAGTAAAGGGTATTATAATTAGCATTACTTATACTTTTCTCTCCGTGTAGAAAACTTTCTTACCAATGCAATATCAGCTATCATGGATATCAATAGAGCATACACTCCTGCGGACGCACCAATGACGAGGTCTGGGTGGACGCAGGACGCTCCAAGGACTCCCGTCCCGCCTCCTAAGATGTAAACTGCTAGCACGGGGCATTTGCCCTGTTTCTTTTCCACGAAAAACGCGAATAGGCATTGCATCAAAATGTTCAGAACGAGGTGGTACCAATCGTCATGTACCAGCATGTAACTGAAGAAGCGCCACACTTCTTTTTGTTTTTTCGGCTCAAATCGTAGGTGACGTTGGAGAGTTTTGTCGGAAAAGATATGAAAGATTAGCTAAAAAATGTATTATATTAATTGTGGCTCAAATTTTTTTTTCAAAATTGTAAATAATCATTTACTTAATACAAAAGTTTTCAAATTTAAATGTAAGTTTTAAATTTTAAAACTTTGTTCAAATTCAAACCAAAACTATTTATTTTGAACAATTTTAAATTTATACATTTTTAACACAAAATTTATAACTTTACATTACAATCGATAATTTTTAATTTACAAAGAGTAAAATTATGTGTTTTTATTTTAATTGTCTCAACACTATTTTTAAATACTAAAAAAATTAACTTAATTTTATAAAAAAAATATTTAGGATTTACCAAATCCTGTCCAAATAAATTATAGGTACTTAAGAAATTATTTTTGTTAAAAAATGATAGTTGGAAATAATATTGTTTAATACAAAAGTGAACTGTTAGTAATTTTTGATTTTGAAAATATCTTTTTACACTATAGAATATAATATATTATATAGAATATATTCCTAAAAAAATCATTATAAAATTATCAAAATTTCTAAAACATTTCAGGTTTTTGGAGAAATAAATTATGGGCACTTATTTTATCAGCTAAGTATACTTTAAAAATTATTGTTGATATTACTTGTCTACCCAAGCAGCATTTTAAGTTTAAATAACTAAAATTTTACTACTAAGTCAACTTAAAGTATTTTTTACGGTTAACCAAAACGGTTTTATAACGGTATTGATACCAAAAAGTACCAAATTTGGGGAATGGTTTATTTCGTTATTTTACCTACATAATAAACACAATATAAATACCACAAATTTACGTAAAAATAACGCTATAATTACTAACTGTTTGCTCTCTCTTTCTAAAACAGTGACATTACCCAGGTAGCACACTGACGTCTGCTGACGTTTATATGACGTTGCTAACGTTATTTAAACGTCAGAAGACGTCATATAAACGTCAGCAAACGTCAGTGTGCTACCTGGGTAGTAATTTCTTTGTTCTTTTAATTTATATTTTACAAAATGGTACTTACAAAGTAATAAAGGCCACCATAGAGTAAAATTAAAAAATATTACTTAAATTGTCAAAAATAATAATATTTTGCATTAAAACTCAAACGCACATTTTTTATAGCAAAAACGGTTTTATAACGGTATTGATACCAAAAAGTACCAAATTTAGGGAATGGTTTATTTCGTTATTTTACCTACATAATAACCTTTTTGATCTACTAAGGGAATAACGTAATAAACACAATATAAATACCACAAATTTACGTAAAAATAACGCTATAATTACTAACTGTTTTCTCTCTCTTTCTAAAACATTGACATTCGTAATTTCTTTGTTCTTTTAATTTATATTTTACAAAATGGTACTTACAAAGTAATAAAGGCCTCCCTAGGGTAAAATTAAAAAATATAACTTAAATTGTCAAAACTAATAATATTTTGCATTAAAACTCACACGCACATTATTTTATTGATAAATATAGGCACGATCTGAAAAATTATAAGCCCTCTAAATATAACGGTTTTAAGAAAAATTATTACTTGGGTAAAAATTCAACAAAACTTTAAACCTACAAAATTTTATGAAATATTTTAAAAATCATTTGGTTTTAATAATTTTCTAAAACTTTTCTTATTATATTTTAGAAAAATATTTATGAAAAAATATTATATAAATGTTTAGATAAGTAATGAATGCCATCTTAAAAAACTCATTATGGCGACCTGAAAAAAAATTTCCGTTAAAGTTTTATTTTTCACTTTAAGCTTATTTTTCCTTGTTTAGTCAATATTAATAGTATTTATTACCACTAATAACCCTAAAAAATACCAGGCGAATAGGAATTATTTACGGTTAAATATCGTAAAATTATGACTTATGAGTAACATTTACCATTAAGTAAAAATTCTGACGTTAAAATTACCGTTAAATTTTTCTTTATGTGAAAAACACTTATAAATAATTTTCTTTCGTAAAAATTACGTCCCCCATAATAGTGTTGAAACTTAAGGGCTATTAAAATAGGTAAAAATAACATAATTAAAACTTATTAAACAACTTTAAAAAAGTTTTACTTCAAAGTAAATTTTTAAGGTTAATTTAACAAAATATTTACTTAAATTAAGTAATCTTTCCTAAAAGCTCTACGCTTTTACAGAGACTTTATTTAACAATGAAAATTAACAATAAGTTTTTAAGTACCTGATAAAATGACAACAATTTTTTCCCCAATGAATGAAAAAATCCTATGTTAAATGAATGGAAAAAGTAAAGTACCACTTAAACAAAACAAAAAAAAATATTTTTTTTTGTAAAATTTCCGGAAAAATTGAGCCGGCTAAAAAACGGAAAAATTGGGAAATTTTATTATTATTTAAATAGTAATAAGTAAGCTCTTTATTGAAATAAATCATAATAATACTAATAATTCACAAAAAATATCTTACCTGTAAAATACTGGTGGATAATATGGCCCAGGGTATTTGCCCAAGCGGAATCTTGCATTTTTTCGCGAGACTGGCCCATTTCCCCTGATTTTTTTGACTAACAAAAAAAGGTACCAAAAGTCCCTCTTCGTCAAAAGTCGACAAAGCTCCCGGTGTTGTGGCAGCACTGCTTATAGAGCCTTCATTCGAGTTATTCTTACTCAAAACTATAACCCCATTCATTTTATGCCAAAAGGGCTAAATGCCCTTTTTCTAAAAAAAGAAAGTTATTATAATATACATAAAGTAAACTTAACGGAGAAATATCCGACTTACATGTGCGATTTACATTTATTAAGTAACGCAGTTAATTTACTTTTAAACAAGAAGTTTTAAGCTTAAATTTCGACGGCACGAACAACTATTTTTAGTTGAACTACGAAAGTGCAAGTGCTGGTCTGGAAAAATTTGCGCTACAGCCTATAATTGCTACACCTACCTACCCATTAATTCACTTAAACGAATAATTGCCACAATTTTTTAAAACCACACTTGATAAAATATCTCTTGAAGTATCTAGTAAGCATTAAGTTCCATACGCAAACAAAAGACTATTGTGCGTAGAAATCAAGGTGGCCAAAAAAATTAACCATGTTTTTAATTATGCTGTAAAAAATTTAAGCTTAGTTTAACTATTAATATTAACTATTTTACAACTTGAATTATTTTTTTCGAATAATAAAAATATAAATAAACTTTATCCTAAAAAACACCTAATTTTTGAACACCCTGTAGATAAAATCCCAATTTTTTTTTAACTAAATGTTATTGTTTCGACGAACAAAAACTTTTATCAAGAATGACTTTTCTTCAAAAAACAAAAATAAAAAATTTGTCCCTCTAAACTGAATCATACTGTAAATATTAATATCTCTTATCAAAGGCCATAGCATAGGCATTCTTTGGCACGTGTACAATGTATACTGAACATACTTGTATTTAATTGGGAAAATGTTGTTTACTCTGCTGCGTATTTTTAGGAATTTATTTCTTTAAAAAGTAAATATTTTAACATTTTAAAAAGCTCAGATCTTCTAGAACTTGACCCACTTAGTCCTATTAATAAACGCTAATATAATCAAAGTAGGTAGGTAAGCCAGCATATTTAGTTCCAGCATCTATTTTTCTATGTGCAATCAGTTATCCAGTCTGATTCACCAAACAGGTCATATGTTAATAAGCAATGATATATGTATGTATATGGTTTTATAAACAAAATTCTTGAATTAAATTTGCCAAAATCTTTATTCCAGATTTATGTTTAAATGTGGTTAGAGAGGAAACCTAACAAAAAAAATACTAAATTACCAGAAACACAAAAAATTACTAAATTAAATATAATTATTTTCATAATGACGTTATTATACAACTTTAATAGTTTTATTTATAAATATTATTTTTTGATCAAATAAATATTTTTCATACAATTTTTTTTCATTCAGATTTTTATTGTAAAAATGTGCTTTATCCTGCTAAAATCACAATTTATACAACTTTAATAGTCAAAAAATTGTTTTATACGAAATCGGCAGTAAAGTAGAACTTTACTGCCGATTTAATACGAGTATTGTATGCAACCCATTATACATTTTAAGATGTGTCCACTGCTCCTCAGCAGCAACTAAATAATAATTAAAAAAAAGCACCACTCACGTGGTTATTTGACTCGGCAAATAATTTCCACATTCGTGTTAAAAAATATGACTTTACTGCCTTGATACATAAATAACTATTATTTATAAATATTTTTTTTACAAATAAATATTTTGCATACAATTATTATTTTTTCATTCAAATTTTTATTGTTAAAATGTGTTTTATCCTCCTAAAATCGCGTTTCGTACGAGTACGTTCTTTTAGTAGTAGTCGTTAATAAGTTAATTTAAATTTAGAAAGGTCAACAACATCTGTAGAAATTTTAAAGGAAATGACATTATAAGGGGTTGCCCGCATCTGGCTGTGTTATACCTATCTGCATATATAGGTATACTCTGCCTTATTTAAAAAAAAATATTATTAAAAATATGTTAAATAAAGAAGGTTTTAAAAGTTTATTATGTATCAATTAAATATTTGTATAAAGCGACATCTATACGAAAATAAAGTAAACATTTTTGACATAATTTTCACCATTAACATTGCCCGTTATTATTTCAATTAAACTAAACAATTATTACAACTTCAAAATAAATATTATATCCTTTGATTATTTCCCTCATTATAATATGAACCAATCAAAAGCCTTGGATTTTCGAATAAATTTCGTTTAAATAAGCGATTAAATCACTAGAACTATTTAACAGCGATTAAATTTTATCCTCCATATTGGATTTTTGTTTACAATTTTATGGTGTTATTTACAAGTTTTAACAAACATTTTTTAAAAAACAATAAAAAATAAGTTATCTAGTTTACGAAATATCAATTATTTACATACCTTAAATTAATGAAATTTTCTTTAAAAAAATATTTATAAACTTTGACACATACGTCAGATTTTATGAATTGTCAAATAGTTTCCTTTAATTCGAGAAATAATCTAGACGTATATCACTCAACCTATAAATTCAATCTGTCAAACTTTGCTCAGTAAGTTTTTATTTGATTTTTCATTTTGGAAAATAGTTTCATGCAAAATAATTAAAAATAAAACTTCTCGACCGCTACGCGGTCTCGTGATTTAATAAATTATTTTGCATTCAACATTTTCCAACAAAAACCAAACAAAAAACTACTGAGCCTAGTTTAACCGATTAAATTTATAGTTCTCGTGATTATTTTTATTACTATAATTGCAAAATATTATCACAAAGTAATAAAAATTCTTACACAGGAAATGTTAAAGGTACAAAAAGTATTTATTGTAATAATTATTCCTGTTAGCATTTCTAACTTGGGATCTACCGGCATTAAAATCTCAAATTTTTCTGTGTAAATCAAAATTTATCCCTTGAAAATTGACTAACAATCGATATAGAAGCAGTTTTTACAGTAAAAGAGAAGAGAATGTTTTATAGGCACTGTCAAGAAACTATTTAATACTTTTGTATTGAGATGATAATTTTCACATTTAGTATTATTTTACAAGATTGTATGACTTTATTTTAAAGATTGTATGACAGTTGACAACTTGTCAATGTGTATTTAAGTTTTAAATAATTAAATATTTTTGATACGATGAGCCCAATTATTTAATAATACCTAAGCTATTGGAAATTGGTATTATATATTTTTTTGCAAAAAATTATACAGGGTATAGCACAAACAATTCCAAAAAAATATAAGTCTGAATTTTTCTGATGAAATAATTTTTGATCAATGTTACATTTTTTTTTAAATTCACCTACCTGGACGTTTACGAACCCATTTTCTCGAAGTCCTGGTTTATAGACGACAAAAAAAAAGGCGGTGAAACGTAAACAAAAGCTTGCGCGGGTTACGACGGCCGTTCGTAAACTTCGCAACGTGTTCCTGCAGCTTCGCAGGAAGGAGACGGGCGCGCAAAAATCAGTGGCGTGCGGTGACGTCGTCATGGCAACGGCGTGTCTAGCAGGGAGGGCGACGAGGGGATGTTCCTGGCAGCGAAGTTTTCGTAACTAAAAAAAAGCACACAAAATAATTATTTTATGAAGAATAGTTATACATGTATATTAGACTGGACCAAAAAAATTGACTATTTTTTTTTTTGAAAATATATCGAGAATGTCATTCAGAATGACAAAAAAAAATTTCGTGAAAATTTGAGCCCTTAATATTAATTTTAAGAGGTCTATCATCGCTATTTTTGATTTTTAGTCATATAATATGATGTTTTTCGTTAGAACTGTCAAAACATTAAAGTGAAAAAAATTTACTTATTTTTATATAAAATTAAATTCTCTACAAAAAAGGTCTGATTGAAAATTTTCGTCAGACGAGCCGTTTCCGAGTAATTGAGCTTAATAAATCAATGTGTTTTTTCGATTTGCCCTTTTTACTTTGAAATTTAGTAACTAATGAATCAATGAATATTTAAAAAAGCTCACGTGGGATTCTTAAAGGAAATTTAATGTTCTACAAAAAAGGTCTCTTAACATTTTTGCCTAAATTTAATTCTTCAAAAGTTATTCACGAAGAAAAACTTTAAATTTTAAGTTTTTCTTCGATTTTAATAGTGAATAACTTTTGAAGGATTAAATTTAGGCAAACATGTTAAGAGACCTTTTTTGTAGAACATTAAATTTCCTTTAAGAATCCGATGTGAGCTTTTTTAAATATTCATTGATTCATTAGTTACAAAATTTCAAAGTAAAAAGGGCAAATCGAAAAAACACATCGATTTATTAAGCTCAATTACTCGGAAACGGCTCGTCTGACGAAAATTTTCAATCAGACCTTTTTTGTAGAGAATTTAATTTTATATAAAAATAAGTGAAAAGGAATTTTTTCACTTTAATTTTTTGACAGTTCTAACGTAAAACATCAAATTATGACTAAAAATCAAAAATAGCGATGATAGACCTCTTAAAATTAATATTAAGGGCTCAAATTTTCACGAAATATTTTTTTTGTCATTCTGAATGACATTCTCGATATATTTTTCAAAAAAAAATAGTCAATTTTTTTTGCCCACTCTAATGTATATGTCCTACAAATATGTTTTTTTGGGCTAAAAAACACATTTTAAAAATGATTTATTAAACCAGAAAATGATTTATTAAACCAGAAAATATTTTTTTTAATATTATAAAACCGCGTTAAAAAAATCTGCCGTAGTTGGAACAACTCTTTTTTGGGTTACCTATCGGGGTTTTCGAACGTTGTCAGGATGTTGCTCTCTGCTATAGGATCGTATAGGCTTTAAACTACGAAACAAGTGCCAAAAGAAAATTCGAAAGAAATAAGGACCAAAGTTATTTTTTATGTTATGTGTCATTTTTCACTCAGCATCATTTATTTGAAGGCGTTTTGTTGTAAAAAATAATGAGGATTCAAGGAACACTTTTTTATATAAAAGTATATATTTAAAAAATATTTTACATTTGCAAGGTGTTACTTATAAGTAGTATGTAAAATAAATTTTATCATCCGAAATCGGCAGTAAAGTTGTCAACAATCGGCAGTAAAGTTCTACTTAATACGAGTATTGTATGCAACCCATTATACATTTTAAGATGTGTCTACTGCTACTCAACAGCAGGTCGATTTTACCCTTTCATAAAATGTAATTTTATTAATTAGATTAAAAAATCGCCGCGGCGGGCAAATATATCATAACCGTCGCAACAAACAGCCTAGGTAGACACTTCCTACATTCAAATGACATTTGATTTGATCATCAATATTAATAATTAGTATTATTAAATGTGATTTCGGATAAAATTTAATATGCACCTCGGCATTAAAGTAATTTTTTATCACTCACGTGGTTATTTAATAAAATAATTTTCACATTCGTGATAAAAAATACGACTTTACTGCCTTGATACATAAATAACTATTACAGGCGATTTTTTAAGTGATTTTAAAACAAAAAGTTTAAATAACCATGAAAATGCTTCGTTTTCAAGATACAGCTGTATCTTTTTTAAATTGGATTTCGTAAATATCTTTAATATCCATTACCCAAATTTGTTGTAATTTGGCAGTGTTATTTGTAGTGTTAAGGGGTTAATTTAATTCCAACTTTGATAAACCTTAAGGAATATTTTGACAAAAAAATTGACTTTTTTGTTTCTTGAATTTTGTTTTTGAAAAAAAACAATTTCCTTAATTATCCATGGACCACACAAGATATGCATTAAAGTGGATTTTATTTATTCTCTCTAAAACTAAACAAAATACGAAAAAAATTCAAGAGAAAAAAGTTGTAATTTTAGTTGCTTAATTTAACATTACAAAAAAGTCAGTGACGTACATTTTTTTGTCAAAAATATTTGTTAAGGTTTATCAAAGTTAAACACCCTGTATCTTATTATCACCCAACGAATCGTCTGTTAAATTTATTGTACATACTTGAGTAATACCCTGTATACTAATAATTATATTGTGATAATTTTTTATATTGTGATAATTGTGTAGGTATATTTTTTAAATAGTATTTTAACATATAAGTCTATTATTTTTTTACCATTATTCTAATGTAGGTATATATATTACCATTGCCAGTTTTTATTATTGCAATTCATTGAAAGGACATTTTGCATATTTAACAAAAAAAATTCATGTGAGCAACTCCTTGCTGTAGCACATTTCCAAAGGTTGTTTTAAGACCAATTAAAAAAAATGCAAACCCTTAATTGTTATTATTTTTTAACTACAGTTTATTAGCTACTTCATTATATTTTCATTTATTAAAAAAATATTTATTTGTACTTTATCAACAATAAAATAAGTTTTATGTGATTTGTAACGTCACTAGCGCCATCTATCTCTGAATAACCCAGGTTTTATTTACTAAGTGAAGAATTCACGACTTTTAAACGAAATATTGCATTAATAAATAAATAAAACTCCATACAAATCTCGGTAATAAAATATATTATATTTCTCTCAATGCAGTTAACATACATTTCCTTAATTCAACAATAAAAATAGTATTTTCTTAAAACAAAAAACAATAAATGGTAAAACAATTCATCCAATAAAATGATAAAAGTATATCACAAAATACCAAAACAAGAAGATGCTTAAAAATCCCTGTACAAGTCTGAATGATTTTTTTATTTTTGGATTAATAATATGAATATAGCCTATTCCTGTTTTAGTACGCCATAGTCTATAAGTAGTTTTTGGAGTGCCTCAGGGAGTCTACCTGCGTCCATCTCTGCCGCACATCTCAAATACTGAAAAGAAAGATTTCTATTGCAATCCAAAAATTTTTGTTTAAATTTAATTTTAAAGCTTGTTTTAAATCTATTTGTAAAACTGTATGATAGTTATTTTAATTGAAGATTTGGTTTTCTTATATTTAAAGGTAATTTTCTTACCATATCCAGTTCTTTTCTAAGAGCCAAAACAGCCTGTTCTCTGTCATTAACAAGTTCTTCTAAATATTGGTAACGTAACTTTTTACGGGCCCTACATTCTCTGGCACTTTGACGGCTCCTTTCTAAAAAATAAAATAATGTTAAAAATGAGTTAAATTAGTGTAAGACTTACCGACCTAATTTTGCTTTCATGTCCACTTTTTCCGCCGATTTTCTGCCTGGTTTCCTCCCCCTTTTTCCAGATTCTTTGCGATGAACACCCTCCTAAAAATAAAACGTTATATAAAAATTGACTAAAAACGGGAAATAAAATAAAAACTAAGATATCTTCAAAGAAAGATTATTACCCTTAAATGAAAATCTCCGTAACCGCCTTGTGGTACATGGGCCCCAGAAGTGCCGGGTATTGATCGAAAATCCTGAAAAATAATGTATAAGTATTGTCTAAAATCAAGTAAAAAAGTTGGAGTTACTTAAGATTTTAAAGGTCGAACTAAAATTTGACATGTGAAATACACTTAATAACTCGAAATATACAGGGTGTTCTGAAACTAACAACTCTAACATTGTTTAAGTTTAAAGTTTTCATAATTAAGTAGATATTACAGATTTTTAACCGCGATTAATAATTTTTTACAAAGTTTTAAAAGTCTAAAACCTATCCTCCGTGGCTGTTATTCTTTCTAGGTTAACCTATATGTTTTCAAATATCTGAGGTAGTAAAAGCATACTAAAATATCAGTTCACTAAGTAAATTAAACACATCCAAAGCAATCGAATCAAATATAAAATATTATTAAAAATTTAAATAATTTTTATAACCATTTATGTAGGTGTTACAAAAATTGATTCTATCCTCCGTGAATCTGTTTTTTCTTTAAATTTTATGCAACGGACGGCGCTTTAATCATTTTAAAAAAGCAAAAACCTCTGTTTACGGCATTATAGATGCATGTGATTCCTGAAGGTCAGTTAGAATTTATATGCAGATGAGAGTGTTACTGTTTTAAAATTCAAAAGTTTAAGTTCATTAATTTGCTATTTAAAAACCTATCCACCGTGAAGTGCAATATCTCGGTAAGTAAATTTTTTTATAAATATTTTATGTATGTACAATTGTATTTTTAAAAAATATTAAGGTGTCAAAAGATACAGTAACTTATTTCAAATATACAAAGGGATGTTAAAAAAAACATACGAAATCCTAACCTCCGTGAAGCTCTAATATTCAAAATGTATGATTTCTTATAATTCTTGCATTAGTGCAGAACCACTTATGTTATGTTATTACTAGACCTGGTGGCTTCCCAAAAACCCCATTCTAGACTAACAGTAAAACAACCAAAAATAAAAAATAATCATTTTCACTTGGGGGACATCTCAATATATTCACCCAAATTATTGCCCACTGTGCAAACATATTTTGCGTCAGTTGTCATAGGTCAGTAACAACCAGTGGCAGCCCAACTTATTTGGTGACACCCTGTATGTATTAATCGGGATTTTAATAAAATTAATTCCTATTGATAGCGCAAATTTCTTAGATAACATTTTTTCTTTACGGAAAAAAGGCATAAAGCGTACCTATCTGACACTCGAAAAAATAAATCAAACAAATGATAACAAATTTTAAAAAAATGATAAAACGTAAATAATTGCAAATAACGCGAGCCCAATTAGCAGCGCAGGTTGCATATTTTACGCAGCCGTTTAAAAGTTTATCAAGTAGGTAATTTTATTACTCACTATAACAACATTTTGAAATTTTATTAATTAATTATGATTTTTTTAAGAGGTTGAGTGTTAAAAGTTGCAATTTTAAAGGTGCGCAATTGCGTTGTTTCTTGTAAATTATCTCCGACACCGTTGAAATTTTTAAATACGCAAAAATATAAATTATTGTAACAACGCAATACAGCCTACTTTTAATGCGGTAGGCACTCGACTTTCCGTCGACTTAAGTAAAGAAAATGTACTTCTTACCGGTTTTGTTGGACCTCGCCAGCGTAAAACTAAAAGCAACAATTACGTAGAAGAGCGGCACAACGTAGTTTGTGTCTTTGGAGTGGGATCGGGTAGGTAAGGGCGGCTAGGGAGGCTTCTAGATTCCGAAGACGGGATGGAAAAGGGCAGACAGGCTGAGCCGCTGCAGGAGAGACGATCGCCGGTCGGAAACTATACAGAGTATTCCGTAAGCGTACACTTTCTGTGGTGGCGAGTGTGGAACGTAGCTGATACCTATTGCGCAGTATGTGCAGCGAAACGATGCCGGGACGATCCCAGTAGCCATGTCAAAAATAGTTTTTATTTTGTACCATTATTTTGTCTTGTCAAGTTAGGTAACACATCTCATGGACAGCTCTGATTATGATTTGTTTACATTTATAATTAAATATTAATTATTAAAATCAGAAATATTTTAGTTATTAAATCAAAATTAAATTTTAAATATTTAATTGGTATAGAGCGACATCTATACAAAAATTTAGTAACCGTAAGAATGGGATCTGTATTACCGACGGCAAATGCCAAATTTTTTTTGTGTATTGCCAGGGATAAAGAAGGTATTGCTTTATCTATGGCACGCCATTTCACTTTTTAATCGTAAATGTTTTAAATGTAAAACACAGAAAAAACCATGATGTAAAAATTGAAGTAGGTTTTTTAAAATTATGTATTATATAATGTTTTATAATTTTAGTTATATCTCACATAATAATAATGAAATAATAGTATATTATGTATCAAGTTTGATAAACGCCATTTTATACACGAATTTAATTTATTATCTTAAAATGATTTAAATCAAAAATTTGTATCGAGCGCCATCTATGAAACAATAGGGGAATCTGTGTGTCACCGTTAAATGTCACATTTTTATATTTTATAAACACAGATTATAAAGGTTATAAATCGAAATGTATTTCTTGAAAATTGACAGTTTTTCACAGTGAAAGTAAAGAAAATGTTTTATGAGGACTTTACAGTGGAGTCCGTGCCCGAATTTAAGTTAAAGTTTACTGCCGGCAAAATTAAAAGGTCAGAACAATGTTCATATAAACTTTTCAAATATTGGCGTTGAGAAACTATTGACTACTTTTGTATTTTTGTATTTTTGATAATAAAATAATTTTCACATTTAGTATTATTTTACATGAAAGGCACTTTATTTTAACGATTGTATGATATTTGACAACTGTCAACTAACTTAAAACTAACTTCAGCCCGTGACTAAAAACCTGTTGCTAACTTCGGCCCGTGACTAAAGCGCCATAAAGCCACAACTTGTGAATGTGTATTTAAAAGGTCACTTACTGTCATGGTGGGAGTAGAAAAACAATTTTTTATCTATTTTGCGCTCATAATGACTTTATAATGTGTTTTATAAATTGTCCGCGTACGACAAAATGACGTCTTATGACATTAGTTCTTTAAATTAAAGACTTTAATATACTATTTTTAAACAAGATTTTTAAACTATTTTATTTTATTCTAATATTTTTTAAGTTGTAAATTCTTATTTATAACACGACAATCATTTTTAGTTTACAATTAATTTTACGTGTACACATAAATTTAATTCTAATAAAAAACAATACAATTAATTTTAGTTGTACACATAAAATTATTGCCTTTACATAATAAAAATTATAGAATTAATTTTATTAGTACCTACACAAAATTATATACTATACTAATTAATTTTATGTCTGCACTTAAATTAATTAATTTGGCGCTTTGGGAATACGGCAGGAAATGGCAACTGCAGTAGTTCATATGAATGAATGAATTTGAACTACTGCAGTTGCCACTTTCGGCCGCACTTTCGTAGCGCCAAATTATTATATGTACACATAAAATTAATTCTAAAATTTTTATTATATATAGTCAATTTTAATCCTAGGATTTTAATTACGAAATATAAATTGTGTACACATAAAAGTTTATTAAAAACTAATGTCATTTTGTCGCACGCGGACAATTTATAAAACGAGCGACGAAGGAGCGAGTTTTGTAATGGACGAGTGCGACAAAAGGTCTTATGAAATGACTTCTTTATGCTATTTTATCTATTTTGCAAACATTCTATAAAAAAATTAATTTTATACCTTAAATTTAATTTGGTCGAATTTTACTTTAGATAGTTGGTATCACAGTCATTGGTTTGACAGTTAATGTCAAAATCGATTCGCCATGCCGTCCTCAATTTACTTATTTACAATAAGTGGCTGTTAATGTTAAAGAAGAAAAAAGAATTTTCTTTGGTGTTCAACAAAATTTATTGCCAAAAAAATCTCGTAAGTACTAGAAAAATCATAAAAATTTTATAACCAATACGCAAAATATTACGCAGTTTAAATTATAGCCAACCTATAAAATCAAAATTTTGTGTGGGATAAAGTATCTCATTACAGCACCGAAAGCGGTGTTATAATGAAGTCATTATGAACGCAAAATAGATAAAATAAATTATGGCACTCCGTTTTACTTCTTAATTGTATAAGAAATATTAAGTTATATTTTTTCAAAAAGTATTAAATTAGGATTATGAATTTTGTTATGATTTGTATTTTGTAATAATCCTGATTTGGAGACTTTTTCATCATTTTCCAATTTTATAAAATAAATTTTGAAATCGTAAAAAAAGGAAAAGATAGGTATTTCGGATCGGCCCTGTAAGATCCAAGCACAATGCAGACTGTACGACTGTAAAAGCGCATAAACGCTTAACGATAGCAAAAACAAAACAACGTCGCACAGTGCGCGACCATGACACAAAAATATACAGGTATATAGCATTTAAATGCGCCAGATAGGAAGTCGCTATTAACAAACTAATTATATCTAGTGATTGTACAAAATAACGATTTTCTGACATATATTCTGCTGTTCCAGCCAATCCCGTTCGTTTCGTATATTTTAAAATCTGTCCAACATCAGCTGATTAAAATTTACAATTTACACGACAATTTACAAGGTTTATAAATTCATCTACTTTTTTTAAATAAAATTAAAAATAATATTGTTTTAAGGTTAAATTTTAAATTTTCTTTGGGATGGATTGAAAAAGAGAATTAGTGTTTCTTTTACCACAAAAATCAAAATAAACAACTTCAAATTTTTTATATTTAAATCTCCATATTTTTTTTGTAATATTTTACTGTGCAAATAGAGGCTTAGCTACAACCTTACCTACATCTTAAAAACTTCTGTCTTATCCTCCTTTCTGCTGTTACAGTATCTCTTTTTATTATCATACAGTGTTGCCATTGCTTTGACAATATGAGGCCTTGTGTTACCTACTCAGTAATACTGAGAATCAAGGCTAGGCCAGCTAATTATTTATATTTTACTGATGTTTTTTAAACAATTAATGATAACAATTATTTTATTTCTGCCTTAATTACATTAATGTTTTCATTTCATTCCATTGCTGGGCATTTATTGCCATTTTTATCATTTTGTTTAAAAAACTCACTTGATATAATTTAATATAAAAGGTGTTTCTGAAATGCCTGTACAAAATTATACTACATATTCCTGAGACCGAAATAATGCGATATAAAGGGTGTCCCATTAAGACCGCCTATTTTAAATTTAGTGTCATTTTTTTTGTGTCAATCGTACAGCGTTGTTGTTGGACAGTGGTCATGTGTGAACATTGAGGTTAAGTCATGGAGATTTACACGGACGCACAACGCATATAAATTGTAAAAATTCACTATCGAAATGGTGAGAATTTTTCGGAAACGGTTTGAGGATATCGTGGATTTTTTGGTCACCATAACGCACCTTCTCGCCGTACTGTGGTCCGATTATAATCTTGCAATTTGAAACAATTGAGTCAATTCAAACCAAAAAGAGACATATCCATGTTCGTGCAGCTCGGTCTGCTGAAAATATTGCAGCAGTTAGTGAAAGTGTTGAACATAATTCTTCCACCTCGATTCGCCACCGTTCCCAGCAATTGAGACTATCTCGAAGCAGTTTACAGCGAATTTTGACCAAAGACCTGCATTTTCATGCGTACAAGATTCGGTTGAAACAATATTTAAAGACAGCAGACCATGCACAGCAACTAAACCATGGAATTATTGAGGACAAAATTTGAAAGCAGAGTTATCTCGCGCCGCGAGGATGTGATGTGGCCAGGCCGATCATGCGATTTGACGCCGTTAGATTTCTTTTTTTAGGTTTTTTTGAAGGAAAAGGTTTATGATAATAACCCAAGAACAGTTTCTAAACTAAAACATGAGATTCGACGGGTCATTGATAAAATTGAGCCGGAACTATGCCAAAATTTAATCGAAAATTTTGTCAAAAGAATCAACGTGTGCCGTCAGTCACGAGGCGGCCATTTATCGGATATTGTGTTCCATATTTAACCTCCATGTCTTCCCTCTTTATTGCAATAAAAATATCTTAACTTTTTAAATAAACACGGCATTTTTTTTAAATTTTAAAATAGGCGGTCTTAATGGGACACCCTTTATATAGCTCAGTTACCCAATTCTTATTTAATGTCATTACATTGATAATATTATATCAGTCCTATTTCTTAATTATTATTGTTTTAATATTTAATCAATATTATAATTCAAACGGTTTTTATTTATTCATTTTAGATTTTAAATAATCTAAAATCAAGTAGCCACTTTATTTATCAAATTTGGCGGGCCCTGGACGTAAACAAGCAAACAGCGCATGCGCGGTAAACAAAATAACATTAACCCAAATGTGCCTCTTTCAGCAATTTTCTCATTAAAACAATCAAAAGCGTCTATTACAAGTCGCAAAACGAATATTTCCGATAATTACACCCATTTTCGAAGCTAAAATCCCATTTTGGTTTGATCGCGAAATCCCAACGAAAATAGAAAATGGCATGGTATCAAGTGCAATTTCGAGCGAAATTGCACTATCTTTATCGAAACGCAAATGTCAGCTTGATCTTACCGCTTCGGTGTGCTCGTCAATAACGGACATTTGGGTGAATTCCAAACTCGACATCTTCAGGCTTTCTTGAACGCCAAAAAACCGAATTTAATTAAACAGCACAAAACAAATCAACGTGTCTGCAGCTCGTATTTACAAACATATGCAAGGTCATCCGTTCGTTACGTCACAAACCAATTAGATTGCTTGTTTTGATGTACGTGGCGACATCTACTGAGCGGAAGTCGAAAAGTAGGCAACGTTTTCTACGCACGTGTATACCTAGTTGCATAGGTTTTCGACAGCTGTTATGAATATGACCTTGGTTTTTTAAGCAACGATGTCAATCTTCGACGTCTGCGTAAAGTTAAAGTGTTGCTCTCTAGTTCGATGGAAACATAACAAATCGTTCAAGACAATTAAAGCGACCGCGTACTTCAATTAAACCTAAAAATAAATAAAAAGGTAAGTCAATTTACTTGTTTTTTGTGTTGGGAGTAAAATTAAGTTTCTTTTTTATTTATTTACAGATTTAATTCAGCAGCAACCTGTTGCTTTTAACTTACTAATTCGAACTTCCTGTGTAGTGTTAAATTTGTTCTAACATGTAAAGTATTAAACAGTGGTACAATGTACAAACCTCCAACAAACTCAAACCGCGTTAAAACCATTAAAAATAAGTTTGAGGGTTTTGATTCCACTGTAAGTAACAATAATAATAATGGCAAAGAAAGTGCAGCAGAAAAAAGCAGTAAAATTGTCGCAACATCAAGGAGTAACTTAGCCAAAGTGGAAAATGGAAAACCTCCATTGAATAGGCAGCTGAGTGATCCGTGTAAAAGGAACATAAAAAGAACCCCTGCTTTTCGACTCGACAAATCCCATGACAATCAGCCACCACCCTTTCAAAGAAACCACTATTGCAACAGAAGTACGACTTTTGAGAATAAGGTGAAGCAATTCAACAGTGCCGTTAAGTGTGATAGTGCAAATTTAAATAGTGATAAGTGCCTTAATATCAACAACAACAAATCGCCTCAAAAGAATAAACTCATTGTTAGTGATCGGCCTACAAAAAGTGCAAACAAACCAATTTTAATTAAAAGCAAAAGCTCAGCTGATTTTCAATACATTCGCAACAAGTTTTGCATAGCCAGCAAAACCAACGACCAAGAGACTGCCAACCAACAACAAACCAAGGAGATTTCAAATAGACTGACTGAAACTAAATCAGCGGAAAAACTGAACAATATTTGCCAGAAGAACAATAAAGCCATGGATTTTTCGATGCTTTACACAGAGCCTATACCCAAGGCATTGCGGAAGAAAAACTGTGATATTAAGGAAAACGACATTTACAATATGAGTACTCTTAAAATAGGTGATAAAATGAGCAAACTGCAAGAAATTGTGGACTTGAATCAAATTGGACTTACGGATACGTTAAAAACGGCCCTTAAAAGGCCCCTACCGCCAGGGCCGGCCCCCAAAAAACCTCCCAGAACATTCCAACATCTCCCCTTACAAAACAACCTTGAAACGAACCCCTCATTTTTGCACACCGCACCAAAAACCGACGTTAAAGTGCACGTAAAAAAATCCCCTGCTCTTAAAAAGGCAGACCCCAAATACATGCTCTCTAAACTCGAAAACGCGCTGAAAAACAACAAACTGAAATCCCGAAAGCAAGCCAAAATCGACTTGTCGACGACGTCGGGAGAAGACAGCGATGACAGTCTGTTATTCAAAAGCAAATCCCTGCCGAAAACGACGTTGAATCGCGGTAGGCTGGATGAGCATTTCGCCCCAAAACCACCCGCCGCCTTCGATCTTAACTGTCTTAATGGATTCAACTGCGTCAACTCGAATTACGAGAAGTTAAATGAGCCGATGTCGTCGTTTTTTGTCGATAGGCATTTCGAGGAGCCTGTCTATGCTGAGCCGTTTCATCATGGAAATAACGGGAGCAATGAAAATAAGGAAGTCAAGAGGAACAGCCTTTATTATATGGTGAGTAGAGTACATGTATATTTTTTGACATTTCAGTTAGGAATGCAGTCAAATATTTAAGGTTATGTGCGTTAATTTCGTCGTATTTTCTGAAAATAATGCAATAGGTACACAGTTCATTTTTTTTTATCTGGACTCGTGTTTTTTTGTTAGGTTGGTGGCTTAAGCTAGTATTTAAAAATGGTACTTCTGCTAAAGAATTTAATAATTAAATTAAATTTTAATTAAATACTTTGACACTGTCAAATTGACAATAATATTTATTATTGATAATTTACTTGTCAATTATAAATAAAAAGATAATTATGCCAAAAATAATAGCAACGAATTCGAATGTAAAAGCCCTTTTGAGGGCAAAACTTCATTTTGATGAAATTATGCCAAATGCCACAATGGAAGAAAAAGTACATCGCCTTATGGACATTTTTGGAGTAAAAAAGTAACGAATTTGGTTTTATAAATGATACATCACACATTATTCACCATTGGACAACATTTACGTTCACAAAAAAAATTAATTTCTTTTATATAAATTCTTTTCAAAGCGAAGATTATTATCCGCTAGGAATACTTTCTCTTCTGGGCCGTAAAGCAACCTATATTTAACTACTTTTTTATATGATTTTACTCATCCAAGCACCACCAAAGCCAAATTAATTGCATTTTTGAGTACGAATTTCGACAACTCAACTTTACAACTGCACAATGTAACCTACAATAATTTATACATAACCACAATTAGATTTATAACTAGCTTAGTTTGTTTTAATCAATGCGACCAACTTGACAACTTAAAACCCTAAATTTCCAACGTTGCCGCAGTCCAGATAAAAAAAAAGAACTCTATGTAGGTAATAAAAGTATATTTCAGGTACTTACTTTTTGTAGAAAATAAGACGAAATTAGCGTTAAACTGAATACAGATTATATAGAATAGATACATAACCTCAATTATTTGACCGAATTCCTGATTTAAATATCCTTTTGATGAGGAGGATTTTATTCCCGAAAAATTAGGCACATTTATACAAATAAATTTTATTTATATATCCAAAAGCATAAATACCTATCTATAAATATTCATATGTAATAATTGGCAGTATTACATTATTACGCTATAATTACAAAATTATCATAAAATGTAGGTATTTACATTCCCTTATGAATACCTATAAATTCATTTACTTACTAGTTTTTCTTTTTCCTTGAAATAACTAAATTAATAATAGTAAAATACCTACTCATTATTCATACAAAAAATATTTTTACAAGCTTTTTTCTCCTATTGCATATTAATGACATTATTTCTTTTTTTTCGTAAATAATGCTAACCAATATAACCGCCTAACAACGTGAATAATGAACTCGTTATTCACGTTGTTAGGCATCAGTGATTGGCTGATTTCAATATTCACTGTTATTTGAACCAATCAGGTTAACAGATGTCAGATTTGTTTATATATACCTACGAGGGGCGACTATAATGATCTTTAAAATCGGGGAAAAGTGAGGTTATAATAAATTTTGTTATCAATGAAAATTACTTAATTGGAGCCTAACCTAAACCTCATCCTTGTGAATAATAGCCTGCATTATCTCTCGTAGAATAATATACTATTATTATTAATTGAATGATTTTTAAAAATAATTAAATAAAATGTAACATTTACATATGTAAGAATTTCTTATTTGGTGAAATTTATTATCTGAAACCACAACCTACGCTGAACTGCGGGTTTGGCAGTCAAACTTTGTTTAAAAAATTACCTCTTCCTTTATAAAAATTTAAACTGATTAAATAATAATATTTGTGTACCGTTTTTCCCATACACTTATCTAATTTTCTCTAATTCATTGTAATTATCTCGAAATAATGTTCCAATTCTCATAGGCACTGCGATTTAATTGAGATTGTTTTATATTTTTTGCATTAAAAATGCCATAGAAAGTCAATTAAAAGTGGCACGAATTAGTTTGTTAGTTGTATCAAGTATTCACTGGAATTTCTATGCAACCAGCATTAATGTTATTAACTGTATATACTGCGCACAGTTGTTAAATTTTTTTAATCGTTTTTCCCTACGTTTTTGATTCTAACCCAAATGTAAAAAAACGCGTTTTTTACAATACAAAACTTATTAGGTATGACATCTAAAAGTTTTTGCCAAAATTAACCATAATTACTATTGCACAGTACGACAAAATTAGATTTTTTTCCTTTTGAGTAAAATTACTGTACCATGTCCCATACCTAAATAAATAGTTTTGGAGTTATTAATTTTTTCCGTTAAAATATGACAAATGCGCGTCAATCAAAAATAGCCTATAACTTTCTTGCTATTAGGTTTGCAGAAATGGGGGTGGAATTTTTGGAATCTTAAAACATTGTTTAAAAGATTCCATGTCAATTTCTTAACATACCGGGTGTTACATTTAAAATAAAAAAGTTATTAACGTTTCAAGTTAGCCCAATTTTTCCTGGGTTTTCACGGGTAATTTGTTGAAAAATGTTAAAGAATTTACATGGATTTTTTTAAACAATGTTTTAAGATTCCATACATTTACCCCCAAATCCGTAAACCTAATAGCAAACATCAAGAAAACTATTCACTTTAGGTATAGGACATGGTATAGTAATTTTATTTAGAATTTGATGTAGAATTTAAAAATGTAAAAATATATGGGGTGTTCTATTTGAAATAACAAAGTTGATGTCACTTCCGGTCAAACCAGAAGATGCATTTTGTTCAAAATATTAAAAAAATAGACTTGAGGATTATAAACGCTTTTAAATTTCAAATCTATATTTTTTCCGTTCTCCAGAAACTTACAATGGATAACGAATGTGAAACACCCTGTATATCAAGCGGTGTTTTAGGTTGTGATACCACTATAGATTCGAAAGCAATGTATAATCGTCAAACTAAAAGATCAAGATTTGTTTCCAACATATATTAAATTAAGATAAATATCTACAAATCTGTTGTTTTATTAAAAAAAAAGAAATATTTTTTTTACTTACAAAAATAAAATTGTGATTTTCTTGAAGTATAATTTTTGTATTATGTAAAAACATAAAATATTTGAAGAAAAAAAAATAATTTATAACAAAATAGAGAATTAAAAATCTGTTTAGGTTAAAATAATAAGAATGGCTGTGTAAAAAAATTAAATGACGTGATTTCGTGAAAAGGTGAGACGGGTACGTTTTTTTAACCTTTATTTTTAAAATGTGTTAAACATTTTCATGGGAGAAAAATCGTATTGTACTTTTTTATATTTTGATGTAATACTTTTCTAGCTGGATTCGCAAATTGGACCACTGTGCGGGTCTATAACAGCATGCAAATGATAAAATACAGTTGAACAAGTATGTGTAATTGTTATCAGTCAGAATTACTTTTGAGGAAACACTTTGGTGACTAACATGCATTTAAAATGATAATATAATGTGCAATTTATAATATGTATTTTATTATTAAGGTTATTTAAATCATTTCTTTATTGGCCCCTAATTATTTTAGTTGCTTTTAAAATAAATTTAGTCGAGTATTTACGCAGACTTTGCCAGATGTTGTTTGTTGATGTGGAGGATGATGTTCGTTTCTAAAAGTATATCGCGCCAAAGCAGATGTTTCGGATTCCAAAGCGTACCTACTCAATATTTTTTCTATATAGTTCCTATTCACCTATAAGGTAAGAAAATTACCTGGGGTTATTTCAGGTTCTTTCCGTACAATTATTGTCAAGCAATGTATTGAAAAGAAGTGTGCTGGAATCGATTTCAAAATTATTTACGCGCGTTTTCAACCTTCTACACGGAAAAAATGTTTTCTAAATGTAAGAATACCTTTATTCTTAAAAAAATCACTTGATTTAAGTATAATTCGCTTAGGCTACGAATACGTTAAATTTCTTTTAAATATTAATCTATCCTTAAATTAAAACCATAGTAGAAGTTATATTAAAAAAACTGATATGATAAGTAACACCCTGTATCTTGGAAACATAAGTAATTAGAAAAAATATTCATTTAGGTTTTTGTCTTATTTTGAGTTGCTCAATCTTTTCCTAAATTTATGCCAATAAGTTTAGGGGCACCTTGTATACAGGGTGTTTCATAATATATGCGCAGGACTTCAGGATGTGATAGCTCATCCAAAAAGATGAAAAAAGTCGCTATTAACTTACCCTCTAAAATGCACAATTTTCGAGATACAGGGTGTTGAAATTTTAGAAAAAAAATCGTTTTTTTCTAATATCTCCGGAACCGTTTATCGTACAAAAAACAGCTTTTGTAAGCATTTTCTACTCATAATAAGCTATGTTTCGTGCCAGAAAAAATTTTTTTTTACTCATAATTGGTGGAGATTTTGAAGGGGTAGCGGTTGTTTTTCCCCTCAACTTCTACGCCCCTGAAAAAAGTACGGTTTTGAGAAGCCCATTCAAACCGCCAATGTTTTATACACAAAAAAGGTACTCTTGGTTATAAGCTCTAAAGTTGACCGTTTTCGAGAAAAATCCACTTTTATGTTTAAAGACTAAATTTTTTGAAAAAAAATTTTTTTTACTAATATACAAAATTTATTTTAACGTTAGAACAAGTAACAAAACCAAACGATAATTGCAAAATTATAAAAAAAATAAAAAATTATTTTTTACACAAATGCTGAAATGTGCGGTTTGGAGAATTTTGCAAAGACAACTTTTGAATCATTTTTTATTTTTTTTTTTTAATTTTGCAATTATCGTTTGGTTTCAGGCACAAAACATAGCTTATTTTGAGTAGAAAATGCTAACAAAAGCAGTTTTTTGTACGATGAACGGTTCCCGAGATATTCGAAAAAAACGATTTTTTTTCTAAAATTTCAACACCCTGTATCTCGAAAATTGTGCATTTTAGAGGGTAAGTTAATAGCGACTTTTTTCATCTTTTTGGACGAGCTATCACATCCTGAAGTCCTGCGCATATATTATGAAACACCCTGTATATAGAATAGCTTTTTTCCGTGTGTTTAACATTTTTTTTACCCTTTATAAAATACGAGAAACAAATGCGGTTTTGTGGTTTCTTGAAAAAATGGTGATGCATTTATTCACATGATAAATAAATTAGGTGGCGTCACGTCGCTTAGATAGTAAAGAAATAATAATAATAACCACAAAATATAATATTAAAAACAATTCTAAATACTTGTTGTAGCAAACTTTTTACTTCACCTTGGCGTTCTGCATTAATCATGTTCAATGCGACACATATTTCCATTAAAAAATTTAAAATTATTTACAGTGCGCAACCTTGATATCGTAATAGGCAAAGTTAATATAAAGCAAATATCCTTTCTCGAGCTGCAGGTGGAAAATGCGCCTTTTATAGACACGGGTCAACACACTTTTAACATTTAACATCGTTACGTAATAATTTTGATTAAATTATTCTTTTATAAATTTATTCGAAAGGCGATTTGTTAACAATGTCATCTGCTAGGAATATTCTAATGGGTAAAATGGAACGTTGCATATAATTATAAAATTTCTACAATAAAATTAATAATCGGTTTGGCTTCCCGATGAAAGTGAAATTGAAATAAATTTCACCTGTATATTGTATATGGGCGCACGCAAAATTCTGCATTTGCATCTTTACCTACTAAACTTAATTTGTAGAAAACTATTTTATGAAATTGCGTGGAAAACTATCACAAATTATTAGAAATTTAAGTCGGTAAACTTTGAATTTTAGTTGTTTAAGTTATTCAAGTAAAATGTAATACCACATTTTTTTCATTCAATACAGCGCACGGTGGGTTGAAATTCTACTTTTCTGGTCATAACTAATTTGTGACCTTAATAATTGACCTAAAGCCTTGATTTTTTTCATTTTATTCAGAAATAAATAAACTTTATATTGGTATCGATAAACAAATTATGTTTATTATATTTTGTTTTATAAGGCGTTAAACTTAAAAAATTACATTTTGCTTTTATTAATAAACGGGAAGTTTTTATTTGTTTTATTAATATAGCCTTTGCTGTAAAAAAGACAAAAATAGTTTATGCCTAATAGATATTTTTATATGGAGCGAAGTTAAATTTATTTTATCTATTTTGCGTTCATAATGACTTCATTATAACACCGCTTTCGGTGATGAAATGAGATACTTTATCCCACTCAAAATTTTGATTTTATAGGTTGGCTATACTTTAAACAGCATAATATTTCGCATATTGGTTATAATATTTTTATGGTTTTTATAGTACTTACGAGACTTTTCTGGCAATAAATTTTGTTTGACACCAAACAAAATTCTTTTTTCTTCTTTAACCTTAACAGCCGCTTATTGTAAATAAGTAAATTAAGGGCGGCATGGCGAATCGATTTTGACATTAACTGTCAAACCAATGACTGTGATACCAACTATCTAAAGTAAAATTCGCCCAAATTAAATTTAAGGTATAAAAATAATTTTCTCGATTTTTATGTAAGAATGTCATATTCTCGCACGCAAAATCGTTGAAGAATGAAGCTCATTCTTAAACGATTTTTGGTAACATTTAGTTTTTAAGTATTGGTACCCCCAAAATGTCAAACTGATTAATAACCTCAAATTCATTACTTTTATTGAAAATGAAGCCTTTATTATTGTTTTGTAATATTAAGTTTGCTCCAACAATGCATTTTAATGCAAAATTTTAAGTTTAATGTAAAAAAGTGCAGTTCAGGTTGTACTTGTGCAGGATAACAAATATTGTCATTTTGTGTTGCCAACTGCCATTTTGCGAGAAAAATCCCCTAACTAACAACGACCACAAAACAATTAAAAAAACCTAAATAAAAGTTAAAATCGAGAAAATAGTATAAATCACACGTTGCAGAAGGCTATTCTGGCACTCATTCGTTCGTCCACTCGCTCCTTCGTCGCTCGAGGCCAAATTTCGAATTCGTGCGAGAATATGTGGCCTTCTGCAACTTGTACTTTAATATACTATTTTTCATAGAATTTCTGAAAAATAGATAAAATATATTAAATATATAAATAAATATTTTTTATATATTTGTTATGTATAAAAAGTAACAGCGCCTTAAAGGCAGAGTAAATTCCGTTCAAATCTAAAATCTGAATGTTGTATTGCTTTACTTTAAACAGCTGTATCTTTTTTAAATAAAATGTTTTTTTATTATTGGTATATTATTTTTTTGATCATATAAAGTTTACTTTTCGGACTTTTGGCAAGACCCAGCCCACTGTCATGCGATTTAAAAAAAAATTATTACCTACCAATAAAGTGAAATACTTTTTATTCTAAATATCTAACTAAGATTGAAAGGTAATAAATGTTATTAATTGTTGTTTGTGCTACTCCTGTAGGTTAAACTAGTATACCTATTAAAATATTTTTTTTTACAAAATCAAGGTTATTAACAAACAAAACTTGTGTTCAAATTTTATAAAGACACATTGAATATTTTACAAAATTATGTAATTTTTTATCTACTTTTACAAGATTTTTAAATTCAAACCAGTTTAAAATCGCTGCTACTAAATTAAAATTTGTACATAATTAACATTATTAATATATAAAACGTGTTAAAATTATATAATGGATGTTTTAAAGTTTTTAAAATAATTTAATTTGTATCTTACTTTAACAGTATATAATCATTTAAACCCTTATAAAATCGCCGCCACTGAGCTAATTGAATTAAAATTATATGGGATTAATACCACAAAAATATGGTGTTAAAATGTCATATTTATTACAGACCAAAACAAACACAATTGAAACGCGTTATCGGTGGACAGCGCGGTCCTTGTTTTTGCTGGGTCTTCTTGTTGGCTATTGTTATTATTAGGGCTCGAATTTTACAAAAGTAAACATTTTTAAATATAAATGCATATTTGAGTTTGATTTTTTATAATCTTTAAATAAAATGTATCTGTATTTTTTATTTAAATAACATTTAAATTTAAAATTAAAACATGCTTTTGATTTACAGAGCTCTCCCGTTCAAACTCCCGAAGAAAACTACTTGGAAGGAAGCATGAAAAATGGGGTAATTACATCTCTTTTGTTTCCTAATTAATTTGAGTGCAATCAGTAGCAACATTAAAGCAATTGACCTGAGAGGTGCTGTTAGCCAATATTTGAGGTTTTTATCATGCATTAATCAAAAATTTCGGCGATGTTTGGTACCATTATCATTATCAATTGGTGATTAACAATTAATTACTTTTTATAATTAATTATAATTATAAATGATAAATAATTATTTATAAATAAGAATAGGACAAATCACATAAGGGGTCACACCAAACAAATAAAAAAAAAATACAATGTTAAAGATATTTTTATGATTTGTTTTTTAACTATCATAATAATACAAAAATATAAATTTTGCTTTAATAAATTGTTTAATAAAATTAATTTATTTATAAAAAACAGTGTGGCGTAAGAATTTGGGAAGAGGGAGGTCAAGACTTTAACAATATATGTCAAGTCTAAAAACGAATTTTAAAAACTATATATTTATTGGTAGAATAAAAAATATACATATATATATTTTATTTAAAAAATACAACAAATATAAAATATCAAATACCTATGTAATATTGCACAAAAATAAAGAAAAAAATTAGTCAAACAAAAGTATAGGAACTAATAAAACACATTAAAATATGCATCTAAAAACTCATTTAAAATTTTATCTTCAAAACTTTTTTGTTTAATTTTAAAATCTCTTAGGTTTTATCAATACCTCTTAAAACCTCTATACCAAAGAACATTTTACTCCTTCGCTACTCATCAGAGTTCGAGTTGGACTTTTTCTTGGCCTCTTTTTGCCTCTCTGTTGTAAAAGGGGCCCTTCCACACAGCCAGTGTTGTATTTAAGGCTGGTCATTGCAGTGCTTCCCGATGATTTTTAAAATAATTATTCAACACAATTTTAGTATATGATCTGCGACTTTTAGGTTATAAAACTAAGATACTCTCTGTCCTAGAGACATTTATCGTCAAGCCGGAATACCTTTAAACATATGTGGTGTTTGGGTTGTTGAAAAATCGATGTTTATGAACAGTAAGAAAGGCTTGGACAAAGCAAGACTTGTGCTGTTTTATGCCAATGATTTGTCATTATTATTATTTTTTACAGGACGCCAACTACAAATCGGACCAAATGAAACTACAGGTAGAGTTTGTTAAAAATATGCTCTTATAGTGCATATTATTATTACACTGAGAAAAAAATGGGACAAATAAACTGTGTAGCTAATACTTTTATTAATAGTGAATATATTGTTTACCTCTAAATAGTCGAAATAATAACGATAAATATACTTTAGTAAAACTTTATGTGTCGGGAATAAAAATATATTTAGGATAAATAAACTGTACCCTTGTCCCATATTTAAATATTTTTTTTATTTGGGAGCAATAAACTTTTTTCTCAGTGTACCTATATGTGAGTTATGTAAATATTTGTTCTGTTGGCATAGAAAGGGTGCTAAATATAAGGAATGCCACTAAAAGTTCCGTCAAATTAAATGTTTATTTAGCTAAGCCAGCGTTGAAAGAAATTTTAATTTGTGTACATACATGATATTTTATGCTGTCGTAAAAATTATGACAAGCACTTCCTCGTTCTTAATGGAAAATATGTTTTACATTAATGTTAATTAAGTCTATATTCTGTATTGACAGTTATACAAGGTGTCCCTAAACTTAGTGGCATAAACTTAGGAGCAGATTAAGCAAGTCAAAATAAGACGAAAATCTAAATTAATATTTTTCCTAATTACGTATGTTTAAAAGATACAGGGTGATAAAGTGTTACTTATCATATCAGTTTTTTTAATATAACTTCTACTATAGTAGACTTGGAAAGGTGATATTTTGCGAACAATCACTTACTACCAAAACACATATTCACACATAATTACAATTGTTCGAGTGAACACAGTGTCGTAGAAACAGGGGTTGCTTAAGCTTATTGTCCCATACAAACTTTGAGGTTAGGTTTTTATACCATTTGATGGAATTTTTCGATTACTCAGTTCGGCTACTATTAAAAAGGTGTACCTCTCAAACTTCGATAAAATAAACCGTTTCCGAGATATTCGAGATTACAATAATTGTTAATCGCATTAAAGGACTGAAAGGTATATGATAACAAATTTTTTAATTGAAAAAACAAAATTTTTTTTTAATGTGATGGTCAGGGCAAAAAGTCCCGAGGCTCATGGAATGCCCTTTTTAGTTTTTTCAATTAAAAAATAAAATTTGTTATCATATATATCTTTTAATCCTTATAAATAATGCGATATAACAACTATTGTAATCCCGAATATCTCGGAAACGGTTTATTTTATCGAAGTTTTAGAGGTACACCTTTTTAATGGTAGCCGAACAGTGTAATCGAAAAATTGCATCAAATGTTATAAAAACCTAACCTCAAAGTTTGTATGGGACAATAAGCTTAAAGCAACCCCCGTTTCTACGACACTGTGTTCACTCAAACAATTGTAATTATGTGTGAATATGTGTTTTGGTAGTAAGTGATTGTTCGCAAAATATCACCTTTCCAAGTCTACCATAGTAGAAGTTATATTAAAAAAACTGATATGATAAGTTACACTTTATCACCCTGTATCTTTTAAACATACGTAATTAGGAAAAATATTTATTTAGATTTTCGTCTTATTTTGACTTGCTTAATCTGCTCCTAAATTTATGCCACTAAGTTTAGGGACACCTTGTATATCTAGCTAATATTAACATTCTTAATACGGTTAAGATGGTTATATCTGTCCATCCAAAAAATAAAAGGGGATTCTATATGTTATGGATCACCCTGTACAATCAATGTTTTTCTGTGATATTCGCATAGATGCCTAATATTAATGTACGTACGGTAGCCCAAACTATATTCTTCTTGCCTATACGCTAAAGAAGTATCGCTAGTAGCGCCACCACTCGGCTGTTATCATCGTAACAAAAGTACAACTTTTGATAATCAGCTGTCAAACGCGTTTGTTACAAACGAGTGTTTTTGAGAATAAAGCCGGAAAATTAATAAAAGCGTTGATTAAGAATTCTTTAAAGTGTCCACTAAACGGTAAAATACCATAATATTATGTATTATATGTAATATTATGTTGCCATGAATTCGTTGGTATATTTTGTTGTTTAAAATGCAGTTGTCGGCGTTTTTTAGAGAACTCAAATATAAAAATGGTTACGTTTGTGCAAAAATTATTTTTTACTAATTTCTTAAAAATGTCCAAACTTGAATATAAATTATATTAGGTAAAGTTATCATTAGTTAATTCTGCACCAACAAATGTACTTACCGAATTGGATCCTTTGGCAAAACAAAATGCAACGATTTAGTTCTTGAATTTTATTTACAATTAAAAACACAATAATTCACCATGATCCCTTATTTAAAATACACACACTAACGTAACTATATAAGCATTTAAGCGTTGAGTTTCTTAATCAATGATATACAGAATAATCAATAGAAATCGAGTACTAAACCAGTTTTTTAGTGTTTTCCTTGCAACGTAAAACACAAATAACGTGCGCGATTTAGCTGTGCAATTGAACAAAATTTGTCGAGTAAGACTTCTGCCTTCCCCTCTTTTGTGAGAAAACTACCTATTTATTTCAAAATGATGTACAGTTCGTATGCATTAAATGTATTGTTGACAATTCTTAAATTCCGCAATGCTTTTGAAGTCCACCAGATGGCGCGCGCGTTGCGAAAACCCGATACTTTAGCGTATAGGCAAGCTAATAAAAAAACTCCAATTTTGGGCTACCGTAGATACGTGAATTGATTATATTTTTTTATGAATCAGTAGTTATAGTATTAGAAGTAGTATATTTTACTAACATTAAATACATAGTTTATTTTCTTTTATGTCCCAAATTGGGGCCCTTACTAATTCTACACCATGCATTAGAAACTAAAATTAAGAAAAATATCTGATTAATATAAAAATGTAAAATTCACTTAAAAACAAATATTGTATTTTTTTAATTACTTAGAATTACTATGTGGTGTGGAAACAGTGTGGCATTTTCTGAACATTCTGTATATAGTATTTTTAAGGGAATTTTTGTATCAACAATAGAATATTTTTTAGATAAAAAACCATCTATTTTATTATATTACAACAATAATTTTAACTTATAATATTAAATATCTGATACAAAAATTCTTCAATTTGCATGATATTCTCCTACTCTATCTCTCTGTATATTTCCAGTACTTGTAAATAAAAAACTTGGCATGTTCTCTTATTTTTCTTTTCGTTACTAACCTTGATTGGCACTTCTAACTTTTACCTATACCATTTTTTCATCCTTGTCCATATCCGCTGTTAGATATTTCTTTAGATTTATGCATGCATTATGTAGATTTAAATCTTTTCAGTTTTTTGCATGCGAGTATTATTCCGAGTAGTGTTTTTTAAATATTACATAAAAAATATAAACAAATTAATATAAAAATACGTCGTTATCGCATCAAAAAATATCGAATTACAAGTATAAATAATAAAGCTAATCCCAGTTTAAATCTAGTGTGCAAAGAACCAATATTAATATCGTTTATTTTTATATAATTTGTTTTTCATATTTTGTTGAAATGTTGGCCATACCTGCTTTGTACATAAAAATAAGGGTAAGTTATGGGCCTTTTTAAATGCTGATATATTTTTCATATTTGTAATAGATTATTAAATTAAATCTGATTTTTTTAAGTACCCACGATTTTTTTTAACTAATATTTAAGTTTCCTTTGGTTTAAGTTTTATACATTATTTCATTCGGTGATAATTATCAATTGCGCACCATGGTCACTTTTTACCTGCCAGTATTATTGTACTATTTTTAATAAAAATGCCTCATTTAAGATAAAAAAACATTATTTTGTCAATTAATTAATTTAATCCTAATTGAGGTACACGTATAAAAAATTGTATTTATTTATAAATAATAATTATTATTGAGGTATAAAGAAACTGTTTATAGTTTGGCATTATTTAATCAATTTAGTTCGAAGATTAATTTGCAAACAAAAAGACCTCCTTTCGTTAAGCAGTTATTCATAATGAATTTTTTAACAGTGGAAGAAAAAATAGAAATGATTTTGATTTATGGAGAAGCAGGCAGGAATCTTGATGATACTGTTAATATCTACGCTCAGCGTTTTCCGGAAAAAATTCGATCACGTACTTCATTTCACCGTACAGTCAAGCAGTTTACTACAAACGGGAGTGTTCAACCGAAAAAAAGAGTTCGTCGAGCAAATATTTAATGTTGTTATTTTGAGCACCTACTTTAATTAAAATTTAAAAAATAAATAAATAAATTAAAAAAATAAAACCAAGTATTTTATTCAAAAATTATTGGAGAATCGTATGCAGAAGAAAAATCGAACAAAATTGATTTTTTTTATTACAGCGCCATCTATTACAAATATGAAAAAAATGTTTTGGACAAAATCTACCTATTTTTAGTCGAATGATCCGAATCTGCAATAAAAAATAGGGTGTTCCATTGGAAATTTTAAAGTTACCCCCTGTTTCCCCTATAAGGAGAGTATGAGGGCCAATTTTAGTACTGATTGATTTCCCCCCTCGAATCATTTAATTTTTATTTTAAACATTTTTTCGTTAAATGCATACCAACTGAGATATTTCATGTTAAATGACTCACGCATGTATTTAAAATTTTACACTTGAGATATTATGAGATGCGACATTGGCCTTGCAAAATTCCAGTCTTATGTTTCGACCTCAGGCGATCTGCGGTTTCGTCTCGAATTTTTTGGTGCAATTAAGTGAGCAAATCGATAGTATACACCTTGTTACAATTTCTTGTTCCGTTTCCAAACGATGCCGTCATAGTTTATTAATAAGCATGCCCACTGAAAAAATCCCGGACCTATAACCAAGATTCAGTTTTCATTCCGAGTTCGCGGTTTGTGTTTATGAGATTATTTTGCCTTTGCATTGTTTATTGATTTATTTATAAAACAACATCAACTATATTACTACACAGTGAAATGTCAATGTTAAAATTATCAAGTGCTTGTTTAATTATTGTGGAAGTTTGAATAGTGTGTGAAATGCATAGTTTTATACAGTTTTGGAAAAGACTTGGAGTGAGTTTTTATTT